GAGATATATACGAGTTTGATTGAAATCATAGTTTTATGGGCATCGACAAGTTCCATATTCCTAACCAACTACTCCGCCCATACAGAGCCGCAAATATCTTGACATTCTTGGAGGGATATATGTCCCCGTAAATCATTATTTTGGTCACGGCGAACAAAACAAGAAAGAAGATCGGACTCAACCAAATTATCAAGGGCGAATAATGATCTCTTAACAAAACCTGTGACCCACTGTGCATTTTAGTCCCTCTACTGTTCTTATACGGTCAAGAATAAAAAGTTATGAGATGAAAGAATAATTGTTGTGCGTAAAATAAACTACCGGGAGCACCTTGGGGTGTCATCAGGTACTTTGTGCCTGAGGAGCCAAGGTACACTTTTTCTCTTCTTGTTTGTTTACGGTCTACGTTTAACCGTAAGGTCGTCGAGAACAAGCGCTTTTTCATGAAGGGCGAGGCCATCTTGCAGGGCCCGGATAGCGCCCATTAACGCCCTCTAGGTCATGTATATTTGATACTCTTCCCCAAGTTACACTTACATTCGAAACAAAGATGGCTGCCCGTTACAGTATTAAAAAGCTCGATCTTTGCCATCTAACAGAAAAATAGAGGACTGCAAAAAGTCTACTGTATTCTTTTTAAGCCAAATCTAGAAAATCTAAGTATGCGGCTACAACGAGCGCAAATGAGGGCAAACTAGTGTAACGGTAATTCCTAGTAAATTATATGACCAAAGTCTTTCACAGGTCTTATGAAGCGCGACTACATGTACTTACTTGAGCTAAATCAGGGTAAAGCGCATCCATGGTGTCTTCTGCAGCATAAGGACTCCATACTAGACCACCCTGACAAAGCGACGAAAAAAAGAGAACACCCATGACAGATCAACGATCAGGACAAGCGGTGTTATATTGTTTGTACCTTATTGCTTTGCTGACTTCGCTTGTTCTCTGAAAACAACCTTTTTTATGGAAAGTTAACCAAGGCCAAACGTGGGGGAAACTCGATAAATACAGAGTGCTTCAAAGTATAGTCGTATAGTACTTCAAAGCCAATAGTGTCATCGTCGATATTCAAATTTTCAAAGCTAACCAGCCAATTTCTGATTTGCTTTAGACTCTGAGACCACTCTGAATGGGGGAATGAAAAGGACTATGAAAAGGACAATACTCGAATAAAACCTTACGAAATGAAAAGAGTAACAGCCTAAGAAAATCTGTAGACAGGGTGACAAGAATCAAGTCAATGATTGAACATTCGAATGAATCCAGACGCGCTATTCAAGTGCATGTGGCTTACCATTTCATCTCTTTGTTGATGAACCGGTGTAATGTACAAATTCTGACCACTAGGATCTTTGTAAGCATAAGTTGGAAGTGGTGCTCGCTGATTTAACATTCTGTGAATTCAAAAACGTAACCATTATTCTTTTTATCACAACTGTTACAAAATTCTCTAATCTCATTGGCTATCAGTAGCCCTAATTTCAGCATTAACAGCATAGTGTAATAGGAGAATACGTTTCACGGTCAGGCTGCTCTTGAAAGCCTAACTCTCGAGGGAACTTATACATTATGAACCCAAAAAACGTTGAAATTATCAAAAATTATTAACTTTTTTTGTAAGCTATGATTAATTGGTAAAAACTTGGAGTGGATTGATAAATAAATTGGTTGATTCACTGGTTGATGAATGGATTGATTGATTCATTGATTGAGTGAGTGATGGATGGATTGATTGATCGATCGATCAATTGATTGATTGACTGACTGATCGATTGGTTGATTGAGTGAGTGATTGATCGATTCATTGATCGATTAATTGAGTGAGTGATTGATTGATTGATTACCGTTGTCTATCTGCTGGGTCCCAGACCACTATTGGATCACGAGTCACAACCGGTCTCACAGGAGGGCGAACTGGGTAACCTGGCACACCGATATGAGTATGAGGCATCCCTACAGGATAACCAGGCATAGGAGGCTGAACGCGCCTGCGCTGTCCAGGTGTTGGTTCAGTTGCCCGTCCGTGTGCAGGGGGTGGTTCTGGCAAAGCCGGCTGACCTCCAATGTACCTAGTGTAGACAAAAAACAAGGTCACTAAAATAGGAAGTCGAAGACGATTTTTCATGTAACCTGGAACGCTAGCCGGCGTCAAAGACGTCAGTTAACTTCGGTTAGTAACGTCTGCGAAGTAGCGCCGATACCCTTGTTCTGGGCCCAATATTTTTATTAAATAAAGTTGAAGTTAAAGTTGGGCCCCCAACGGACTCAACGAGTAACTGGAAGTGCCTTTCGAATTTCCTTTCATCCTAATTGGCAAATTGACAACGGCTTTTTTAACAGACTAATCATGACGGGTACTCAAATCTTGGTACACAGTTGGGGGCCAAGAACAAGGATTTCAGCGCTGCTTCGCAAAGGGATTTAACCAGAACTTAGCTTCGTTTGTGGCGCTGGCTAATGGAACGCCTGCGCATAACGACTTGGAGTTGTTAAGTATGGTAGTGTTTTACATGCAGTTAGATGGGGTAAGTTCGGCAGGTGCGATGGAGAGAGGTTGGGTTTGGTTGTGGCAAAATAACAGCAAGAAATATAACAGCTACAATCTTTCTGTGTTTCGTGGATGCTACATGAAAAATCGTCTTCGACTTCCAATTTTAGTGACATTGCCACTCTCCACTCACTGGAACTAAAATTATTTGGTTTTACTAATTCTACTCTGTAAACGAAGAAAAGTCAGTAAAACAAATAGCAGATTGAGCGTTCCAACTTCTTTCTATTCTAATCTAGCGTAAATAAACAACGACGACAATTTTGCTAAAGCACCAAAGCATCTAGCCCAAAGTAGTATTTGGAGATATTTAAGCTGCACAACACTTAAAGGAGTTTTAACCAAAGAAGGAACTTCCTCTTGTCTAAGACCATGCTTTTCACTTGTGAGGGAACAAGCGCAAAAAAGCGAGGGCTGCAAGGGCCTAGTTGAGAGAGCTCTCTCGCAGTTCTTACCCAATTTAAGGACCTAAAACTAACAGTCTTAACCCCACCTGAGCTCTGTCCCAGGCTCTTCGCTCAGGAGGAACAGCAGATATTTCACTATCGCGCCTTCTCTCACGCAATCGTTGTTTATTCTTTTGTCGTTCGAGGTCTGCTCTCTGCTCCAGTTCTTACCCAATTTAAGGACCTAAAACTAACAGTCTTAACCCCACCTTGGCACTACAGGGGTCCGTTGGGTAGGAGCGGGGTATCCCTAGGGTTTTAAAGAGAAGTGCCCGAGGTAGAGCTCTGTCTAACCGGGCTCTTGAGCAGACGCCCAGAAAAGGTTAGAAAGCTCTCTCGAGGTTCTCACCCAGTTTAAACGATCTACAAGTTACAGTCTCAGCCCTACCTTGGCACTACAGGAGGTCGCTGAGGAGGAATGGGGTATCCCTGGGTTTGTGGAGACATTTCCTCGAGGTCCATGGTGGGTGGTTTCTTAGCGGACTGAGGCCCAAGTAGGGCAAACGCGTTATCCAACATCGCGTGCATGCGCCGACGTGTCTCATTCATATCGATCTCAGATTCGTCACTGGATGCGTTGGAAACTGAGTCCGCAGATTTTCCCGATTTCTTTCCACGGTCCTAAAAAGTAAAATTCAAGCTCTTGTTATGACAAGAAACTAGCAGAGGCCTGAAAATGATTATATTATTTTACCGCAACTCTCCCACAATTTTCTCTCCACGGACTTACTGAAGAAGGTGTTGGTGAAATGCCGTTAAAAAGAAGATCAATCCGATTTTGAGAAGGGATTTTAAGGACGCCACCCTCGACAGGATGCCAATTCGTCACATGGGTACTCATAGCCTGCACTACGGACGAAACTTAACTCTAGTCAAGTCCATATAAGAAACATCGCCAAAATCCTTGTTCTGGGCCCCAACTTGTGTACCAGGATTTGAGTTCGCGCCAAGATTGGCCTGTTAAAAGAAGCCATTGTCAATTTGTCAATCAGGATGAAAGGATCTTCGAAACGTACTTCCGGTAACTCGTTGAGTCCGTTGGGGGGCCCAGAACGAGGATATCAGGGCTGCTTCGCAGACGTTACTAACCGAGGTTAAATTACGTCAGCGACGCAGGCTAGGTAACCCGCTAACATTTAATTCGCCGGTACCCGTTTACACACTGACACTGAGTGAGGTACTGACTAGCCTAAGAACACAATACAATGACCCCAGCTGCGCTTGGGCCCGGACCTCTTGATATAGAGTCCAAAGCACTAACCTTATCATTGGACCACCACCTTTATCAGGTACCAATTTGTTGTTAAGAACAACAAATTAACGATTTACAGGTCTCCATAACCCTGCAATTTTTTAACAAATGAACGTGTATATAGGAAACTGTACCCGTGTGCTTGCGTTTGAAGATGTTTTTGGACTTTTGAGTTTTCTGTAGCTCTTCAGGTGAGGCATTCCCTCTTCGTCTGTAGCCACAGAACTGCTTGGGGGTCGCCTCCTTCTGCGCTTTGCCTTTTTGCCACTGAAAGAGCAAGTTTTAAAATGCATGAGATTACAGGAGTTTAAAACTAAGAGCGTCTTCAGTGATAGTGGTCGGGGGTCGGTCTGCATGCACATTCTCGGTAGTTTAACCTAGAGAATGGCTGCCGTAAGTAGAAGCCCTTTGATACTCTGGGTCGGCACCATTACAGAGGCATGATAGCATTTAGCGCCAGCTCTCAGCCGCTTATTTATAGGTAAAGGCCGTATCTTCGTCCACGTACATCTATGATGAAATTTTTAACGACTGCAAACTCACGTGATCACTCGCTCAGCGGTGTCCTCCTCTCCAAGTACATCATCGAAATCATGCTGAGCTCTGTCCCAGGCTCTTCGCTCAGGAGGAACAGCAGATATTTCACTATCGCGCCTTCTCTCACGCAATCGTTGTTTATTCTTCTGTCGTTCGAGGTCTGCTCTCTGCTCCAGCTCTCGTCTCGTGCCTTTTCCTCTTTTGCGACCTCTTGGTGCGTGGTCTTCGGACGGCACCTATCAGTGAATAAAAACATTAGAGTTTTCCCCTGAAATCAGTTGGAGATTTGCATAACAAAGAAGAGGAAAAGCGCTTTTAAAACTAGGAACAATAAACATAAATATGTTTGTAATTGTGAGCGCTATATATGAGGGTGAAGAAGAAACAAAGGCAAATGAGTAAGAAATAAACTTTACCCCATCTACAGAGGTTAGTTTTCTATCATTTTGGTGAAAATGCCAGGCTGGATCAGTCTTTTGAAGCAATATCACAAATATTTTTTTGCGCAGCTCCGCACGTTTGGAAATGAATTTGTTAACGGATGAATCAATTACAACAAAAAAAAAGCACTACGTTTACCTCAACCCGCCCTCCAACCAGAGGGGTCTGCTTGGGATTTAATGGTGGCAGGGTCGGGGCTGGATGCACTGATGAACGGAACCGCACAGGAGGGTATCGCGGGGGACCAGTGGCCTCACTCATAACAGCTACAGTGGGTACTTGGGCCGCGGAGTGTTTGGCCTGAAAGAGAATATCAATCATCGTCATCATCACTACTACTAACATTATCAACGTCATCATCATCATAACCATCGTCATTATTATAATTATCATCACCATCACCATCAACGTCATCATTATCATTATCATCATCTTCATCTGCATCAACATCATTGTTACCATCTCCATCACCTTGGTCCAAATCAGAGGCTGACCAACCACCACCACCATCATCACAATTATCATCATCATCATCATTATCATAGTCATCATTACCTGTGGTGGTGGCGCTACACTTTCGGGTTCAGTCTCAGTTTCTTCACCGGAATCCTCGCTTTCTTCTTCACTCTCGTCCTCTGATAACTCTTGGGCTCTTTGTTGTTCCTGGCGAGTCTGTGATTCGCTGGATCTCTGTGGCGGAATGGGAGTACTCTTGGTGACTGATGGCGGTTTTCGCCTTTTCGTTCCTATTAAACTCGCCGTGCTTCCAGTAGGCGTCACAGATGCCACGCTTTCGTTTTCTTCCTCCTCGTCTTCTTCGTACGCGATATTTGTACTGCAAGAAAATTAGACTTAAATGGAAAACATGTTATATTTGCGGGTCTTCGAAACGTTTCGAACCCGTGGATATTCAGTTGTATATCAGGCTACTTTCATTCATATATATACTGTAAAGCGTTCAAGATCATTATATGGAATGCGCGCAATAGAAGCAATAAATTTATTGGATGGAAAAGTTCTTTTTCTTTCGTCACACCTTCCCAACGTTGCGTGACAAGGAAGTACAATGGAGTCCGGATATGATCAAGTGCCGCTGGCAAGGGACTAGGAAAATCGTGTTATATCGGGTACGTTATACCGGGATACTGTCCCATACATTTTCTTACAACTTTCCCGAGGCAAATAATATCACCAGATATACCGGGGTGTTAGTTATATGGGGGTTATCCAGTATACGCGTATCACACATACAGTTTTTGCTCCCTCGTGGGTAACTTCTGCACTGGTGGTTTGCCCACTTTTCTTCGCAGGGACGTCTCGCGTGTCCGTCGGGTAGGCTTTTCAGTTTCTTCTTCCTCGTCACGCGCAGTGCCAGACATAAATGAAGTTGTCTTCATGCTTGACACTCCTGGCTCCGTGTGCCGCGCTACATCAACACCATGAACTGGAGGATCCTGAAAATTACAATTTAAGTAATGGAATCAATATGTGGAGCATGAGACACCTCAAAAAGGCTGAATAAACTCAAGTAACAAGGTCTGGAAGGGTACTTTTCCAGGGATCGGGGATTTGACCAAAACACAGTGCGGGATTCGGGAAAACGTTAACGGGATACGGGATTTGACCAAAACACTTTGCGGAATTCGCGAAACGTTAACGGGATTCGGGAATTGACTACAACCTGTAAGGCGGGATTCGCCAAAATTTGGGCTCGGATGTGAGATTGGGAAAAAAAATCAAAGAAAGACTATCGTCAACTCGTGGGTACGTTGTTTAGAAAATAATCAATTAGATATCACCTCTGGTTTTCCCACAGTAAATTTTAGGAAATGATAGAAATTCAGATTATAAATAAACTATCCTTGTTCTGGAAACACAATACTTTTCTTGCTGTTTAATGCACTTTATTAACAGTTATTTAGGTATATATTTAAAAACAAAAAAACAAAAAAAAACAGCAAAACAAATAAGCAAACAAAACAAAACAAAAAGGAAAAAAAAGGAAGACGGGAAAAATAAGGTCGTTAGCAGAATTTGTACCCGGTACATTCGGGTTGACCCGACCTCACATAGCCACTACGCCATTAAGGACGATCACATGAACTTGTGAAAAGTCTCAAATTTAATGCCTTTTCCATGGAACTTCCAGCGGCAAACGATCGAGCCATACTTAACCGATTGAAAAAACGACTCGAAGCAATCGGATGAAATTAAGGCTAATTGAAACCAGGCTACTGACAGTAAAAAACATTGTAAACACATTTCATGGCAAAATGAAAGAACATATGCGATACAAAGCAGACACAACTCCTCCGCGAAGTAGGACGCAAAACATAAGCTTATGTTTTCTTATCTCGATTTCCGCTCTTATTTTAAAGCTAAAGCTCAAAATCACATCCATTTCCCCCGGTGATCTTGGGGAGTCCTTATAAAGAAGAAGAAGAAGAAGTGCCTTTATTTACCATACATTCATTCATACACATAACCTACTACACCCGGGGGGGACACTTTAGGAATTTCTGGGTGGGGATGTGCCGCTGGGAGCCTGGAACCCTTAACCTTTACCAGAGCTAGTTCAGCTGAATTTTGCTACCCTATACTAGAGTAAACTCCCCAAATCCCCCTATCCTAGAGTAGCTGTGTACCTAGTCTAGATAAAATCTTCAACCAACTGATCAGTTTCCTGAAAAATGATACCCTATTCTAGAGCCAAACGCTCTGATTTATATACCCTATCCTAGAGTAAACTGCTTGAAAACCATACCCTTCACAGCGGCACATACCTATATAGCCCATATATGGCAGTACCCCCCCCCCGGGCTACTACATTACTACAAGGTAGGAGATCAAGTCAGCGTCGAAGTTGAAGGAGTCGAAGAGCAAATGCTCATCTTCTCGTCAAGCTTAACGCCTGGACGAGTCAAAGGCTCTTGAATCGTACTAATCTGAAAGATTCCTGCGTGTCTTAAACTTGGTAAGACCTCTATCCTCTAACCATGCTGTAGCGCACGATGCACGCTCTCAGCGAGGAATTTGATGCCACCGAACTTCGGCGAGCGCGTGCTTCTTTGGAAACGATAGATCTTCGCGCTCTCGAGTTCGGACCCGATTAATTACGAAGTCGTCTACTACGAGTGAGCGAGTGACTCATTTGCATATTCCTATCCCTGCAATAACTCGTGGTACGCTCGCGCGTACCCACGAGTTAAAAAAGGACAATCGGGATAGCGATGACAGACGGTCGGGATGTGGGATTCTCGTGAAAAAAGTGCGGGAAGGCGGGATCAGGAACCCACTTTCCAGATCGTAAAGTAATCGTACCGCACTGTCAAGAGATGGGTGGCAACGGATCAAGTGTTAAAATCCTGAGACTTTGCGACAAAACTGTTGAGATGTTGGACAATAAACAAGACAAAATGAAATCATAGACAATTCAGAGGTTTACCCATAAACATATCTTCCAATACTTGAAATAATTATGCTCCTGAAAATAAAGAGGAGAGACTTTTTTTTCAACGAGACAGCATTCCTATTTTGGTGTCACGCACTGTGAAAACTCGGAAGTTCAAATTGCTGTATTTTCAAAATGAAGCAAGCTGGGGGAATGGAAACTAATACAAAGATTTATTATTTTTTTCTTCAACCTAGTGTAAATAAGAATTCGTAAAACGTCGCTATTTTGACTTTACGATTTGATGACGTCACTATGAAAACCATCTATTTAGAAGCCCCATTGTACTGTACGGCTCGCTTGTGTTCTTTCGCGCCCGACACAAACTAACCTAAGATATAAAAGATATCGCTCAAGTTGTTTTTGGGCTTGTGGTTGAATGTAGCTGGGCCCAAATAAAGCACAAGACTGACAGGACCAGACTACGAACAGGAACCTCTTTTTTTCTTAATTCGTAGTGCGAAACGCGCGAGACACGAAAGATGAAAGCATAATCTTAGGAAAGACAGAGGTGCCCCTCACCCTTCGTCTGTTGGTCTCCAGCATTCTGATGGTGTCCGGCTCCACTTTTGCTTTCGGCGCGCCCTTCTTCCATCGCCAGCATATAAGCAAAATAATGACGGCAATGAGAAATATGGGACCGAGGACCGCAGGGATAATCCACCACTCGATCGGCGTCGAGGCGACGGTGGGAATTACTTCGGTGGGCGTTGTTGGTACAAAAACAGGTTTAGGTGCGGTAAGAACCTATAAAAAATAAGATGAGAGGAATAAATGAAGTTCTTCATGTTCATATCACAGCTTGGTCCAACTTCAGCGCGCGTCCTGGTCGCTGATTATGAACGATAAATAATGAACGATTCCTTGACGAGTAAAATAAAAAAATAAGCGTATCCCGACATTGCAAAATTGAATATCAGATCAGAGGCTCATACGGCTCCGAATCTCAATTTTACAATCAAATCGACAGGAAAATAGCGCAGAGTTTGTCCCGCGAGAAGCAGACGGGTCTTTTTCGACTCCCTATACTTTTATTCCTCAGCTTTTTTATCAAAAACTTTATCTTATACTAACGCATTGATGCAAAACTAGCTTTCCCGACCCAAAGGGATATTGCGCCTTTCGGTCAAAAAACCTTGGGCCTGAAATTATTGAAAGCCCCTATCAATAGTTAGGTTCCACTGGGATGATCTGAGTGAGGATTAGTGATACTCGGATCATGATACGTCAAAGAAACCGTCGGACCCACCCTGTGGAAGGATTATTTGGTTCGTTTGATGTACCATGATTCGAGTGCTCTCGGATCACTGATCCTGAACCGGATACCAAACGAATGCACCCAAGTGCACAAGTCAGCACGGCAAATGAAAGAACGCGGCCCAGGCGCCCGACCAAGGGTTAGAGTTGCAGCTTTTAGGAAGCACAAAATTTTATCTAAAGATGCACTGGAAACTTGCTTTGTGACGTTTAGGAAAATCTCTCTTACCGCGTAAGGCATGGTAAATGTCGTCATCTCGCCAGTGCTGAGCCGATTCATTACAGACGCCACGTAACTTCCGTTCACCACTGAGCCAGAATCAAACACGAAAAACGTCGCATCTGCTTCGGAATTTGCTGAGTCCGGCTTTCTCACAACGTCTAAAATCTACCAGTACAAATCATCCGTTGAATGAGACACTGAAAACCTTTGGTTACCTAAAACATCTTATTCGACTTTACCTCAGTAACGAGGTATGTGCATGAACCCTTAATTTGTGGGTAAAATCACTTGGAAAATGAGAGCTTGCATGACCTGTAGGCCACTTTGAGGTTGCGATTAAGACTGGGTCGGTATTGTGTTGAACTGCATTGTGGGACGTTTATGGGGGACCAAATCTCAGTTTCCTGTGCAACCTTGTAACAGCCAATAAGAGATGCAATAGCATCTCCAAACCACTCCTATATGCATCGTGCAATTCGACTGTTCCAGGCTCCAGGACAAGAATGTGAAGAGATCGTAAAAACTGGTGCGAAATCGCGCGGGAGCTGGGGGAGAGATAAGGCAGTGGAACCTCTTTCTCCTTCATTTCCTGTCACAGCTCCTTTCCCCAGATCACGGGCGGCATATTTTCGCTTGGCTTGTTTCGTCCCTACTACTGTCTGACAGCATTGCAAAGGCTAATTATAATAAACAAATCGACAACAATTTTCCATGGTCTGTACTGTTATCGACCACAGGAATGACGTCAAAATGTTAAAAACTGAAGTAGAACCACCAGCCGCAGGCGAGTAATTTGTGCCATCAACAAAGAGTTTAGCTTTTTTCTCGGAAAAGTTTTTTTGTGAAAGCAGTAGAAAACGTTTCTCCTGTGTTTGCATATCCTGATATAAACACTCGACGGATTGAAAGAATTCTCAACCGTTATAACTGTCTTGAATTCTTCCACGGCTACCCAAACACGGAAAACGTTTTCTATTGCTTAAATCGACCATATCTGTCGACCAATCGGTGCGAGAGAAATCACCCAGTTTTTGTAAGACACAACATCGACCCAACTCTCCAAACGACTGATAAAAGGAGTAATGAATGGTAACTTACAGTAGCACTAGTACTGCCGCTTTTCCTCTTCCTTCGCGAAGTTTTTCTTCCTTTAGCTTCCACGTACAATGCAACAAGCTTACTAGCCAGATCGCTTCTAAATGAAGAGTTTGTCAAATCTTGATTCTCACCGACACTGATACCTATAATCACGTGGTCCGTTTCTGAGTTCGCAAGAGAGTCTGGGATGTACACTGGAACCAACACCTTAAAAAAGGGGAAAAAAACAACAAACGGGAAAAGTTCAGACAAAATCAAATAAGCTGTCATCCGATGGAAAGGATCGCCGCTAGACTTGCATACAAATCGAGCTCAAATTTTTTCACGAGTGCGAAGCGCGAGCGGTAGATTTTTTAATGTTTTCTTCTGCAAAAGCGAGCGAAACAGTCTAGATCGCAGCCTACGGTTAATTACATTGCGCCAGAAGGTGGATCACCATTGTCGCTAAATCTCGTACCCATATCTCTTGTCGACGAAGGAGCGCATGCATGAAGTAAATTCTCAAAATGGCAGCCGTGTTTCGACTTGTTACACAACGAATTTGATAGTGTCGTGAAGGTTTCTCTGACAAAACGTGGTTATACGAACAGCTTAAGTCTGAAACAACGAACATTTAATGTCGTTTGTAACATCACATTCAACCCAGGCAGTTAACGTATTTAGTTATATTTATATTTTGTTAAAGTTAATTTAGCGCAAGGTAAAAGTTCGAAGCAGTACGTGTCAACTTTTACGCGACACTTTGTTTTACCCATTTCTTTATCTTGATACCGAAGAGAGCGTTTTTAAAAGTATTTAAAGATAAGATAAAAATGGTTTTTCAAGTTATATTGAGACGGAAAACTACTTCAAAATCTTCAGTAAAAACATTAAATTAAACAGACTCTACTAAAGACTTTGCAAAGGATAAATTGTACTAGAAAAACAAACACATCAGGTCTGTTGCGACAAAATAGACTTAATCACCTGAAATCCCAATTTTGCGGTAAGCAGGTTGACATTAGAAACTTTAAATGTTTCCACCACAATTGTCCTGTTAACCACATTTCCGTCAACCAAAACGTAGAATTCCAAGTAGACCTTCTCATTTGGTTCGTGCAAGATAGTAGCAATCTGAAAAAGTTCAACTTGTTACGTAACGGTTCCGACCCACAAGCGTGCGCAAGAAAGCACCATTATTCTGTGAGCTTCCTGAAGTATCTAAGATAATTCACATTATTATACATTGTGCTAATTATCTGTCTTCTTATTGGCTAATAGCCTACAGCTAATTTTGGAAATCAGCGCAGCCTGCAGATTAGTTAGTTATCTGACTAACCTGTCAGTTATCTGACTAATCTGTAGGTTGCGCGCGCAATGCATGATTTCCTATAACAATATCAATTCAGGTTCCTTGCGACGGTGTGTTTGTCGTTATTTTCCTTTCCTTTGTGATATCCTAAATAATCAAAGTCTCGGTAAGTGTTATCAGCCTCGGCCTTCGGCTCAGCTGATAACACTTACCTAGACCCTAATTATTGCGGATATCACAAAAACCTTATCCAATAATTGTTTATTATCACTCTCCCCTTTGAAACGCATTGAATGCTAACTAGTCATTGGTATGTGACTTTAGGTGCGTCCCCTAACCCTTAATTACACAGCCTCTTTGATATGAAGCAACTTTGGTCAATAACCACTCTTGAATTCGATTACACTCTACTGATCGATTACGTCTCCTTTCCTTTCCCCTCCTCCCTTAAAAAAATATACACATATCCACTCGTTCACCAATCCAAGCATGTTTTTAGGTAGAAGCTCTTTGGCCGTCGGGGCTTGGAGCACTTTGTTCGCGTCTTTACACAATCTTCCTTTACAAACCACATAACAAACCAATACTCTCAGGTCCTCTCATCATGGCTAGATAAACCTTTTATTCCTTTTTGCGGTTTTCCGGGCCTTAACTTTGTTTCGGTCCAAATAACTCCAAATAACAAGAGAATGAAATTGACCAATGTGCAGCCATCTGACAATTTTACCTTTAGTTCATTTTTAGCTTCTTCTTTTGTGTTTGTTTTTGATACTAGGTACGATAATGAATAAAAGCATGGGAAAATAAAACCTAAATTTAAGGATACTAAAACTATCACACAAGACATCTTTGATGCGGTGTCTTCAACAAAGCATCCGAAGCTGTACTCAATAACACACACTTTACAACAGCGTTCTAATAATATCACACTTACCGTGGCTGTAACAATAGTTGAGGCTGGAATTTTTTTCTGGTCCTTATAATACGAAGCGAGATTTTTTTCAAGGTTCTCTTTGTTCGCTGGGATGGAAATATTTTTGTCAGCAGAATTTTGGATGATCAAAGAAGCCAGTCCATTTAGTGGTACAGGTGTTGTAGGTTGTTGTACCAGAGGCTGTGGCAGGTTGATGACCTAACCAAAGCAAAATATTTTCTTTAGTGAGGGTACAGCCTGTGGCGGAGACGAAACTAAACTCTGGTTAAGTCTGTCCAGGAAACAGCGCCGAAGTCCTTGTTATGGACCCCCACCTGTGTACCCGTATTTGAGTACACGCCTGATTGGCCTGTTAAAAATGTCATTGTCGATTGGCCAATCAGGATGAAAAGAAATTCGAAACGCTCTTCCCGTAATTCGTTGAGACCAGTGGGAGCCCAGAACAAGGATATCGGCGCTCCTTCGCAGACGTCACTAACCGAGGTTAAATTACGCAGAATACATTGAAATGTCCCCGTACAGTTTTTTTCTGATAATACAACAAACAAGGGTAAAACGTGTAAAGACACATTGCAAAAATACCTTTTTTTCCTATCATCCTGGCAAAGTGGAAACAGTCGCCAAATGAATGACCATTTCCCCACATCCCCCTCCACTTATTCAATGTTGTTTAGGGTTACAAGAGAATTGTATGCATTAAGTTTTAGACTAACATAACACTAGGGGGGGGGACTTATGTTTTTTTTGCTTTGTTGTTGTTGTTGTTGTTGTTTTTTCAGTTTAAAGGAGACGGTACTATGGCGCAAAAGACAGAAAAGAGATTGAACCGTCAAACACTTTTAACCTCATCTTAAATTTTTCAGCCAAGAAATTTTCGTCCATCAGGCTCATCAGAAGGGAAGTGTTATGTATAGTCCTGGTATGAGTTCTAAAAAGCATTTCTGAAAAACTTACATCCAGATTTACGAAGTGTTTTAATTGGTCCTTGCTGAGCTTGTTGAAGTTCTGGGCAGCATCAGTTGCAGGGATAGGTTGGTTATTCTTGGACACAACGAATGTAACATTTATGTTGTTTCTGTTGCGCTGGATGCTTTGAATCTGCAGAATGATCAAAATTATCAGTTTTTCAACGCTTTAACAGTTAAATTCGTCGCTTTTCGTCGATGCAAAGAACTGTTTGAAAAGTACCAGCCAAACAAACGCGTTTTTCGAGTGTGTAAAACAATTGTCAACAAAATGACGTTACTGCTTGGTATAAAAACTATTAGAGAGATTTAGAGCCACGCTGACGGCAAAAGTAAATTTGTACCACATGATCAAGTTTTCCCCTCACTTGCTTACTTCTACAGCAAAAATTAATAGTTTCACGTTGCCTTTATCCATGAGAATTGTTTTGGACAGTTTTCATCTGTTCATTTTCTACATTGAGAAATTTGCAACTTGAATGTCTCGTTTGCCGTTTGACCTAACCATGTCTCTGAATCTCTCTATTGTCTGTAGGTATTACGTGAAGAAACTAGTGCCAGCATTATTTGGCTGTGAGTTTGTAGGCAGTTAAAACTAAAGGTAGTGTCGGCGATGCATACTAAAATAGAAATTCAAATTAGACATGACATGGTTAAACGTCCTGGCAAGAAACAGAAGGACTTGCGTGGGAATTGGTGGAATTTTTATGGCAATTTTCTTCTCGTATAGATGGCCTCTATTCGCTCTACTACGTCCACTACAGCCAGAAATGGCAGGAGAAAGCTTACATTCATATGTACGTTACAATTACTACTTAGACTGGTATTTAAAGACTGGATGACATTTTAGCACAGCATTACTTACAGTAGCATTGACATCTCCGACTGCTCTCCGCCGCCTGTTTAATGGCAATTCTGCAAAAGCATACGCAGCGGCGAGATCACGTTCCAATTCAATTTTAAACTGATTAGTTTCAGTAATTGTATTTGGACCCACTTCAAAAATGGCAAACAATAGTCTTGACGGATCCGGAGGTTGTGTCGTCGGGACCGTAACAGAACTAGATACCTCCCGGGTGAACGAAGGTGTCGGCGAAACTGCTTGACCTGTTGTGGACGTGGGTGGCACTGTGGATGACACTGGAGTCGACACTGGAGTGGACACTGGAGTCGACGTTAGAAGAGTGGATGCGGTAGCTGATTTGGTTGTGGTACTCGCTGCAGAAGCAACTGTACTTTGAAACAGGTTGCTTGACTTTGCTACTTGCATGGAGCTCGAAGATAAAACGGTGGAGTTGATATCAGGGACAGGCAAAGTCGAAAGGACCAAATAAATCGACGAAACTTCAGTTGGACGCAGTGAAGAATTGACAGCTGAAGACTGCGAGCTTGAGGCATTCACAGTAAGGGTTGACAGCAAAGTAGGAGAGCTGGTATTCAGCGTTGCTGTTGGAGATACTTGAGCGACAGAAGTGGCATTCACCAGGGGAGTAAATAATGAAAAGCTCAGGGTAGAGTTCACATTAACTGACCCAGAAGACGACACATTGACCTGTGGAGTTGGTATCAAAGTGGGCTGAACGAGTCTGGTAGTGTAAACAACCCAGCAAATTCCCAGACTTGAAATTGTCACCAAGGGAGGCTTGTAGATATTAGTACTTGAAGCAGTAATTGCCGATGAGGTAGATATAGTTTGTTGTAATGTTTGACTGGCATGATCAGTCCTTAGACTCGATAGCAGTTTTGAAGTTGGAGCGATGAAACTCTGAAGAGTAGCTGACACTATAATGTGGCTGGCCTGAGTAGATAAGGACGACGTTGACAAGGTGACATTTGCAGTTTTGGTTGGGAGTGGAGAGGCAATGATTGTCAAGCTTGATTGACGAGCGTGCTGGGTTAAACTTGATTCGTTTCTTCCCATGGAAGCCGGGGAGGCAGAAGGAACGACAACTTTAAAAGTTGATCTTGTTTCCAGCAGAAGACGTGAACTTGTAGCAGTTTCACTTGCATTTGCAAACACAGTAGATGTCTTCTTTATATCTGTGGCCACTGTTGTATTACGGCTACCCATTGGCACGGATGATGTCATCAATACGACCGAAGAAGTGGATCCATTTACAAAAGAAGGAACGTCAACTTTAAGAGTTGAGCTAACTTCCTGCCCCAGACGTGAACTTGAAGCGGTTGCACTTGCATTTGGAAAAACAGAAGAGGAGTGCTTCACCTCTGGGGCTACTGTTGTATTACGGTTACCCATCGGCACAGACGATCTCATCAATACGGGAGAGGAGGTGGATCCATTAACAGCAACTGTGGACGAGCTTTGTTCGCTTGACATTGCAACTACATGTGACGTACTGCTAATAAACAACCCAGACGATGTTGTAAAAGCAACTGGTAATGTCAAAGGCAAAGTATCATTTCCAATCAACGTTGAGGGAGTAATCGCTAATGTGACGTCCTGTTGGTGAGAGGACAGATTTGCAGCTGTGTGAACGACAACGGAAGAACTATTACCCAACACCACCGCAGATGATGTTGTTAAACTCTTTGAGGAGGTGGAGGACAAAGTTCCATTAACAGCAACAGCTGTCACAAACGCTGAAAGGCTTGACGCTGATTGAACGGCAGTTGAATTTTTGCGCGGAACTTCCAAAGATGATGTCGTTGAAACCTGTGAGGACATAGGAGGCGAAGTTTCACTGGCAACAGTAATTGATGAAGTTGTCGCACCCGGCGAGGGAGTTGGTTTATGCGATGACCAAATTAATTTTGACGTGGAACTATTATAACTCAGCAACAAAGCAGATGATTTCATCACACCAGTTAAATCGATAGAAGACGACGTTTCGTTCCCAACCTGTGCTGATGAGGTTCCCACACTGTCCGAAGGAGTCTGTTCAGGTGATGAAGTAACAAACAATGAAGTAGAAGTACTGATAGCCAACATCGTAGATGACTTTATGGATGGCCTTCCTGACAGAGTTTGAACGATGGATATTGTAGAAGTGTTAGAAGCCACGCTTGAAACAGTCCCTGATGACTTCAAAATCGAATGAGCAGTGCCATTAGAAGAAACTGCACTATGAGATGGTGAATTTCCACTACTGGTCCCAGCACCTGTTGTCAGAGCACCTGAAAATGAAGTGCTTGTAGTATTGGCAAAACTGCTGCTTCCTTGACTTGAAGATAACGCTGCTGTTTGAGAAAGAGGTTGTTGTGATGAGGATGCAGTCTGTTTAGATAAAGCCTGGATGGTAGACACACTGTTCGTTTGGCTAATGACCGATGTAGATGGTAAACCTGCGGTTGATTTACTGGAAATCACCTGAGGCGAGGACGCAACACCAACATCCCTTTTCTTTCTACGCTTTCTTGCCGGGGGCTGAGATGAAAAAGCAGCAGAGGAAGAAGGTTCACTATTAATAATAGATGATGATAAGTTGTTCGTTTGAACTGAACGCGATAAAGTTCTTCGAAGACTGTTACTAGTAGGAGTGCTTGAAGCACCATCTTGACTTGAACTAGCGGTAGGTGATGCTTGCAAGCTTGATGAAGATGGTTGTACATCGATAATTGTGAAAGACGAATGATTGCTGGCTGATGACAACTGGCTTCTCGTAGATACTTCAAGGCCAGCAGTAATCGGAGAGCTGATAACGCTGGTATGAGGCACGGCCGTGGATAAAGATGAAGCCAATGATGGCCGTTCTCCAGTGGTGGAAGAAGAAGACGGAGTTGTGAAACTTGATGCCACCACTTGAGACACGCTAAAAACTGAGGTACTAACCGCACCAACTTGGGACACGTTCAGAGATGAAGATGTCGACAATGGTGAAAGCTGCCCGCTAGTAATGGAAGTAACCTGTGGTGAATGAGTTTCTGCTGAGGTTAATGCAACCTTTGGTGACAGCTGTCCGCTAGTAATGGACGTAACCTGTACTGGATTAGTTTCTGTTGAGGGTAACGTAACTTTTACATTAGTTGAGGTTTCCACATCTGACATTCTCTCAGTATTGCTAGAGTTTGACAGTGGTGTTTCCACAGACACACCAAAAGACGATCTTGTAGTTACCACATAAGAAGAGCTCAAAGAATTAACCTGTGGTGTATAAGAGTCTGTCGACGCCATGGACAAGTCGTATGTGGCTTGCATTGTTGATGACGTCACAGCGGTGCTAGCATTTGCCAATAATGTGTTACTGGACACAGTGAAAGACGAGGCTACAGTCCCACTACTATTTCTTAGCTGGGTTACTGATTTACTTGAGGTTGTAGCAATTAATCCTTCACTTGAGGTTTCAACCCGTGTGTTAAACAAGGTTCTATTTGGAAGAATGCTTGGTTTTGGACTTTCAGACGTGGCAGCTATGGTCTGAAAAACAGACGTTTCCGAGGCTTGAATTGTAGTGGTGGTACCACTTGACTTCATCTTGGAACTAATAATAGACGTTGGGGCAAAGGTGAGACCGCGCGAAGATAAATTTAATGATGAAGAAACAGTGGGTACAACATCTTGCACTGAACTTGTCACCTCCATGGATGAATCTCCACTACCAGACTGGACAACAACTGTGGCTGACGAATTTGAGCGTGTACCAGAACCTATGGACAGAGTCTGCGAAACATTGGGTGTTGCAGCAGTTGATGACGATGCTGATGTGGTTGCAGGGGAACTCAGTGTCCTATCAGTGATGGATGAACGTCTTGATTCACTCGCAGAATAAAAGACAAAAGCACTGGCTAAAGTGCTAGTCTGTGGATGAGATGAACTTGGCTGCAGACGAGTTGAAAGTGAGGCTTCTTTAACAGTGCTGATTGTACTACTGCTTGAATTAGGTAGACTGGAAATGGACACTGACGAAGACATTAAAGACCCTCTGGTACTGCCAGTGTGAGCGACTTTATCAGAGACTGTGCTAAACACTTGTGCGAGCGTCGCAGATGGCAAAAGAGGTGGTTGAGAAGGCACCAGTGTTGATTTAATACTGCTTTTTGGCGACGATGACATAGGCAGAACATTGCTGCTTGTCAAAACTCCTTCGGATGACAACGATGCAATTGAAGTGGACTCCAGCTGACTGTGCAGCACACTTCCTTGGTTTTTCATGGTACCTGGATATGTCAGTGTAACTGTTGGCGTAAGGGAAGGCATATCTGTAGCACTACCGATGTTCACTGTCATCTTTGGCACCGTTGCTGGGATAAATGTTTGATTGGCTGAAGCTGCAGGGAAAACGGTTTTCTCCACAACATAGTAGATGTAACAGGGATAAGAGGAGGATAACACAATCAACCCATCACCAGAGGATGTCTTGTTTGGAAGAACAGGTGTCGAGACAGAGGGTAATGAAAGGGTGGGTACACTGGACAAACTTGATGGCACTACTGGCACAAAATTTGGCGCTTCTATTACAACTGATACCGACGATGATTTTAGTGACTGGCTTGTAATATTCTGAGACGTTAGTAGACTTGGCAATACTGACAGTGGTCTTGAAGATTCCATAGCAACTGCTGTTGATGATAAAATCCCTTCATAGACTGTACTTGGAAGTCGTGTAACATTCTGTGAGGCCACTAGAGTTGGTAATACTGAAAATGGTCTTGAGGTTTCATTAGTTATTGATGTTGTTGATAAAATCCCTTCATACACCGTACTTGGGGGTTGTGTAACATTATGCGATGCCATAACAGTTGGTAATACTGAAAATGGTCTTGACGTTCCATTTGCAACTGCTGAAGATAAAACCCCACTATCAACTGTACGAGGAGGTGTAGCTTTGGAAGAGGTGTTTGAATGAACGCTACTTAGTGACTGGCTTGTGGCATTTTGTGCAGTGGTAAGATATGGTGACACTGCAAGTGAACTTGAAGATGTCCTTGGTATTTCACCCGTATCATTTGCTGCAATTGAAGACCCACTTCCTAGTGCTGCAAAACTTGAACTTACAGTAGCAGTTGTTGATGGCAATGCAGCTGGTGTTGTCATTGCAGAAACAACAGTTCTATTAAGTTCTTGACTTGAAGACAATGTAACAGCAGGAGACCCAGCTGCCTTTGATAATGACACTGTTGTTACAACAACATCTACTGAAGGTGTGCTGGAATTCACCATTCCTTCCAAAGACTTACTCATCACAGATGACACTGAAACAGTTTCATTTATAGCTCCTGAGACAGACTTTGCAATTGTATTTGTCAAGACTACTGTCATGGACACTGAATGAGCTGACAAGCCTTCCACAACAGACCGCGTGGCGTATGTGGACATGCTTTTGGTACTGTTAGAAGAATAACCTCTTAACAACGTTCTGCTTGTTGCCATTATAGCAGCTGATGATAACAAGACCCTATGAGTGGTTTCTAATGGTAGTACTGATGTTACAGCTATTGACTGACTGGACAGCCCTACTGATGAGCTATTCACTGCTGAAGTCTGTGTCAATGGCAAAGTTCTTGTACCAGAAGCGGAACCTGATGGGTCCACTGTTGGAAAAACAACAGAGGTCAATCTTGTTGTGTTTACTGGGGCCCTAGTACCCAGCACGGATGCAGTTGATTGATTTCCTTTACTGCTAGATAAAGGAGACAAAACCTTTGTTGTCCTTGATTCACTGATAATATCATTTGAACTTTTTGGTCCAGTAGTTAGTAACACAGAAGGTGTTAAGAACGATTCAACAGAGCTATTTAAACTATAATTTGAAGTACTAGTACTTAGAGCAATTTTTGTGCTGGTTTGACTTGCATTGATAGTTTGAGAACCAGACAACACAACATTTGTTGAATAGTTGAATGTCTCTGTTGTCGAGACCGAGATATCTGAAGTCTTTGTCTTCAAGCTACTGTTGGTAGAGTCTGCGGGTGTGCTACTTGATGCTTGAACTGGTTGAGATGTAACAGTGTGCACTGTAAAAGTAAATCAAAAATACAGTTATATGTCACCAATTGTGTTAATTACTAGCTAATTATTAGCCTGCATCACAGAATGGAACTTAAACCGTGGTTAAGACTGTCTGCGAACCAGTGCCGAAATCCTTGTTATGGGCCCTAACCTGTGTTCCAGGATTTGAGTACACAACATGATTGGCCTGTTAAAAAAGCCATTGTTGATTTGCCAACAAGGTTGAATGGAAATTTGAAACCCACTTCCAGTCCATTGGGGTTCAGAACAGATGCTACTAGCTGCGGTTAGATTACATCTGCAATGCAAGCTAGCATACTTTCACACTATGAAAAACCATGAACACCTAGAATATTTCAGGAATGTTTACTGAGTTATGACCACACATAGCAAATATCAGTACCATAGCTGCTAGCGGTTTATAGTTTTCCCATGCCTTATCAGCTTTTTCCATGGACACAATAATATTCCTAGAATATTTGTAATGCTCACTTTTTTATGAGTTTCACAATTAAGGGATAAAGAATAATCTAAGGTTGGTCCATATTGTTCAAAATATTTTATAATTGCAGTAAACAACTAATTCAAAAAAATCACACAAAAGGCTCTTAAAAGTGGGAGATGTTTATGCTTATTACAAAGTATCAGTCAAATCGAAGCTTCAACATCCCCTCCCAGGCAACCCATAGGCATTTGAATTTTTTTCCAATTAAATAAGTATTCAAAATTCAAGCCTTGCCTACCCAGAAAGCCATTCAAATGTTCCATGATCAATCATAGGTCCATTTTAGGTGAAATGACCTACTGGGAAAATTAACTCTTTTAACTCTGTAGCCCTCTAATGCTCAAGAAGCCAAGTCTGCAGGCCAGGAAGGTTTCAAATGAGAACAAGAGAGTGCTTCCATTTTTTGCACAGTATCTCAAAGTTTCACATGCAAATATACAAAAGAAAGATGTCAAAACGGCCTTTTCATTTGTCGAACAACAACAACTTTGACAGTAAAATGTTTTGCATCTCAGAAAACACCATGGATTTATTTGATACACAAACAAACAAAACTCTTGTGTAAAGTGGCTGAATTTTAAATAATACCAAAAATATCACATTACAGCCCATCAAAGAAATTGATTATCTATAGAAAATAATTTTATGAGGAAATCACCTGTATTTTTATACATTCATATATTTTTATGCTTTGCAGCCAATCAGCCACAAATTTACAAAAATTCTCTTTGAAAGCCTCCAGTCCAAGTAAAAAGAAATGAAATAAAGTCTACGATTCAATTTCCCATCCATATACACGGGGATCAAGTTCCCACCCCCAGAATACTCCCAAGGACAACAAAGTGTCATATTCCTAGGGTATGCCCTGGAGTGTTGAAGCTTTAATTTGACAGATACATACTTGTAATAGTTTTAACTAATATATATGTTAATTTCCTACAATGAATTTACAGTACATTAAAATCAAAACTTTCCAGTTTTCGTAGGTTTGACGCCTGACTCAAATCTGTGACTTGATTATTTCATCATAAGTCTTACTCGAAATAGAAACTTCAAACAAAAAGTGCTCACAGGAAAATTAACAAAAGAAAGTTCTTGAATTGTTTGAAACACAATCAAGAGAAATGAAGTATGTAAATAATTATCCGGCGAGATCAAAAGTTTATCACACGATTACGAAGTAAACCAGAAATGAAGTTCACTTAACCATTTATTTTAAGGGACTGTTGAGAATGTAAACATCATTTATAAGAATGTTGCTGATGTTGCTGCACTGTCTTGTAAATTCAATATGTAAGCCTCCCAGGGGAACAATCAAGAACACTTTTCAATGAAAAAAAAACACAGAAAACACAGAAAACACAGAAAATGCTGTTGATCACCCCCAATCATAGAGTCTTCTTCTTTCTCCAAAAGACTCATCTCCTTCATTTTGTATTAAATATATAATTATGTGTAACATAAATAAGTAAATAAAGAAGTTAAGAATTGAAATATTTTGAAATACGTCTTTGGCACATTTTTTTCTGTTAGATTTAAATATCACGATTGCAATCTGGTAACTGCTTTCAAGAATCATTACAAAAAAGTGACTAGACGTAAAACTGATCTAAAGATAAACGTAATTTAAATTAAGCAAATAAAATTAAAATTTAAGCTGTTAAGACAATTATTCTTGAGATAAAGAAACTTAAGCTTATACCATGCATGATCGCAGTATTATATTAAATGCAGAGACCACCACAGCAAGCTTAAATCACCATGTGCCAAGTGTGATTATTTAAGCACTCAAAACGTCTACAATGCGGCAGGGATATTTTGCAGAACGCAGAAAGCCGAATGCAGAATGCAGAACCCCAAATGACTCTGAAGTTTAGTGATTAGGGTAAGGAAACTGAGTGAATCAAGTTTCAGGACAATTTTCCTGGTGATGATTCTAAATGGAACCTGATTCACTCAGTTTCCTAGCTAACCCTAATCACTAAACTTCAGAGTCATTTAGCGTTCTACATTCTGCATTCAGCGTTCTGCAAAATACCCCAGCCGTCGACAATGTTAAATGTTTCAATGACAATCTCAGTCGAAGATACATTGGATGTTTAACCAATATCCACTAGGACGCTTTCTAGCAACTAGCTGTTTCAAATAAGCTTTTGGAGGACGTCTTTCTCACTAACTTAGAACACATTTATACAATTTCAAAGGAAAATGTCACGTAAAACAAAGTTTGTTGGCAAACATTATTTTACATGAACGTTTCCAAATGAAGTACTAGAGTAATTAGCATTAAATGAATCAGCAATATGAATAGTACATAAGAAAATAAATCGGTTATGGATGTTCTCTCGAATGAAAACTATCGTTCCGTCCAGGCTATAAGCTTAAGTTAGTTTAAAAGATTTTTAAATCAAACTTACCGAAAGTCGAAGAGGCGTCCGTATTTATTACAACATTTGTGCTTGTTGTGACATTCGCAATCGAGGATAAATTATCGGTAGATATGCTTGGCAACACGCTTGAAGCGAAGCCTGAAGTTGAAATGGAACTGGTGCTTTCAGCATTTGATTGTGGCGCTAAAATACCGATGACCACGACAAAAATCGTCCATATTTGTCCCATCAAGATCTTTTCCTCCTTCAAAAACTGCGACATCACGTTTGACTTCTCCCTCGCTTCATCTCGATTGGTAGTAAAGCGATTCGTTCACTTGGAAATTAACCCTGATCGTTGCATTGCATTCAAAGTGTTTTGCGACCGCCATATTATCATAACACCATGGCGACCAAACAGAAGACACGTGATCTCAGCTTTGTCTAAGGCTTGTCCGGCTTGTCCACACTTGTAAACGGCGATTATATCGTTTGGGTCGACAAGTGAATGATAATGTGAACGCTATGAATGGCATTAAAAGTGAACGTTTCGACAGTCCAACGATCGTTTTCAAGTTCAATATAGAAAGATGAAAATAGCAAAAGAAAAAATATCTATATGCATAGAAACAATAGAAAATTATAATTAAATATTTCAGGTTTTTCTTTCCGTACTCCTTATCTCATCGCAATTAGTAAAGCATGCCAGTTTTTTTTTCTTTTTTTTTTTTTTTTTAATATTGAACTTAGAAGTGACGACGGCTCTACGGGTAAGACTTTCATAATTAAATCCTCTCGTAAACATTTTTCGACTCTGGGTTATTCTCAGTGTTAAAAAGCTCATCATTCTTTTAAAAAAAAGTTTCATGAAACTTGCTTTATTTCAGCAAAGGACACCCAGTTGGGTCACTAAAAGACTTGCCCGAGCCTGCCGAACAAACATCCATCGTGGGTGAACTGGAAAGAGGGGAGGAGGCTCTCCGGGGCCCCTCCCTCCGCTAGCTATATTCCCGTTTTCATTTTCCTTCGCCGTCTCCTCGCGATTTTTTAGCCCCCTTGCGCCAAAAGAGAGCCTTTTCATAGGCTAAACTGAAAAATTACCCCCTTTATCACCCCTGTTCTGCCAGCCAAGCGAAAAGTCATATGGAGTAAAGCTTTTTTGCTTTCCAGTAGTAATAAAGAGTTAAACAACCTCTCTGAGAATTTTGACGTTCCATAATATTTGATCTCGTACCTTATTTTGGAAAATAAAAAAAAACTGACAAGAACTAAAAAAAAAGTAATTTGCTATCAGGCTAGTCTGTGAGGGGGGGGTCTTCACACAGGCTACTATCGCCGGATCTCGCCTGCGTAGCAAGCGTTTCCGTGCGGTTTTGGAGCAAAGAACTAGGAACGAGAGTCAAAGACCGCGCAAAAAATGGCGCGCGTAAAAGAGCGGGGAGGGGGTGGGGAGAAAGGTCGAAAATCCGCCTGTTTCTCGGTCTTTCTTTGCTCCGAAACCAAACGGAAACGCTTGCTACGCAGGTTAGCTACTATCAAGCCGGATTAATCTAAAATACAATAATTTTTTTTCTTTGAAGAAGAACGTAGTTTACCCGGAGTTTTTGCTTTGAATTGACAGGTTATAGTTCATGTATTCGAAAGTGCTTCTCGATAACAGACCGAAACTTTATTTTCTTAATGTTGTTTTAAATGATTCTTAGGGTTTGTATATTGCGTGACTGAGTCTGTTTAGCCCAAATGGCACGAGGTATTTTAGGCCTCAGGCTTAATCAAATTCTTGCTAGTTAATTCTCCCAATGCTCATGATCAACATAGTTCCAGACTTTTCTCTTTAAAAGTACTTTGTAACAATAGAGCTCTTTTCATGAAGAATTTTTCTGTTTTGTCTACATTACATGGCTCTTAGCCAATCGTTATTCCTATGTAAAATATTTTGTGAACTTTTCATAAACATTCCATGCAAATTACTTTTTATAGGCATTTCCGCATTAGTCTCGCCACTAGCAGTTAGTATTAATGGCATATTTGTCTAACTGTTGCGGGTGGCGTGACAAAATCCATTCAAAAGCTGTTTTCACCTGTCAGAACAGAGATGAAGATATTCCATCTCGACCTCGTATGTGGAATATGACCAACAGAAAAATGAACATAACAGCTTGACATGCATCTAATATCGAACGTGCGATTAAACCGGAACTGACAACGACGAGGCAAGAGAAACGCGACGGAATCGAAGAACAACATGGATATTTTCGATGAGTTGAGGATACCGATACCACAAGCTTTCGAGTCACCGAGCCTAACTCGAGTGGGAAGGTTCCAGCGCGGTATATTGACCGCAGCACTTGGTGTTATGTCTATAGCACAAGCTGTTCAGTGGCAATTTAGCAAGCAAGATAATAACTTGGGTTCAGAATTTCGTTGTACATTTAAGGATGGAGTTGCCGAGAGAAGCGCACGAGAAGATCTAACATCTAGACACTTCGAGGAGTACAGACAAAAATACACCCCAGTGTCTCAGGAGGGGTTTCTGTTCTTCGCCTTACTGAATCTTTTAATCGGTTGCATTTACACGTCATTTGTGTCCGAACGATTTAGTTTGTGGTTACAGCTCAATACCTCGAAACAGCGTGGCAAAATAGTGGTCGAGTTGAAGGGTTCCATGGCAGTGTTCAAGGCATATTCAATTCAACTCTGTGTGAAACTTGTGTCAGCCTTAGTGTTTATTATATACAGCTTTCTTATGTCCTCGGTCATTATACCATCAGAGAGGGAGTATAGCAAACAACGGACGCCTTCACTACCTTTTGTATTCAGTAGCAGCTCGGTTGTGACTACAATTCATTGTTATGCCGATCAAGCGTTCAAATCATCAATATTTAATACTGCTGTGCTGACCTTTGTAACGTTCGCTGGAGTTCTTAGCTTGGCAGAAATCGTGTATGCGTGGCAAGAAACGAAGGCCTTCGAGAACATTTCCGATTATTATTTTTGCATGCTTTTATTGAGGCATAATTGCGTGAAAGAGAGCACTAATATGGTAATAGAGAAGGAGCTTTTTATAGACAAACAAAGGAAAACAATACTTGAGGCTATAAAACATAAACTTCGACTTCCGTTGGCTAATTGCTGTAGCTGTCCAAGCGCGCCTTGTCTCCCTATTAATAATATTTTCATCTCTCAGCAAAAACTGAAATATAAGGGAGTTAAGAAACAGAGACATAAGCAGGAACTCTTCAGGACCTACAGCAGCACTAAAAAGCTTCCGGTTGCCTGTTTAGGGGATTTATTCAAGCCCAGTAGAGACTCGCCGAATCCAAAGAGAATTTTAGTGACTGGGGATCCCGGTATTGGAAAAACGACACTCGCACGCACTCTTGTTCAAGAATTCAATTCGAAATTATCTTCAGATGAAAGCGAAATGGGCCATCTAAACTTTGTCTTCTCTTTCGATTTCAAAGAGCTAGGTGTAATACATAACAAAACAACTTTGCAAGAATTTCTTTCTTTCTCCTCCGTTTCGCCGAAACTGAAAGACATAGTCTATCGACAGATCGCCGCAAATCCAGGGCAAGTACTTCTTATTTTTGATGGTTTAAACGAGTGGACAGTAAAGACAACGAAGTCAATTTACCCTCCTAATGGAGAAATTGAAGAGAAAATGTCCGTGGATTCTGTTGTGTTTGGACTTCTTTCTGGAAAACTTTTACCAGGTTGTACCATGGTGGTGACGTCACGATCTGCTCCCTTACTTTCAGAAATTGATGAGATCTTTACGTTTGATAGATACGCAGAGATGGGTTCTTTTCAGTTTGACATGGTGAAGACTTACGTTCAACAATTTTTCCAGAACAGAAAAGATCTCAGTTTAATGCAGTTGACAAACCGCATTTCTATGCATGAAAATCTCGAGGTTTTCTACCGTGTTCCTCAAAACTGTGTTCTTCTTTGTGTATACCTCAACTTTATGGCGTCAAAGAGACTGACTGAGGTTTCTCAAGCCACTGAAATTCCTTCCACAACTTCGCGACTCCTTCAGAAAGTTATCGAAACCGCGACAAGAGAACAATCAGTTGAAATTAACTGTAGAACACCCTCAACAAATAATTTTCATTTTTCAAAGAATTTTCAAGACGCCCTAGAAAAACTCTCCTCTTTGGCATATCAGGGAATAATAGATCAACGCTATGTTTTTCGCGAGGAGGATCTCTCACGAGTTCAACTGAGCGCTTTTGAAGTTGAGATTCTCAAAGATGCTGGCTTTCTCCTCCGTTTAAGACGCATTTTTCCAGAGCAACCTGAAAACTACTTTTTCAGTTGCCTCAGCATTCAAGAGTACCTTGCGGCCTGCAGAATGATCAAATCGATGTCTATTGCAGACTTCCGAGATTTCCTGGAAATAGCCAATGAGACCCATTGGAGTACACTTCTGCTTGTCGCTGGCTTGTGCAATGATGGAAAGCAGAGCAAGGGTGTATTTGTGTGCCTGATGCAGTACTTGATAGAGGCTATCAAGCTGAACAGATTAAATGATGAACCAGTCATTGATAATCAAGCGATTGTTTTTCTCTGCAAATGCCTTTTTGAGAATGGTACTCAACTGGGGCATCCATTTGCAAGAGAAGTTACGTCTTTGATGCCAAAGGCCAAACCCATTACCTTTACTGAGATAGGTGCAAACCCCCAGAAGACCCAAGCAATTATTGATTGCTTGAAGGGACCCATGGGTGACAACGTAAAAAGAGTTATCTTCGAGAGCAATGCAATGGGGGACAGTGGGCTACGTCAGGTAGCGTCATTCATTTCTGACCGGTCTTGCAAGTTGAACCAAGTTAACTTGACAAATTCATGTGTCACCGATGACGGAATGTTATCCTTCTTGGAAATAACCGCAGGACATTCATTTATCGGAATAAAGGTTCTGGGGCTGCGAGGAAATCAGATTTCCAGCGAAGGAGCAAAGTATCTAGCGTGCGTGCTCTTCAATGATTGGTGCCAAATTGAGGAACTCCATCTTGGCAACAACAACATAGGTGATGCGGGTGTCGAGCATCTCAGCGAAGCTCTGTGTAGCGGAAACAGCAAAATTCAAACTTTGGACTTAAGTTCCAACGGAATAACCCACAATGGAGTTTTTCATCTGAGCCAAGCTCTTAGTAGTCCTATTTGCAGTGTTAGGAGACTCTTCCTTCAAAAGAACAGAATGCTGGACTTCGGCCTTCAAGACCTTTGCCAATCCCTTTGTAGTGGGGATTGTAACCTCAGGATACTTTATGCCAGTTCCAACGAGATCACTGACGATGGTATCAGGTTCGTGGAAAGGGCGCTAGCTCACAAGTCATGCGCGCTGCAGGAACTGTACCTCGGGTATAATCAAGTTACTGACAAAGGAGTTAAAAGTTTGCTTCAAGCCCTGCCCAATCATCAGCTCACCCTCAAAGTTCTGTCCCTGACCAACAACCCGATAACGGACGTGGGAGTCAAAATGTTGGCTAGCGCCTTAAGGAATTCAAGTTGCAATCTTCACAGACTCTGCATAAGCTTGGGAAGAGCACAACTGAGCACAACGAAGGCATCCAAACTGCAAGTGCGATACGTTAATGCATTCTAAATTAACACGATAATAGTCACCTGTAGTGTTGAGAGGTTTAATCAAGTGACAGTTTGAACAAGATGTTGTTAAGAAGAAGGTCCACTTTTATTTTTGCTCAGTTACCGTTGATTGTACCATGCCCCACCAGTAGACTGGCTTGCTCTTCGACAAAATAAATGTGGCATCTATTTTTTGACCAAATTAAATCTTCCCTAGTTTTCTAAAGGAAGAACATTCCATTCAACTAATCCACCATAGGCAAGGGTTTTTGGACGAATTCACTGAACTGGAAGCTGCGGGACTCAGTCTTAGATATAAACAGAAGGTCCAAAAACGTTAGTGATGGAACTAGAGTTTTCTGGTAACTAATGCTGCGATAAATAGTTGCATATCTTTTGTTCATTACCCTTATGTCTTCCTTGCTTTTTGGTGGCAGTATTTAAAGTATGACGGCATTGCACCCACTGGCACTGGATGAAACTGTATACCAGCATGAATAGAGATTCTTCTCATCTATTACCTACTTATTATGTATTTATTAATGCTGAGTTGGAAGAGCACATTGACTACGAGCAGATTTTAACCAAGAGAAATGTTCAATTACACACATTCATTGGAAAGGAGAGTGTGCTTACAAAGATTTATTCAGGATAAAGACGAGGGTTTTTCTATACAGTTGGCGAATGGTAGTTTATAACCACACAAACAACTTTATTTATCGCAAAGCCCACTTAAAATCATGCAGTACAAGATGCCCTTTTCAGTGTCACTTATAATGAATAAAAAATGAATTATTTCATATATACTTCACATCAATGAATAAAGATATAGTTAAAGATAACCGCGGAAATTGTCAGTTATTTTGTCAATAAGCACAAGAGTTTTTTTGTTCTCCAGCCTTTTCGCTTGGGTACATGAAAAAATTCTGCAAAGCAGTGTTTTTCGTGGTTTCTTAAAAAAAAAAACAGTCTAATAAAGACACTCTAGTACTTGCCCGAGGGGGCAACACTTAGCGTCAACACAAACGTATTGATGTTTCCCGCCGCAGCTCGAATCATCTAGCCTCAGTTGTATACTCTACTTTGCAAAGTAAAATTGACATATACGTCAGTTTTAGAACTACCTATGATGGCAAACATTTCACTTTAATAAGGCCTAAAGTTGAAACATTTGACGTGCTATATATGTACTTAGTATTTAAAGCTTCCCTGCATAACCAAATTGCTGTCACAAGGGAGTTACATTTCCCAATTAATTTTTACTTAAAACTCACCAATAACAAGGATCTCTACTGTAACGGTGTCTTCCGTTTCCTCATGTGGTCTGTTCGATTTCCATACAACTCTACACGTGTAGTTTCCCTGGTCTCCTCCTTCCACGCCAAAAATATGAAGTGTGCCACTGTACGGGTCAATCATTATTCTTTCTGTGGGTAATTCTAGAAGCGTCCCGTTTTTGCGCCATTCATAGTGTAGCGGAGGGAAGGCAGATATGGCCAGTTCGATTGTTCCGTTTTCACCATTGTTGAGTAGTTGTGGTGTCGTGACTCTATGGCTAACAACTGCAATGTGATTTGGGGATAGCTATTACTGAAGTAAACATACCGTAAAATTCCGAAATAAGCCCCGGGGCTTGTATTTTTCAAAGGCCCTTTTTGAGGGGCTTATTTTCAGAGGGGCTTATATTCGGAGGGGCTTATCTACGGAGGGAAATTTGCTTTTCAAAATCGATTGGGCTAGCCTTATAGTTGGAAGGAAATTTATCGTTTTTCCTTTGTTTTACTTTGTATTTGAGGGCAGTTTCCAAGAACAAGCCCCCGGGGGGTTATATTTGGAGGGGCGATTTCACGGAGGGTTTTTTGCGTTACGAGTTCGGGGAGCTTATATTTGGAGGGGCTTATTTTCGGAATTTTACGGTATTTTCAAATCTGATGATTGCTAAGGTGCAGATTCAGGTGTTTTAAAAGAAACGAGCCGTTAACGAGAGCATTGGCCAACCTTAGCCTGTGCTATTGATGATTAACTGATTAAAGAAAAAGCCTATATTAAATGTTAAGTGACTTTTGAACTGCCACCCTTGGATGCTTGCACTATAACAGGTCACTACCAAGATCTTAGTGCTGATGTCTGTTCACAGACGTGGTAAGAATTTTTGAGTGTTTTTAATTAGTTACAAAACAGATATATTATATAGTTACTTACAATCAACTTCAAGGGTAAAACTGCTCGATTGTTTTGATCCTATACATGTATAATTTCCCCCATCACTGACTCTCACGTCTTCTATATGTAAGAAATAGTAGTCCTCCCTCCTGGGTTCAAGTCTCACTCTTCCTGCAGTGCTCTCTACTGTAATATTCTCTGCCTGTAACTGGGGAACACCCAAACTTGCTTCCCTTGAAGGCGTTTCCCAGCGAAGAAAGTCCTCCCCGGTTACCTCACATCTAATTTTGATGGTTCGGCCTTGCTGAGCAGTTCTTCTTTGAAATGGAATTTTTACATCGGCCCCTGTAAGACAAAACACTGCAATAGAGGACAAAATTCCTTGGAACAGGCGTGGAGTATTCGTAGTTACTTGAAATTTCAGGATGCCTTCATGAACCAACGCTGTCATTTATAGACGCCTTGCAGTTCCTCCTTCCCCACCCTTTACAATAATAATTGAATGTTGATACTCGGGCGAAATGTCTGAAAAGGGGGGCTGCTTGCCATCTACTGGGTGCGAAAAGGGCATCTAGAATGTTCTTCTTTTTTTGGAATTCGCAAGTTCAAACCAGAGCTCTATAAATGAAGCTAAAAAAGAGATAAAAGCGCGAGATTTAGGATTTGTTTTCATATTAATATAGCTGCTTTAGAATAAAAATAGACGACGTTTCGACGGTAGTATTTCATTCATTTGTCATTAACTCAGATCATGCATTTTCCATACTAAGGTGATTTACTAATCAATTTCGTTATTGGGAACTGAGCTGCCTTGGCATAAAATGAACCAAAAAATCACAACGGTTCTTGCAAAAGCGTAAAAAAAGGTCTGGTAGACCACAAGAGAGACCGAGAGAGGATGCTCATGTCAACCATCACAAAAATTTACTGCGTTGCGAGATTTTGCGCTTACCTGAGAAGACAGCCGACCTGGTTTCCCCATGAAATGACGTCTGAGGACTGAGGAACATGCGCAGAAATTCCATACTGATGACATGTCAGAACCAAGATCTGAACAGTCCTTGATTCTGACTTTTTGGCCGTGCCGTAAGGAAAATTTGGTTCAACCTATCAGTAGCACTTCCTAGATCTGGATAGTGACACATCATCAATATGAAACTTCTACAGTCGTTTCTCAGACGTCATTTCGTGGGAAACGAGAGAAATGCAGTGGTGGTCTAGAGAATGTCTGCTGTTTTCTTTTGCTGCATTTGCCCCTGCAGTTATAATTTTGCACCTTGGCAATGGTAAATTATAGAAAAATTATTGACTTTGAACTCTCAGCCACATACCAGAAAAACGTACTATTACAGCTACAATCACGAGCGTCTGAAAGCGTCTTCTCCACTTAAAGTGAGAAACATCCATTGGAGAAAATAGTCAATTGTTGATCACTTGATTTGTCCGTAGACGTGACCTGGTTTGTTGACAGCCATTCCTCTCACCCGTGAGACCATCCATATTGCCTGAACAAAAGAAAGCCAACATAGCCAAACACTACATGATTATGGCAAACTTGCAGGACTTGAGGCTAACACCATATTTCCAAGTTTAAGTCGCGTTAGAACATAACATTTCTTAACTGCAAGCAAATGTATCTTGTATATCGATATCTTGCTGGGCGCAAGTAAATAATACAAGTACACAAAAGATATAATGTTACTTTCAGACATAAAAGAAAAAAGGAAAAAAATGAACCATTCTTTTAATTCAGTATAGTGAGCCTGTCAGAGGGATGAAACTGGAGTGCAAAATAGAGCAAACTTGGAGAGGGGTGTGCATCTGATTGGGGATCAGTCCCCTCAGGCGTCCCCCAGGAAACCAAATCAAGGCCTTGGCTTATTTTGAGTATGATTTATGACCTTGTAGTCGAAAATGCACGCTTATGGAACTATGAAGACGATACCAGTATCTCAGTCTGAAACGTTTAGTATACGAAGGGGGAACTTTTAGCAACGCCCAACTTACTACAGATAGAGTAATACAATAGTCACTAGAAAATAGAGTCTGGCTGAGCCACTGATAAAGTGTAAAGAACTGTGAATATCTTTTACAAAGTCCCAGCAAGAATTTGAGCCCATTCTCATCAATGACAATGCTGTAGAAGTGGTTGAAATTGTAAAGCTATTAGGTCTTAATATTTCCAGTGATTTGACCTGCAGGACCTGATCCATATTAATGAAACTATTAAGAAGACCTCAATAAGATGACATTTTTTGGTTCAACTTAACAGGGCTAAGGTTGCTCGCACTGATTTGGGGCTCTTTTACTCTGGTTGTATTAGATCAATTATGGACTGTGTGGTACCGGTCTTTTACTACAGTTTGCCTAAATATTTAACCCAAGAATTAGAACGTGTACAAATCGCGAAGAGAGCAATGTCCTTCATCTGCCTTGGTCATAGCTATCATGAGGCCCTCGATATTATGAACTTTAAAGAATTAGCCACCCAATATGACGAAATATGTGAGACACTTTTTGATACAACTGTAAATGACAACAACCAGGAAACTGCTTATCGTTAAGGCGCGCGCGGCCTTTTAACACGCTACGGTTCAAAACCGACCAATTTAAGAATAGTTTTATGATCTTTTCATGAGTTAAAGAGAACACAGTTTATAGTTTCTGAATTTGTTTTTAAATTTGTTTTGGCATTTTTATCTTTTTTCAATCCTTTTTATTCTTTTTAATTAAGTAGATTGATGAAAATAGTTAACAACTTGATCTGTGTATCTTTATTTATGTAACGTAAATACGCAATTCAGTTTTCGAACTGCCATGTAGTTATATGAATATTAGACCTCAAACTTCAAACTTCCAGATATTTGGGCCGTTTTTGTTCCATCTTCAACTGGAATCTCCAATCAGTTGGGTCGGCAGGAACGCCGTGACGAAAGAAAAACAACTAACGTGACGGACTCAAATGGCCAGTAGTTGCCCATGGGATCTGGTAAACCTTTTGAGTTTCCTCGTTAGACCTCGCGCGGGGGTGTGTCTCGTGAATTACGAACCACAAACGACCTAAAATACCTCCGGCTACTCACGATACTATTTATCAAAAAACAAACAAACAAACCAAACCAAACCAAACCTAATAAACAGAAACAAAACAATAACAACAACAAAAAACGCGCAACCGTCCGTTCCACAGGCCATCCATCTCCAAGGACGCCGAGAAGAGAATAGTGTGGTTACTAAGCTCCCAAAATGGTCTGACCGATCTTACTGGAAACGAGAATCCGAATCAGCCAATGATAAAAAAGGAACGATCTTAATGCCGTTTTTTTTTTTGACGTTTCTGAATTTGAATCTGGAAGAGCTGTAAAATCAGGCTTGGATCCTACTCTGATGGGTTTAGTTTGTAACAAGACAGGGGTAAGAAGGCGGTAAAGATGAAAAGAAAATCTCGGTCATGCGCCCAAGGATAAATCAAAGGACATTAAACTACTGACACTACATTTTAAAAGAAACTACGAATGATGTTCAATGTTTGAAGACAGCGTGTCAGTAAGTCTTCAAATTTCGCGACATATGGGTTAAAACACACACAGGCAAAATTGACTTAAAACAAATAATCGTAAGCAGCAGCTGCCGACCTGACTAAAACAGTAAACACAAATTTCGGCAAGAAACAAAGGTGGATAATTCAAAGTTTCAGTTCAGGCGAGTGAGACGCAAGACATGTGATTTCACCTTGTAAATGGGTGCCAATAAAATACCTCACAACTAACTTTGCTTACTTAGTGGTGGAAAGAAACAAAAGAACAATGTTACAGTTAAGTTGTCGTACAGCAATGTTTCCAACCTGAACATATACCATCTAAGAACTCGTCGATAAATTATGAATATATCTTTACTAATAACACTTCGAATAACAACTGAGGGGACTGATAAAAGTGTGGTGTCGTGTATTAAGTAGGCAGAACACGTCTAGCTAATTTCCTCTTGGAAATTGTGCGATTATGAGTTGCTATGAGCAAGCTTAGGATTATTACAAAAACGTGTTTTACTACAAAAAAAAGCAAAAAAGGAAAATTGATTGCAGGGAAGGATCATTTCGGTGACGATTATCTTTACGCGTATATCCGAGGAGGGCGAAGAACAAAGTGGATCAGTAGTTTACCTTAAGGGATAATTATTGACCTGTTTGCCGGCGGTATATTTATGAACAGACGCTCAGAAGAAAATATCTGAAAGACGCTCCATCTGGTTCATTTAGACGGGTCATTCTTTGAGCGAAAATCAGGCCAATCAATTGTGTAAAATGCCAGAAATGAAAGGTTAGGAAAGAAAAAGAAACTAGGAACGCGCTAATAACTATTACGATAACTATAAGAACACAATTCAACCGATATTTCTTTAAAAAAAATAGAATATAGAAAATAGGACTTTCTTACCGTGAGAAGCGAATAAGAATGGCCTTAACATGAAATTATTGCTTTGGATTTATCAAATCGTTTCATAAAATAGGACAGCAGAACACTCCACCGTCTGTTCGACAGTCTGCTTTACAGCATTGTGACATGTCAGCTGACTTTCTGGTGTTTGCTTTCTTGACAGGTCGACGCTGCTATTGAAGAAGTAGGGAATAATAAGTGGTAGTGGAGAGCGCGAGAATTCTGTTTCAAACTTGTCCGCTTCAGATCCTTCCCGTTAATAAGCGTCCAATTTGCATTTCGAAAATGCAAACTTGGATACCTAAACAAATGCAAAACCCAAAAGGGATTCACTTGGCCAGGTATCCTTCTGTTGAAGTGTATTTCACAGGGAAACCCAACGAAGATTTCCTCCTAAATACATTGAAACCATTTTTAGGCTATCCTGATCTAGAGGAACTTCTAGGCCTCTAGAAATGCATTCTAATCAGCACTATAAAATGTGTATCTATTCGGTCATCCTAGGGCTTGAGTCTTCTCGAAATTACAAGGGCTTGAGTATTATCTTCCCAAAAATTATATATGCAATTTGACGTGTTACGAAAGTGTAACAATTTCTGATTCCTCTCTCCACCACTTTTTTGAACCCGAAATTTTAGGTTTCCTTTTTTCTTCGAAACATAGCCCGACCTTGGAAGTGACAAGTGAAAATTAAACTTCAGAAAATCTTTGTTTCGGCAATTTATAAGATAGGCCGCGAAAATTGTACATGAATGGAAGGGTCATCTAGCAATTTTTTGCCGCCCTCAAGCAATAGAAAATTCTCGGCAATATTTGCTTTTCTTTGGGTGCCCCTGATTTCAATCAACAGATGCCCCAGCCTCGTTCCCAGTCGTCCTAGGCGATTTCGGATGTGACTTCACCTGTAAAGCTTGACGGGAAAATTTGCTCGGTTCCAAGCCTCCTCTGGTAACTCGGATTGCGCGAACGGGCTTGGGTACAAGGCTGCACATGCCCCAGACACAACATCCGTTTATGGATTTGCGTTTAGCTATACTGGGAAGTCGCTGAGGGTGCGTTCATTTGGAAAATCCAGACTTTTTAAAGTTCGTTTCTACACTCGCCTTAAGATTTTAGGTTCGACTGGGAAATCCGGAAATAGGATGAAGTCACTGATCGGCAAAGCAATGACATTTTATTTCATTTTAATGTAAAAAAGGGGGGTTGCACGACACTGCGGGACTACTTCAAGGAAAAATAATCTCCACCGCAGTTTTCAGTTCGATTTCCCACGCCAGCCTACGATCAGGGACACTCAACTTGGCTCTCATTGCTCTGATACGTATCGTTCTCTCTTCCAATGTTGTTTTGTAACGGTTTTCGGTGGAATTGACCACTCCAGAAAATACCATAACATACCATAATGCTCTTTGTTTGGGTGGAATTGTCTAATTTCGAGGGCAACATTGAAAGGGAAAGGAAAAAGGAGATCGAGTACATGTCAACGTTATTCCTTCAATTGACCCAAGTTCTGTTTTGGATTGCAATCAAGGACCTTCAACTTGGGTCTCACTGCTCTGATACCTGTCTTTCTCCCTTCCGATGTTGTCTTGTAATGGTTTTTTGGTGGAATTGTCCAAGTTCGAGGCCAGCATTGAGAGGAAAGGGAAAAGGACATCGAGCACAACATATCAACGTCATTCCTTCAATTGACCCAAGTTCTAATGTCATGGATTGTAGCTTGACTGTAAGGCCGGCCACTGTGAAATCGTTCACTTCTCCGAGTAAAAAGCAAATGGACAACACAGATGTCTCCCACCAATAAAAATAAGTTTATTGAGAATTCTAAGCCATTGTTGGGCTTTCAAGATCAATCAAGGTTCTTTATATACAGTGAACACCATTCATAAAACGATTAGTCTAAAACTCCGAGTGATAATTAAGCTTTAGAATATAGAATAAAATAGATTTTGTACACTCCCAAGTAATACACACAATTCGTAACTTCAAGTACTCTTTCACAGGGCCGTAGACAGCAATACCAAGCGAGGAAACCCGAAAAGACACCAATTAAGTAATCAACTGCCTGAGCGCGATGGCTCCCCTAGAAAGAGTTTTCAAGTCACAAAGTGTGAGGGATAATTAAGTTATCAATAAACTATAAATAATATGTATTTAGATTAACTTGTAGTATTAATACCCTAGGCGGACAAACCACGATTTGCAATCCCAATTTTTTTTTTTTAAGTTATCACCCGGTTAAACTTGTATTTTCTACGATATTTGCATAGAAGATTCATGGCGCATAAATTCACTTTACTTAAAACAGTCAGTATGAAATCTAAGAAAGGCTACAATGTAACAAGCCCAAAAACATTTAGTTTAGATTTGTCGAAAATGTCAAAGAAGGGAAATATTCTATAACCAAGCGATACAAGGCGCCTGTAAACATTTCTATAATTAATTAATCACAAAAGAGATAAATATCACAACCAACCAATCGGAAAACGGAGGGTACCCTGACGTACACCGAGTTCTTTTTAATGCTGCTGGTTACACTAGTTAAACAAAATAAAGAAAACAAACAAAATAAAAACATGTTCGACATCATTTTCTTTATAACTTATTAAAAAATTCAACGTACCACTTTCAAGAACACGGTACCACCCTCAAGAAAAAATGTCAAGAAAAACGTCTTCTTTTCAAAAGAGCTTTCCTGGGTGCCTCATTGCCACTGTTGGCTCAGATGTCTACTGCAATGTGTTAATTTTGAATTTTGAAAATTTTTCAACCAGGAACCGACAAATACCAATATTTAAAAAAGAATAACACCTCTGTGAAATGTGAAAATAACCAACAATCTCAAGACATATATAAATATAAACCTATTTTTCAGTTCTGTCTTAGAGCAAAATGTAAATCCCATTCAAAACCAACTCAAACGTTTGTTTTGCAAATTTCAGCAGCACTCAACTACCACTATGAAGATAGAATTCACCAAGATGCCATGTTTGTTTGTCAGAACGCATACAAATACACCCAAGAACCAATCAGATTCTACAAGCAAACATGTGCACCAAGTCACAGTTCACTACCAGCATCAAATACTGATGCTTAATCATAAGGGTCGAAGTATTGAATTATAACAATATAGTCACCCATAAGAAATTCGGTACATATTTCAGCAGATTCTCCTTACTAATGCTATATCAAAGGTAAGGAATAAGTTATGATGATCTGATTATGGGCATAAAGGATTCAAGATTTAACTATTTAGAATTGACGTTTTTATGTCAAAATATTTTTACCTAACACAGTTTACCAGCTATTCTGTGGCTCTGAAAAAACCGCCATGGATATTTAAAAAGTCTTCATTTCACAAGCCTTGTGAAAAAGTTAAATTAGACTTCTCAGAACAACATGAATTGATTGTCGAGTACTATGGCAAACCATCACCCTTGAGATATTATCTACATGGAACGTATTATTATATTAATATTTATTATTCTCCGGCTAGTAAATATTAAGAATCAAATGTAGGATATAGAGAGATTAGGCACAGCGCTAATGACAAGCGGATGAGATGACTACGAGATAAATTTACCCCACCAATTTACAGAGTGGATTTCACGTTGATAAAAAACGTGAGAAATTCAATCAAGTTCAATATAATGCTGGTTTATTTTATGAGGCTCGTGATAGGATTGTTGGAAGCGAATTTAATGCAATTTCAGTGTACATAAAGTCGACTGTATGGCACTGTGAAGATAAATGTTCACCTTAGCTGGGGTATACGCGAAGCTTAAACAAGAAGACACGACGATTACTGACGGCAAAGGGAAAGCCGCCGTTAGTCGTGAACAAAATGCTTAACCTCTCGAACATTTCTATTGCATCACTACAAAGGCAAATATCATGGGGGCTTCACACTCAAGTGTCGTTAAGTGATCACTACTCACTGCACAGCACCAAATATGACCTAAAAACAAGCTCTCTCGTAAATAGCATAAATATATCAACTACTAAATAACCCTTCTTTAAAAGACTAGAATGCAATTAAAAATTCACAAGCTAAAATACCCCGTTTTATAAACCATCAAAGATATTTCGTCTCGTTGTATGATAAATTAATGAGAGCAGTTGAGCTGTAAATCTTTAAGATTACGTTGCTCGCTCAGGTACATCCTATCACATTCGCTATGATAATATCATAGATAAGTTTTAAAATTCACTTCCTTCACATTATATCACTTCTTTACACTCCTAAATTATAGAATCCAATCTGTTGCACTCAGTTTCAAATCGCTCAAAACACGTTAACAAACTTTTATTAATGTTTAGAATCATTCGCTTTGTCTTCATACGTAGTGTGTTTTTCGTACGCAGACGAGTGTTCTACTCTATTTTCACTGATTAAAAAATTTGGCAAAATCAATCTTAACTCAATCCTTTCAACCAGAAAGGTCACTATTATTGCTAATACTAACAAATGTACAATCATGGATAAAACACCCGCTGCTTGGTCGGGCTTGAGTTTAAAATGAACCCTCCGTACCCATTATACGTACCATTCGGAAGTACGTTAAAAGTCTTCATGGGACCAACCACTGGATTCTGATATCTCTGACTGACAAACGATGGAGGCGCTTGGTAACCAACACCTGTTAAGGTAAGGCCAGGTTGCATGGAAGCTGGACAGCCTCCTCGGGAAAGAACCTGCCTTGGCGGGAGGGCTGGGTTCACGTATGACGGTCCCGTGCCCGCTGCTGAAGTCACGTAAGAATAGGGCACGTGACCAGACACTGGTCCTGCAGTGGAGATTCTTGCCACCCCTGTGTACAATGGTTGTGGCACAAACTGCGCATGCGTTGGAGGCAGGATGACTAAAGGGTTTGAATCTGAAAAAGAATCGTTTCCGCCACAGCAGCGAGCTTCATTGCCAGGGACAAGAAGAGTTTGTGACGGCGGGTACGCTAAGGTGGGCGAGATGTAACTTGGCCCAACGGGCTGACCGTACTGGGGAATCACGCCCAAGGAGCTTGGACGAGACACTTTAGTTGGACTGCGGTGATGTCCTGCGTGCTCAAAATGATGCGCTCCAAAGAACGGATTCTGCATTTGATCAGCGCTGTAATGCTGACTGTGAGCGAGCGTCGGAGCCACTGAAATTGGATTCGGCTGACCGGTATTACTATTCAGCTGGAGATAACTGTCTGTAACGTCCGTTATTTCTCCCTTCTCGTCAGCGCTTTCAGTGTCAGAGCAGTAAATCATTGCATTGTCTTTCCTACCATCATTAAAATTCCTGGCATGATCGTTCGGATTCGCAACATCCCCCGGATTCTCGTACGTTGTGGACGTGACCATTTCATCCGTGGAAATACCCCTGGTAAGGCCGGCATCACTGTGGGCGTGGTCCATAGATTCATTTAATCCGGGACTTGCGCTTTCAATTGAAAATGATGACGTAACGATACAATCATCCTCGTCATCCTCGTCTTCGTCATCTCCGAAACCATCACACAGCTCGTCGTGCTTCGTGACGTCACATTGCTCGGGTTCATCCTCGTCTACGTCTTCGTCTTCAACGTCATCTAATCTGTGAGAGGTGTGATCTGTTCTATTTGTTTCCAACGAGTTGGGTTCCATTTCATCGCTAGAACTTGACACTGTAATGACACTGGGGGAGGAGGGTGAGTCAGGGATTTCGATTGGAGACGACGTCTGCTTTACTGGCAGGTTTACTGGTTCGCTTTCATCGCGAATGAACCCCGTGGGGCTAGGAACTTGGTTCACCTCTCCAAATAAATATGTCCTATTATCATTATATCTCCGCCTTCCCGGCGAGGAGACGGTTCGCCTCAGAGGTCTATGTCCGCCTGACAGTCCAAGTGGCGCACGTGCGCTTGACGCGTTTTGAAACGTATTGGTTGACAATTGCCATGGTAACAGGCCGGCGGGGATGTGGGGACCACTCCAGACTGGAGGCGGCGCGACGGGCTGTTGCATGACAGGCATTACTGAGAACAGCACTGAACCCGCGGGACGGGACCACTCGTGACTGATCAAACGTCGCGGCTGTGACAATAATAACAACAGCTTTTAGTGACCGAGACCATTACTGAATTTAAGACTGGGCAAGTTACTCTAAACAAACGTGTTACTGGCAATACTTCCTTAATATAAGTATATTGTATATCGCATGTTATGGTACAATTTTATCCAAGGCTACGTTCATTTACGCTTGTAAGACGCATACAAAGTTGCGCTTACGATTACCATCCATGAAAACGACTCTAAAAAGTTATTCACTTTTGGGTATCCAGAGTTTTGTTCCATTTACTGTTGAGGAGCCGTTTCTAGTTACAAAAAACTTAACAGCATTTAGACGAAGTGAAGTGTACTATCATTTTGTATAATTATTGCAATCTTTACAAAAATAGGTACCTGCAGAGCTTACGGGCTTGCAGATTACATAAAGACAATACTGTGAACAGTGCTTGCAAACTGAGCTAAAAACATTAAAACACTAAGTGAAGTGTACTAACCTCGCGAGGTCGATCGTAGCCATCTCCATCCTGTCAAAACAAAAGAACAGAAATGTAGTCAGTAACATGCACTTTGCAGCTACACAGTCAGGTGATACCAAAAAGCCACGCTAACGCTAGCGTACGAGCAAGAAACCCAGGAGACTAGAAAGGCATCATTTGCTGATCGCACTAAGCGCAATACCATGTGTTTATTCCAGGGGGCGTTCTTCGTGCCATTTGTGCACAGTTATTACCGAGTGGCAAAAATTTTATTACAGTAAGTCAAGTTGTCTTCTCGCTAACTTGGAGCAAACAATTTTCAAAGGTATTTTATTTTTGACAAAGTTAGTTACCTGTCGAAATCTTCTTACAGACACGTAATATTACAGACACATATCTATAGTCAACTCTTTCTTAACGGAAATCTCTATATGACGGAAAATTAAATAAGCACCCCCACGCTAATTCGAGCATTTACGGGACCTCTACAAAATATGACACCTGCCATGAAGTTATTAAATACCGGCATTGACTTACCATGTGATAAATGCCAGGGCTAGGTTCCGCTGAAATATAGCCATTATCATCTGATCCTCGCCAAGCACCTACTGGAGGTGGATTCTTTGGCCGACTGCAAAAAGGAATTAGTAATTTCATTTAGCAAAACCTTTAGTAACAAGGGTGTTCTGAAAGAGAATTTAAATGATCCCATATTTCTATTCCAAAAATGCTGAAAAAGAAACATTCAAATGCGTAAGTATGGCTAGAGGGGATTCATCTGCATTGCGGTTTGATTTCCTTTACAACCTTAAAGGACAAAATTTAGAACGACTGTTAGTTCCACACCATCGATCAAGAATGAACTTAGAAGCCGACAAGATAAGAAACGTTTTTAGCCGACAATTAATGCATTTAAATGCAATATAAAGGAGTTAGCAACAAAGAGTGCCATCGGTGAAAGTGGTCAGTGGTCGGTTCGGTAGCTAAGAACACCGTTCACATGACGTATGTTTTGGGCAGCGTGAGGAGTTTCTTCAAGTAGCGTCCCCCATTTTTGGGGATAGTTGCGTGACACAAGAACCAACAGAGCATCTCCAAAGTTGGCTACAAAAACCAGTTAACGAATGAATGAAAATCCGTCGTTACCGTTGCGAATCTTAATGGTGATAGAACACGCGATTACCAAGCGCAAACATGGTTAAGAACCGCGAAGCAATAGGAATTTAAAATCCCATGGTCGTTTTCACACTAGAGACGAAAAATCCGTCTGAGACGGATAAACGATCTTCAGAGTCCGTCAAAATTGACGGGAAAACAGATGGATAAAGTCAGGGGGATTGTCCAACCAAAATTAAGACCGTTTCATTTTCAAATTGGGACGTATTATCTGTCTGACGCGAACTACCCAACAGATAACCCATCTCAGGCGGATAATTCGTCTCTAATGTGAATACGGCCAATGTTGGCGAAAAATAACGAAGTTGCAAGTAGGTTGAGAGATGAATAATAATAGTCATTTTACCTGGGGTTATCCATTCCTTGTAAGTTCTCAGGTATAATTGGCTGAACAGCTTGCAAACCAACTGTACTTGCCCAGTGGGGCAAAAGCTACGAAACAGAAAAAGCAGTTAGTAAAATAAAGGTTAAGGACAACACAGTGTACAGGTACTTGTAACAATTCTCTTCATGCAGAGTCTAGTTCAAAGACAACTTTGAATCGAAAGTTGCCTATAACGAAAATCCCCCCTTTAGTTATCTAACACCAGATTCACATACACACTCAAACTCTTGTCAATTCCAATAACCTTAATTTTGGCCAGATACTTAATGAAGAGGTCAAGTTGTATTTAATTAAAAGAAACTACTTCACGGCCTCTGCATCTTGACACAGTCGCAGAGACTGTGATGGAATGGAATCCGGGACTGCTAGATTGCACGTCCAGCGCTCTAACCACTCAGCCACGCTGCCTCCTCACAGTCAATACAATGTCTCCGATTCTTTTTTATTAATAATAACTAAATTACAACACAAAGAAAACAAACAAAAAAAAAAAGGTTCAAAGAAAGTACAGTTCGACTACCCAAAAGACGTCAGGAGCAATAAACGAACGTTGATTGTGTACAATCAGTCAGATATATCTAGTTAAATACAAGATTAACAAATCTTTCAAAATACTTTTTGGTATTTGACCGTCAGGGAAAGGAAACAATCGATATCAAGAGATATATTAAGAGCAATCTGTAAGAAAGTTCCATTTTTTAGTGTCCCCTGCTTTTTTCTCTATAATAGATCTTGACTGAACTAGGCGTAGAAAATTTGCAAAATTAGACGATATTTCATCCATTTTGGCTTGCCAACTATGAAACCGCGCTAACAGGAGACAATAGTTCAAAGTTACCTGTAACGCAGGATCTGATCCAAAACGTTTTGGGGTCCATGTTTGAAGTGGGACACTCTGTCGACAATAACAACACAACAGCTATTTTAGTGACCAAAATTTGAAACAACACGGAGAGAAAAACATTTGAATACTGGCACCTAAAGCCTGGTTTCCTTGATTGTTCAGATTGAATTCCGCTCCTCGATCTTTGCATCAGAGGTATCTTCATGTAGTCATCTTGATCGCCTGAATACAGTTTCAGAAGACCCAAGCGATCAAGACGATGCTAATGATTATCTAGAAACCAGGCTTGAGGGATTGCTATGAAAAATATCCCACTCGAGTCATTCATTTATCAAATGCCAAAGACAACAGAAATCATTGACTACTCTCTTCCCCGTGTTTCATACGTATTGAAACACTCTGCTTCGTGTTTGATAATGATAATAACGATTTAGAGGTAGCACATCTACATAGTGTTTTTTCGTCTTCCATCACTGGAAGAATTGGAATTTGGAAAAGTTGGTTTTGGAGGTGAGGGGAAAACAGGAGTACCTGGAGAAAGACCTCTCAGAGCAAAGGAGAGAACCAACAACAAACTTAACCCAGGGGTGGCATTAATTGAACATGGGCCCATTGGTGGGAGGCGACTGCTCTCACCACTGCGCCATCGTCTACCGTTCCCTGCATTTTCTACCTTTCGTTAACAGTCTGCCAATTTTTAACAGTCGATGCCACCATTAGTAACCAAACCTTTAATCATGATAGATGTAATATCTTCCCTGAATTAAGTTACAATAAGGAGAATAATACGATTTTGAATAGTCTTAGAAAGAAAGACGTTGCTCCCGCAACCTTAAAAAATAAGTGTAAGAACCAAAACCAAATACATAGAAGGGACATACTTTGGCATAAAGACCAGATGAGGCTGCAGCAGGCAGTGTGAGAGTTGCTTGAGGAATACCCATGGATACAACGACTGGTCTGGGCTGAAATAACAGCAGAGCAAACTTTAAAAATTTATAACACGAATATTCTGTCCCGGCGCATCATGAAGGATATCACAGAGATTTAAGTCAGATCAAAATAATAACATCATTACTCTTGCAGATTCAGTAACTGCTACACAACTATAGAGCTAGGAATAGTTTGAAGAATAGGTTATGACTTGTCTTAAATAATTTGTATTTGTAATCAACCCAGTCAATTCTGCTAAATTTAGATTGTTTCCCAGAAGAAATGTTGTTTCCAAGGAACTCCAACAAGGGTAGACTTCTATTAATTTTTGGCCTCAGTTAAATTTAACACACTTTTTTAACTAGCATCTCAGCCTATAGTTGAGACCAGCTCGATATGTTGGTGATTGTGTAGTACTTTACCTGCTGAGAAGAAGCTTGGGAAGCAAACATATGTTTTTGTGGAGAGGTACTGTCAGGCTGACAGAGCACTGCATGCTGGGAAATGTAATGAGCTCCAAGGAAATCTGATGTGGATGGCTGCAGGCTAGGCTGCTGAACAAAAAGGGAAAAAAGAGAAAAAAAGCTCAATTTTCCATAAACTGTTTTACCACTTTGGGAAATAAAACTGTCATGATGATGAACTATGGTCATGCTTTTGGATAATTTTCATCCAAGAATTCAGTATTAATATTTTATGTACAAACAATGCCTCCCAATCTGAGAGTGGAAAAACAGAAAGCTCTGATACACCTAGCTTGCATTTGAAAGGACAAAGGAAGAGGAAACTTGGAGGGGGGGGCAAGGAAAAGGGAATGCACTTCTTTCTATGCACCCCACTCCCACCTCTCCCCTCTCTTAAGAACGCTATGCCAAAGATTCAAAGCTACAACCAACTTACACTTACCACTGTTTGGAGGGGTGCCACAGGTAGACCAGGATGAGGAGCAAACTGTTCGGCAGAAGGCTGTGGTAAGCTGCCTGTAATATCGTGATTTGCCATGGCCTCACTTTGCACTATTGGTAGATGGATATATGAACTCGACGAGGCTCTAGTAAGACCAAATAAGGAGGCACCAGGAAGTGATGCTTGTTCATTAACCCCTCTGTTATATCGGCACACTTGCATGCTTTTTACTGCCAAGCTAAAACTAAGAAAACAGATTTTACACTTGTCAGACCAGTACATTTCTCATCATAAACTGTTCGTTAATACCAGTGTACAAGAACATTTTTAAGCAAAAAGAAAACTTACTTCTCGTTTTTAAAATTCTGGCAGTGTTTATTGCTTTCATAACAAAAATTAACTATGTACGCAACTGAAAATTTCTAATAGCAGCTTTACTCATCTGACATCATCAACAATTCTGTTTGGCAAGAAATGGTCAGAAACTAAAATAGCTATTACTGAGCAAACACCTTTAATAAGCCAAAAAAAGCACATAACAAGGGGAGAGGAGGTCACCAATTTGTAGTAAGGAGAGGGATGGATAATTGAAGAGTGATTTTATTTGCACGGGGGAATTTAGCTTGAGATGTTGCAACGCCACCATTGGTTTCCCTGCAAATTGACATGTGAGAAACAAACACATAACATCACTACCCAGATTTGGGTAGTGCTTCTCGTTGGCTGAAGCAAATTTCCCACATGCTCTACTAAAATCAGGAGCACTAAACAGATCTGGGTAGTAACACATCCTTGGTATGGAAATTCTGCATTTGTTTCTCAGACGTCATTTTGAGAGAAAACCATTGGGGTCGCAAAATGTCGGCTGTTTTTCCAGGCTAGGATTTGCAGTACCCATGTAGTTGTGGTTCATTTTTATGGCCCCTGATACATGTATACAGTTGACTGACATCAGAGTTGTCATATCATCATCTACTTCACTTGCAGTTCTATTCTGTGACACTGGAAAGTTTATGCCTTACGAGCTAACGGCAAATTAAAATTTGCTTTAGAGTGTACTTACGTATTGCAATGAGCAAAGTCCACCAAACGAGCAAGTGTGATAAACGGGTGCCGGAGGGCTTCATCTGGTGTGATCCTCTTATCGGGATCAATCACAAGTGTTCTTTTCAACAAATCAGTAAACTGATACCTTCAAAACACACACAAATTTTCAACACATTAAATGGCAGCTGCAACCAGTTTATTTATTTATTATAAAAATAATACTGGCTACTAATAGTTTACAATTTTTGTTTCACCTTTACAACCTGAATACCAAATTGAAATACTCATTTGCTACCCCAACACATTTCCTATGGAATTAGTAGAAGGCTTGAAATAATTTTCAGGATGGCACCCGTCAATTTGTCCAATCAAACCTGTTTTTAGTCAGACACAACCCATTTTTGGCCAAACAAACATCTATTACTTCATCTCTTTTTTGGCCGTGAAAGTTGCTCAACAATTTGGAAGCCACGAAGAAAGATGATGATCAAAGCAATTCTCCCTTTCATTAAATCACCATGGGATCAAAAACATGAAATAAGTGAGGCGATAAGACAACTCCAACCAAAATATTCTATGGGCAACCAAACTGTGCCTTGTGGTTGCCCCACCCCTGTTACTAAAATGAGAATTTCTGAGTTAAATTTTCTGATTAAATTTTTTCATTAGAGGCCTAGTCAACCAGGCAAAGTGTCTAGTATAGCCATCCAAGGATTTGACCCGCCAAAGAGTATTTTTGGCCGGGAATTGCTTATTGACTGGTCATTATTTCAAGCCCTCCTAGTAGGAAGAAGTTATGTAAAATATCAATGAAATTCATCTAGTACCATTAATCCCGAATTGTGACCATTCTGTGTTACAAAGTGTAAATAATATTTACACTTTGATGCCGATCACTCTTAGAGCCCAATATTCACATACAAATTCTCCAAACTGATCTCCATACATTTCATTACAAAATTGGTGGAGAGAATTTGTTCAAACATCAAAGCATTTACCCTTACAGTGTAGGTGCTCATTTTATTTATTCTGATAAACATTTCTTTTAATTATGTATTAATATTGTTAAGAGCAAATTGATGTTGGTCACTCTTGGGCCTTGAAGGTTTAAGACGGAATTCATCAGGAAATTGAGTAATTTTAATTTTCAGTGGACAAAAACCTCGTACCAGAATAATTCAAACAATATTGCATTCATGTTTTACATTTTTCAACGTCTATAGATGTAATATTAGTTATCTGTAATAACAACAAAGAAAATTTCTTATGGGAGCCTGAGAAAACGAATGTCAAATTTCACAAAATGACATCTTACACATGAATTTTTCAGAATTTTACCTGTGTTTTCACAATTCTTGTGAAATTTGACATTTATTTCCTAGGGTTCCCATGGGAAATAGTCTTTGGTGTTATTACAGATAACACATTATATCTATAGCCCTTGAAAAATGTAAAAAAGAATGCGGTATTATTTAAAATATTATGGTACAAGGTTTTTGTCCACTGAAAGTTGAAATTATTCAATTTCCTGATGGGTTCCATCGCAAACTTTTCGCATATATATGTTGGGAACAAACAGAAAAACATGGAAAAATATGCAAAAGAATGAAAAAACAGAGAAGAGTGGCAAAATATGCTGTCATGGCAAAAAAAAAAAAACAAAAAAAAAAAAAAACAAATTTTACAGCTTGACAAAACTAAGGTAAGTCTAAAACTGTGAAAGGCTTCAACCCACTTCATAAGAAGACGGGATAGGTCGGGTGAGTGCAGTCCTGAATAGGATTGTTGTTGACAACCTGTGTGGTAGTCATCTTTAATTTAGTCAAAATAAGTAAGTTGCAGTCAAGTCGGTTGATGGTACTTGACTCTGAATATTGACCTGATCAATTTAATCTTGATGTTATTGGTTGTCTGTCATTTAAGCTGTGATCTTATTGGGTTTTGAAGACTCTAAATGTGGTCCTTGTGTGGCTGAGCTAAAACAATGCCAACAATATCAAACAGAACATAAAATGTGGAAATCCAGAATTTAAGGTGACCCACCTATCAATCTTTTCAGCTACACGTTCATCTCCTACAAGATTGCTAGGCATGTTAACCTGTGCCATCTCATCCAAACAGTTGAAAATGTATTTCCTTGCTTCCTGTGACTTAATTTTGGTTTCTCGTTCATGCTCACTTCCAGTCTGTTAGGAACAAAGAAAAATTAATTCTTGTTCTTCATCAAAACAAATGTGTGTATTGTTTACATGCCCTCACACACTGCAATAGACAGCTCAACGCTCAAAACCATATTAACATTGTATAACAATCTCACCTTCATCTTCCACTCCAATAATCCTGTTGTTGTGCTCACTACTTTTTTGAAAAACTTTAAGCTTTTGGAGCCGTTTGCTAAAAGATGGTCATTGGGCAAACCCTGTGTCTGTGAAATGTAGCGGATCTGAAAGGGAAACAATTTCTTGCTTAATTTTTTCAATGAAAATTGCAGTGTACTCTGTCTTTGCTCGTGAAAAATGAAAAATCCAATAAATCCCTCTACAGGGATAATTCAAAGTTTGTCCCAGAGCTTTATTGTTCATTAGTGTGAAAGTCCAAGACAAATTAATGTTAAGATCAACACGTGTAACCATGATTTCTCTGCAGAATATGGGGTTTAACCAAATCCCAACTGGCTGTAGACAAGGATTCCTTGTTTTTGGATGAATTACATTTTGTTGCAGGAGAAATCAAGTATCCTGAAAGCTTAGAACTACAATTAACAATTATAGCCTAAACAACATTTTAAGCCCTGATGATAATCCTGGATTTAAGCCAAGCCCCCCTGCTATTCTGAAAACAGCCACCGGGAAGATTATTTTAAAAACACAAACATGTAACATGCAATTGTCTGCAAAAAATAGCAGCATGCATGTTATTAAGATAATATGTCAAAATAAGTTTGGTTGAGAAAGATTACAAGTTGATACAACTGGTAAAAAGAAACATTATAACATTATGAAAAACTCAGCTTATTATAAATGGTTGCATTGCAATTAGCTAACCTATTTTGGGTAATTATCACTAACAGCATGAAGTACATCTGGATATCACTGTAACTTATGTACATGTATATTCTGTAATGCTATAATTATTAATAAGTTTTACATGTATAGTTTATTTGAATTTTAGTATTGTAGAAAACAGACCCCAGTGTAAGTATGTTTTAACTGTACAAATGAAAAATTGAGAAACGTTACATTATGTCAATTTAGCCCTGTTATCCATATTGCTACTACTCTTAAAATAATAACGTTTGTCAAATCTTCCCTGCCCCTCAATTAGCAAGAAAAAATGCCCAAATCCACATGGTACATTGTATTCTAAATTTGGCATCTTTTTCAAGCAGTTCAGTTATTTACTTTTTTGGGGGTGGGGGGGAGCTGAAACTAAAAATTTACAAGAGACGTCCTTTCTCCTTTGTCTGACTAAATAAAGTGTGCTTTAGTAAGGCATGACTTACATGTATGTCCTTTCTAAAAAGAATAAAAATGTATGTCCTTGCAGCACTGCTGCCCCATCAATAAAAATACCTCATTTACAAATACTGTACATCTATGACAAACTTTTCACCATCCACTGGTTATGTTATTAATACGGTTCCACTGTACCATAACCCTAGAGTGACAAATGACACATACCTGTACTTTTTGCTACAAATGAAAGAACATTACCTGGTCATATTCCGAAGATCCTGGATATAGTGGCCATCCTAAAAATAACTCTGCAATTACACATCCTAGAGACCACATATCAATAGCTTCAGAAAATGGCAAACCAAGGATAACCTCAGGGGCCCTGAAGAAGAAAGACACAAACTGTTATTGCTGGTACATGTACATTGGGTGGCTCCCAGAAACTACTCATATGCACCCCATGGAAGGTAGAATTACAAAGGGGATGGGGGTAGGGGGGGGGAATTGGGGGCTTAAAAAATGGGGGATGAGTAATATGGACATCTTCTGGAGATTGGATGTTATAAAATAACTACGATAGTACACGCGCTCTGATTGGTTGAAACATGCTTTAAAGTTGTTTTCTAAAAGCAATGGACCACACTTTCTATGGGTTTACCGGCATGATAACCCACTCGGGATGTTGGGAGAACACGAGAAAAGCTTGTAAATCACGAGCCGAAAGCTTGTAAGTCACTCACCACCACTCATACTGCAGATTTGTCTACACTTACAAATAAAAATATACATAGTGTGACAAAAAAATAAAAAAAATAAACATAAATGGAAATAAAAAACCAAGCAAACAAACTGCTATATATACTAATGAAATGATTAACAGTTGATTTGAGGTTTAGATTTGTGCTTTTCTTTGTCAAATCTGCTTCTAGGAAAGTGAGAAAGGTTTCAGAGAAGCGTTCTTCTTCTCTTGTGACAGCATAAATATAATATTTTGCTATCATTAAACAGAGGTCCAATCCAAACTGTTAGTGCAAATTGAAATCCCTATACTGCTGATCAAATTACAAAAAAACTTACAGGGGAGGTTTTAAGTAATCAATTATGTCCCTACAACAGCACATAACAAGCTCACTATGGAGTCAAGCTATTTGGACTGGTGTAGATAATTAATGTTCCTCCTCTTTTGTATCACAGAGACACTGAAAAAATCTTTGTGGTTCAGAGGTAAGGAGGTTGTTAGAAATACATCAAACTAAATAAAGAAAGTACCATGTCTAAGAATAGTTAACAATTAGATGAATCATTTAAGGACAGATCCTCAAGGGCAACAGAATTGTACAAAGACTGTTAATTTTTTGCTCTATGTAAACATTAATTTCAAGGTTTGATCAGGAGTTCTTTGAAACAAACCTCCTAAACACAAACTAAATTAATACTGTTAGCAGTTGAGTCTTCTTTTAAATTGTAAAATGCAATGCATAACTACTTAAAGTAGGAGGAAACAAAGAGGGTTTGTTTCAGAAAACAGTTTTTCAATTGCAACAGGGGTAATAATATAAGTGTACCTTCACTATAACAACTTATTTCATCTCATTGTTATTATAACCACGGTCGCTGTTCTCCTTCTGATTATTATATATTATTATTATCATCATCATCATCAAATTTTTTTATTAATCATTGTTATCTTATTATATTATTCAAACCCTTAACAGAGACTACAATACAAAGCAACTTTCTTAAAGTTCAGCCTACGTTGTACAAAGAACAAAAAAATGTTCCTCAAGTTATGGGATATTTGAAGTGAGGGGTGAAAAGATCATCATTAATGTAAATGGTTTACTAGTTACATGACAAAGAAGTCAGAAATTCTTTTAGGTTTACAGAACTAAAATTTACCTACTTTTTTGGAGACTGAAATATTACAACATGTATAGAAAGAAACTCTATCAAACTCTTAAAATAACCACTGGATGCTTTCAAAAAATGAATTTCTGCCAGCCTGCCAACCAAAGTGCTCTTAGTGTAGACAAAACAGCATAGCTAATACAGGTATGATTAAGTTTTGGTGTCATCCACATAATCATCAAACTGACTCAAATATAAAAAAATGGCTTTTTTGTCATTATTTTTGGTTAAAAGGCCAAACACAGTTTGAACCATCAACTTAACTCTAGAGGTTTTTACCACAAAACCCTACATACATATCTATTCTATAAAGCATTTCTCAAATTCCATGATCTAGTAAAACTTTCAAAGATCTCTTACTTACAAAAAAGACAACAAATTAATTACTTACACATTCCAGAGAGATGACTAAACATTATTATTAATTTTCAAAGCCAGTGTTGTTTTAAAAGATATATATTTTGACAACCCCAGAGTTCTAGCTCACCCTTTGAATAAAATAAGCTTTGAATTAACAAAACCTCATTGAAAAAGCCAGCCTTGACAGTCCTTATCAGAGAGAGCCAGCAAACAGACTTAGAAAAATTAGAGCATTTCATTTCCCTATAATTGACTCTGGGAACAAAAACTGTTCATAACATTGGATGTCACTTCAAATTTTGAAAAGGTGACAAAGCTAGTCAAAATGTGGAGAACCAACAGGGACATAACAATCTCTGTAATCAAAAGCCCTGATCAAGTTCCTATGTGTTTTGAGATTGATGAGTACAGGTTCAGCTCATTTAGTGTTTTAGACACAAACTTTTGCAACAAAAATCAAACATGAAAAACCATTTACTTTTTTGCTAGTCAACTAATTTCACTATTTTAACAGTTAACCAATCAATTTCTCACAAATATCTAATTTTTCACTTTTTTCCCTCTAATTTTTCACTGCTGCATGAAAATGAATGAGAAAATGCTCACTAAAATAATAATATCAATTACTCAAATTTCTCTCACTACTGCTGCAAGAAATGCATTGACAACCCTAACGAGTCCAAAAAATTCCCATTCCTTCCTAAATATGTCTTGATTTACCAGATGTCCCGACTTCTTTTCTAGAGACAACAGCCAATGTATGGAGAGCTACAACATAAGCTGTAACTAAAGGGAATACCCTGGCAACACTTTACGAGGCATAGGAAAAATTCAAATACAATATACCAAATTTTATTTTGAATTATTTTCTGTCTTAACAGTGACCTCCCCTGTCTGTTGGCATGATTTATTTTAATACAACCCCAGGAAATACTTTTTCAAATAATAGATCACTAAAAACTTGGGACATTTTAAAAGCTGACTGCCCCTTTAAATCTCTCCATGCAAAACTCCTTCCTGATATCACCATCCTCTTCCTGATTTATTTACCAAATATTTTTGAGTACAATTTCCTGTCATGCTAAAGTGAAGGACAACACTGTAGCCATGCAGAGTGATCAACATGCTACCTCTCCTCACAGTTTCAAAACAATTAAGATAAAAAAAATAAAAATAATAAAATTGTGTGTAAGTGCTACAATTTCACACAGATGTGAAAACGGATTTTAATTTCCAGTTTGCTGCAGCTGTCTGAAATTTTCTTTTAAGCTTTAGGGAACCAAATTTACTGAACCTATTTATTCTTTTCAAAAGGCCTTTTAGGTAAAATTACATGTACATGTTATTAAAACATATTTAATATCTATAAAATTAGTTTCAAAATTAATTTTACTACCATTTATTTACCCTCATCAAAAATCTATGACAAGACATCAAGGTTTCTGGGAAAACCCTTCCAAATTTTCGCCAAAAGCACAAACAATCCTGTGATTCCTTCTTCTTGAGAAAATGCAAATTTGGTACTTGAGAAACTTTTTCATTGGCCTGGCATGAAAAAGATCCAGACAGTGGCAAATTCAGACTTTCAGCTGCTTGTCCCATAATTGAAGTGTAGGTTCTTTGATTAATAATGTCTTCAAATGCAAAACTTACACTGGACCAAAGAAAAACTGTAAGTCTTAAGGATTGACGCATCAGCCACCCACCAAGATCAAAACAGGACACACAGCAACATCCTACATATGTGTAACAATGACTGATTTAAGCCATGGAAAGAAAAGCATGCAAAATTAAGCAACACTTTGAAAAGGATTACCCTATATCCAACCAAAAGAAAAAAATATTAGAGGTATATTAGATGAGATATGCTACAAATTACATGAAAGACATCACGTACAGAAATTAGCTTAGAACAGTGGAAATCTACATCAGCAGCTTTCAAAGGAAATCGCCAAAGAGAATGAACAAGAAAATTCCTTTTTTTAATGAATTTCTGTACTAAAATAAAAGTAAACCTAGAAGTTTAAAAAACAAATTAACAATATAAAAAATAAAAGAAAGTGCAGAACAATAATTTATATTCGTCCTCGAGTATAGGAAATTCTATGAAAAAAATAATAATCTTACCTGTAATATCGACTTTGTAGATATGATGAGCAGACTGCTTTGGATACTTGTGTAGCAGAGCCAAAATCTATGACCTTCACGCGAAAGGGCTGTTTTTCTGGATCCACTAACATTATATTTTCGGGCTTTAAATCAGCGTGAATCAGCCCTAGCGATTTTAACTTGGACAATGCAACCAGGACTTGCTGAACTATGGGTCGAATGTGTCTCAAGGGCAGAGGATTGAATTTTGATTGCTTGAGGTAATCATAGAGATTTTGCTGAAGCATCTCAAAAACCAGACAAGTGTGATTCTTGTGCTGAAAACACTCAATTGCACGCACGAAATTAAATGCCTCTGAGTTTTCCGCACTCAGCTTCGCCAAAATTCCGATTTCTATTTGTCCCTGGCGGGCATATGATGGATGGTCCTTTAGTATTTTGATAGCGTACAGCTCATTAGTTCCTTTCTTCCAACATTTTACAACTTGTCCAAACGTTCCACGGCCGAGAAATTCGAGTACTTCATACCGCGAGGTTGCCGAACACAACTCCTCATGAAGCACTACTTTGTAATCCCCTTCACTGTTGCTATTTCCAGCAGTTTTGGAATTTTGCCGCGATTTTTTCTCATTAGTCTCGGGAACTTTCAATCCACATCTTTTGTACGTGTTTACCAGACTCTTTGTGAGTCTGCGAAGCGCGTTCTTCCGCGCTTCGATATGAAGTTTGTTCGAACAATGGCCAGAGGCTCCAGAAGGAAAAATCGTTCCATTTGGTCTGTGAAAGGAAGTGAACGCGCTCGAAGAATGTGTTACCAATTCTGCTTGAGCCATTCTGTACTCAATATACATTAGAAAAGGTTTTGTTCGATTCTATGGTAGGTTTTTGTCCTCAAAGCCATTAAAATATATCAAATGTGGCTGGTTCACTCAAAGTAAATAAACGAAATTGACAAAGTTACTTTCGCGAAGATTTCTTCGTAATATTCCTTTGCGATGTTCGCATTGTTACATATGCCACAATCTTTCTCATGTGCTGCTTTGAGCAAAATGTTTTGAATATAACTAGCCAGACGGTAGTCGATTGTAGACTCTTTTGAACTTGGTTTACGTCTAACCTTATGAAACCGCCGTGGCCTATTAGTGATTTCCCTCGAGTCGCTGGCAAATCCAGAAGAGACACAACACTGTGTTTCTTGCCCAGACGGGAGAACTCGACACGAAATCCATCTTTGCTTTGGTTGGATTACGATAAAAGCAGGATATGAATAACCAGAGTTTTAAAGCCCACCGTGTGAATCCAATACACTTCGACGATATTGCGTTAATTGTTTATCGAACGACATACACTGACTGTGATCAAACGAAGAAACCGACTGGACGAAATCTCTCACTCACTTGACACAGATTTGTAAAAACTGAATGGAAAAATCTACTGGAATATTTCTTCAATGAGGCGATCTATAATGCTTCTCGCGAAACCTTCAACGAGCCTTTGTTTTAGTAAACTTAATGGCACCAGTGTTCACTTCCCTTCTAACTAAAGTCTTCACAAATGGTCTACCAGTTTGCCATATGTAATATTTAAGCAATCTTCATCAATACTTGATAGCTTGCCTCCATAGTCAGTTATTTTCCTTCACTGGACCGTAGAATGATTCAAAACACTCGTGATGTCTCTAATTTCTAAAAAAAGTTTAAGATTTTAATTCTTGAAGTAGAAGGAAAGGATCGAACACAGTCAGATCAAGGTTTCAACGTAAAGAGATTCGTGCGCTTTCCAAGTTAGGAATCCTGTTTTTCACGCATCAACAAAATAAACCATGTAGACACAAATAGCTGTACTCTCTGATCAGCTTGGCACCAACAATGTTTTTCAGCGTTCTTGCAGTGGAAATGTGAACAACTCCAAAAGATCTTGACAGTCAGGATTTCGCCGAGGATAGCATTAATTCCAGACAGGCTATGATGCTCCAAAACTACAGCCTCACAAACGCCAAAAACACGCAGTCTTCACTAGCATCCTTTCAAGTACGAACAAAGAGCAGGAAATTTCTTTCCGATTAGAAAAGAATTCGTCTGCTACCAGCTAAGTAAACTACATCCTCAATGCGCTTAATGCATGGTGTTGATTTTGTAAGCTTAGCAAAACCGCGCGCCATGTTTGCTACTGTGACGTATGATAAGTTTGCTCGCGACCAATCAAAACACACATCATGGGTTTTTCTTGGTGACGTCACGAAATGCGTCATGTGTTGCCAGGGTAGGAATTGTTCCAAAAGAAATTTTTTAATTTTATAAACCCACACTGATAAGCGAAAAGTTTGTGCTCTGTAAGTGGAAAAGAAAAACAATACATAAACATTTAAATTATCCAAAAAAGCCCACAATAGAATAGCAAAAAAAAAAAGCAACAATTGTCTAAAATGCGCCTGATCTATACGATTTTCAAAAAATGTTCCTAACTTTTTAAACAACACCGTTTCTTAAGACTAAATTATTGATGAAATTCCAGAACTGGTCTAAAATTAAAGAATTCAGCTCTGTGTGTACATTCTCAAAGAAACTGACGTATGCTGAGAAAGTGGGCTGATGACCCGCCGAGCGCTTTCTCCTGATCTGATCACAGCTGATCACACTATGGCGGACTTGCCTACAAGTCGAGCTCAATATTTTTCACAACGCGAAGCGCGAGCGGTAGATTTTTTATGTTTTCTGCGGCAAAAGCGAGCGAGAGAGCGAGACGGAAATGAGAGGCGAAGGACTTTGAGAAAGTCTAATCACGATAAACCGAGGGGAAAGGGAGGGGGAGGGGGAGGAGCAGCCTCGATCCCGTGCACCTTCTTGAATTTTTTGCAAAGACGACGGCGATTGCAACGAGAACGTCAAAAAGTGACATGTTCATCAGCAAAACAACAATTTCGCATGTGCAGCATTCTCTTTCCCCATTTCCTGTTCCTGCACAACCACGACGCTGAAAATTTTCCTATTAAAAATACCACGTTTTGACTGAGGACGTCAACACGAAGACAGGATCAGCCTATCAGGTGATAGGCTCTTGGTAAGAATAATAAAATCATCTCAGCATAAAGCTAGGAATAAAAGGCTTTCTTTTCTTGCTAGTCCTGAATTAATTGCATCGTCATCAAGGCCAAACACTGTGGGATATCCTGACTCAAGCTCTCCCTGTCTTGTCACGGGGAATCGACCACGTGACCAAAAGAAACGATGGGCTCTTGGGATGAGCTGAATGCGGATGATTGGTCTGAGTGAACAGCTTGTAGGCAGTTTTATCGGATACCCAATCAAATTGTATGATTTACAGCCTTTTGGTCTGAGGCATATGGTGGATAATTAAAATATTGAAAATTGTTTTACCTGTAACTCCCTCGTTAATTATTCTTGTCAGAAAACCTAAACGGGAAGCTGTCGTCAGCTTGGCCGTTTTCCCTTCCATATATTGTTCTCGAAGCTGAAACGAAAAGTAAAATAAAACAATTCGGTAGTTGTCATTTTATAAAAAAAGAGCTTTTAATGTCATACATGACAGACTTGTAGGTTCTAAGAATAAGTTAATGTCAAAGCTAACTCATGTAGTCCTTCTTCCGCTTCTTGTCGACCACAACTTAATTCGTTAGCTTAAGTTAGCGTTTAAGACTTTATCCTTCGATCTGTTCTGAAATACTATCATTTCCTAAAAATATAATGTAAGATAATCGGCGAAAGCGAAGTCTGTTAGCTGTAAAAGCCTATAGCATAATTAAGGTACAGTTCTGGCAAAGGCGGATAATTTTTTTATTTTTCTACCCGTGTGCGTCAAAGGTTATATGGATCACGGCCAAGTATTTTCTACCTCCTACTTAACAAATATTGAATACCATATTATCAGCTATTCACAGAAGCTGCTTATTTTAACCACAGGCATATCCGGCCAAGTATGCGTTTTGATTTTTATATCATCAAAACAGTCAAAATTTGTAGGATGCATTTATATCGAGTTTTTTATTAATATTCTGTAAAAAAAAAAAAAAATCGTAATGCGCATGAAGGAAAACGAGTGAGGAAAATCGACTTCTTTAAGAAAAGTTTTCTTAGGTATATAATATAATTAATTAAGGCAAAATTAGGCGATTTCTTATTTACATTCTTTTATATTTATTCAGACTCACAGTCTCAAATTAATAGTTTTATATATCGACATGCACCAGACTTTTCTGACCCAGTCTTTTTTTTTTTTAATTTTTTTTTTTAGTTTTTAGCCGGGCGGGTGAGCGATGAGGTGGGAAAGTCATCACGGGTACATGCTAAAACTAAATGAAACAACAATCGCGAAGAAACTGAAGTATCAGCCTAACTATTTTGTGCAACAGTACATCTCCACACTTGCCACGTGTAGGCTTTTTTAAACAGTGCTAGCGCTTACCGCCCAGAAAGAAAGAAACGGCCAGCATTTTTATGATGGGAATCACGCTAAAAGAGTCCTTCAAAAAAAAAAAAACTCCAAAAATCACTATTGTCTTCCAAAAATACAACCTTAACAATTGACAAAGTTTGATACGAGGAGAAAATTGTCCCTATTCGATCTTACATCAGTTGTACCGCAATAGCTGCATGCATTTGATATATTCAACCTTTACTTTGGTGTCTTAGTCCTTGCCAGGGCTGGGAAAAGCTCTCCGGATAATTAAAGCCTGGCACTTAATTTGCTCATTTAGTTAGCACAAATTAAGAGGGCCCGCCTAGCATGCAATCTCGGGGTTGCCAGCATTCGTTTTGGAGCCTACTTCAAGAAATATAACTTGAATTCAAGCAAATTGGTTAACGGGGAACACGTTTTCAGAGAAACTCAGTTGCCGGGAGGGTACTGCCTGAAAACAAGTACTGTGGAAATTGCCTCCCATCCCGGGTAGAAGGAAACAAATCAACAGTTGGACAACAAAAACCAAAAAGGGCGGACTTCTTACTTGATTCGTGTATAAGCTTTTACCAGACAGTGAACCGCAACGGTGAACCGCAACAGCGTTAAGCCAATTACTGCGGGCGCGCCCGTAAAATAATCCCCTCCCAGGGTCAATGTCTTCTATGTTGTGGCATTTCGAATTGAACTAAAATGGCTTAACTCCACCTCTGTTTTAATTCTGCCGTGTAATAGTTTTGAAAGTGACACAATTTAATTGCCAGATTACTAATCACAAAGCGCAAAAATCTGAAGGGTTATGGAAGCTCCTTTCAATAACATGAGAAACCGTGGGATACAAGAAGGAGCGAAAGGCAGGTCAAACTTCGTTGATACGGACGCCGAGGGATTCATAGAAAGTATCCGTGTTACTGGGGTCTCCGTATTTTAAAAGCGGGTTGAATTTAGAGAAAACGTAGAGGCTTTCTTTCCCCAGGGACAAAGCAAACTGTCCGTGATTATTGACTGCGACGATCATCTCTTCATTTATTGACTGTATTCAGTTACATGAAGATATGATCGTCGCAGTGGTTATTGTTGAGCAATTGCAAAGGAACCCGAAAAAAATTTCGGGACTGCAACGAGATTCGAATCCATGGCCTTTACGTTGGCGCTGCAGCGCTCTACCAACTGAGCAATGAAGACCCATACTTTGGGATAAATTGGCGGCCAATTTATTGAGTTTATCTTAACCCGTGAATGGAATGAAACATGGAATGGAGATTATGTGAAGTGCGAAAATACAATTTACTCCCCGGGGTAAGATGAACTCAAAGAATTGGCCTACTCCAATGTATGGCTCTTCAAAGCTCGGTTGGTAGAGCATTGCAGCGCTGTCGCAGAGGCCATGGGTTCGAATCCCTTTGAAGTCCCGAATGTTTTCTGATTAATTTCCAGTTTCTTAGATTGCTTTACCACTACGACGATCATATCTTCATTTAAATTTGTATTTCAGCAGTTCACATTTTCTCCACTCCATGCATTCAGTTAGTTAAAAAACATAATCTAAAAATCCGTATTACACCGCATAAAGCGATCAGTGCATAAGTCAAGGACAGCCTATTTTTTCCCTGACAATGAGAGCGGGACTGCACTTGTACTGATTTCTTGTTGGGTAAAATACTTTTCAACCAAAGAAGCAAGCAAAGTGAATGAGACACAGTTCGTTTAAAAATTTGTCTTTACTGATTAATAAATTTCGGGTTGTCTTTGAAGCGAGACAGACTCCATCATTTCATCCAAAAATACAACATCACAATATATCCTAAACTAGCCAGTACAAATCGAATTCATGTTTTTACAAACACGAGGAATTTTTTTCGTAAACTTTTAAATTGTCAAAGGCTAAGGAGGTTCTTCCAGTAATTGAAAAACACTTATCACTCGATATTACAGTGACGTCATACCTTATTCACAAACATGCGAGCAGTACAAACTCAAATATAAGGATTTACAGAACATATGCAATGAGATAAAAACGTTTAAATCGTTAAAAAGCGTAATAAAACAGAAATTCGAGACGGAACTGCATGGTTACCGAACAGAAACAAAACAAAAATCATAAGATGTGAATGAAAACGAAGACGATGTTTGTCACTGCGCTAGGATTAAAATACGATTTAAGCTAAGCCAATCACTAATACGCCCTCAAATGACGCACTTCGTCAAGAACAACTCGTGATAGAGCCCGTCAAAAAGGCAAGAAAATGCATTTCATATGACATACAGTTATTTACCCTTTAAGCCCTAAGAGTGATCAGCATCAAATATCTCCTTGTAATATCCATGCTTTGTAAAACAGAGTGGTCATGAGAATTACGGACTTGACCACACAAGATGAATTTGCTTGATATTTTATCAACTTCTCCCCACTACTTCTATAGGAAATGACTAGGGGCAACGAATGAGAATTCAAATTTTGATCTTAGGGTCTAAAGGGTTAAAAGGAAACGTGGGTAATTTACCACAAGCTAAGTTGAACGAAAAAACTGTGTTTACCTCTCACGTCCCTGGCGCCTGGGTATGAGCCACGTGACCCACAATCCGCCATACGCCACTTGCATATCTCCCATAATGCACCTTATTTGCCCCACCCCTCCCCCCCACCAAATTTTGCATAACCTTTGTTTTTCACTTCTCCTAGATATTTCAGCCGTCCCAAGAGAAGTTGAAAACAATGCTTATGCAAAATGTTGGGGGGCAAATAAGGTGCATTATGGGAGATGAGCATGTGTTAATGAGCTTAAGGATAAGGGCACCGCTATTCCCCACTCCAGAAACTATAAGGGAATGGGTACAAGCCTTTGGGGCAATGATTTTGGGATCGTTTGGGTGGACAAGCGTTAGTTATGATTGGTCGTTCCACCGAATGCCTGTGCTCATTCCCCCTACACTTTCTGGGATGAAGAATTTTATCTTCATTACGCTAACTTTTGATTTTAAATCTCTAAAAAATACTGATTATTTGAGAAGCTGCATCAAACACTCGGAAAACTACATCATTAGATATCCTAACTACGAAAAAGGGTATCACATCTCTTTCTGTAATAAATCTATTTCTTAGAGTCAATTCAATAAATCTTTTACCAGCAAAACGACAAGTGTTGCAACAGTTGAAGAGTTTAAAAACAATAGCCACATTTGTAGAGTACACTTGTAAACGGCTTATTGAATTAACCCTTGGTGCTGGATGTCTGTTAAAACGTCTGATGCATTTAACACCAAGTGTGGAAAAGGCAGTTCACATTTTTTGTCTTCCTCTTCCTCCTTATAGGCAAAGAGTGAATGAAGAAATCAGTGGAAAACCTCTCGTTGCCTTCATTCGTCAATGTAACAGTAACGAAAACAACTCGGAAAAATCCTTTCAACGTGCGGAAATCCCAAAAGGCCCAAACAAACTACTCTTGTCCAGGCTCAGCCCATGTCGGGGGAACGTCACGAAAATGTCTGGGCGAATAACTGATAAGGCGTTGCATGGGTTCTTAAACGACCCATAGTCCCTAATGTATGAGCCGTACTCTTTGCAGTTTGCTGTGACTCATTCTTGTTTCTTTGCCTAACATAAAAAAGAAACCAGCGTCTCGATTTCATGGAGTTTCTCCACTGAACAAAGACATATTAGGTTTATAGTAGTCTTCCGCGGCATTCCGCTGACCCACAGTAGCAGTGTAGAACTTTGCCCTTGACGCTGTCCACTTCGTAAGCGTAGTCCCAGGTCAGCTCGGTTCCAGCTGGCACATTCCTGAAGGAAGAATGGGGAAGTGTTACGCAAGTTATACTGCTTCGATAAAAGAGCTTAACTAAAGAATCCCCGGTAAATAAAATAAAAATAAATATATAAATAAATAAATAAATAAAGATTTTGCGGTAGCACATCCAATAAGTGGTTCTTCGTCTACCTGATTACTGGTCAAATTGGAATTTGGAAATGTTGGCTTTTGAGGAGAGGGAAAAGATTTCGTTTCAAATATAAAATAACTTCTTTATTGACCAAGATTGTTTCGTAACGATTGCTAAATATTGGCCTCATTTTTGTTTTTGCGTTTAGAACAAGACGAAAAAGGAACTTGGCCATCATCCAGCCATCTTGACGTCAAGCATGGTTAGTAACCCATATTTACCGACTGTTTATGGAAATGACAAAAATATTTAAAAAGCCCATTATAACCGAAGCAAGACAAAAAAAGAATATTTAAAAAAAACTGGCATTTAGGATAAAAAACTAACTCACGATTAAAACGGATTGCATTAGGGTGACCATGAAAAGCTACGGATATCTATCTAATCTATAATGCATGAGAATATACTTTGTTCTGTGGCGTGATTTCTGTGAATAAAAACTTTCGTTTTTGTAAATTTGAAGTTTCGGTAGACCCTTTAAAGGAACAAAAATAGACAGCACCTCAAAAAATACCAATACACAGCATTTTCTGTCACTTGACCAACAGATATGTTAATTTCTTACAATGAAAGCAAAAAAAGTTCAACTCTCACAGGACTGGTTTGGGAGCTTAAGCAACCACGTCGACAACGGCCGTGAAAGCGCCATTAAAAAACGAATTTGCGTTCTTTCAAACTCGCTTTTATTTAGCGTCGCTAAATTTTTTAACTATGGGCGATTTTCACCGGAGTCGAATTCTCATGGACTCTATCCAAGTTCAAAAAGAAAAAGAAAAAATCATCGTCATGTGTTTACTTCCTTCTTAAAAGACAAAACTTGCATTGGCAAATTCCACATAGTTGCCTTGCAGTGGACGTCTGGGAATTGTACTAAAAAGGCGTGATGCACGTGCAGAGCTGTTGTTTTGACCAATAAAACAATTGCCTTTTGACAGTTCGCGTTGCCGTCGTCTTCCTCTAACATGGTCAATATGACGTCATGTGTAAAACGCTCTCTTGGGCCACCACAACCACACATTACCAGTAAAGTTATAGTAAAGTAAAAACAAACTTACTGTTGAGTGAAAAAAGCTACCCAAGGAAATCGGAGATCGTGAGTATCCACGAACACGTTCTGAACAAACAGGTTTGGCGAGCAGCTATGCTGTGAAGACAGGCACGGACGGACTCGATTAGTTTCATAAAATTACATGATTAAAATCACCTGAAGGCTAATGAGAAAAACGTAAATATTACTAGTAATAATACTAAACAATTATTGGATGAGGTTTTGTGATATCCGGAATAATCAAGGTAAGTGTTATTCTACTGCGTGAGCGTCTGGGCATCGACCTACCCATCAAATCTCAGAAGATTAATCACACTTCAAAAACGGGTCGTAAGAATAACGTCGAGGAGTGCTTTCGATGCTCACACTGACCCCTTATTTAAAAATTTAAAAATTCTGAATCTTGAGAGTATCTACAAACTTCAAATAGGAAAATTTATGTATCAATACAGATCTGGCTTATGTTTCTGGTGACACGCCAGGTGCATTCTTATGGCACTAGAAGTTCGGAGCATTTTTATTTACCACAACGCAGGACTAATATAAGAAAGTTCTCCATCAGTTTCCAAGGTCCTAAATTTTTTAACTCTCTTAGTTTTGAAATTCGAAATGCAACAAGTACCGCTTCCTTTTGCTGTAAGCTGAAAGCACTCCTCTTATCATAAATAGTAATTGATATATATATATATATATATATATATATATGTATGTATTTTTTTTTCTTCCTTTGCTCTTTTATTTTCTTTTTTTTTGTTTTTTTTTTTCTTTTTGTCATTTCGCTTTTTTTAGCCTAGAACTATGATTAGTACGACTATCTAATATACTTATTTTAAGATTTACTGTAGCCCTGCCATTGATTTTCCGTGTGTAATTATGATAATATTTTGTTCTAATTATCTAACTGAGGGAGCCCATTCCTTATAAGCCCGGTGGCTTCTCTTGGGCTTCCTCGCCATGAGAGTTAAGGTAATTAGATTTTATTTGATTTGTTTAATTTTTGGCAAACAAAACAATAAACAATAAACAAAGCCGAGACGAAGGACGAGGCTGATAACTCTAACCGAGACTTTGATTATTCCGAATATCACAAAATTCGAATCTAATAATTGTTTTACTATACATTCTTTTGAAGAAAATATGGACAAACACAGCATAGCATGGAGCACACTTTGACATTGCTCTTGGAAATCATGCATTACTCGCGCAACCTGCAGATTAGTCACTGATAGCAGATAAATAACTAATCTGTAGGTTGCGCTGACTTCCAAAAAAATTAACTGCATGCTCTTAGCCAATGAAAAGACAGATAGTACAAGGTATAGAGTGTTTTCACATGACGTCACGGCGGCCATATTGGTGTCCCAAAACAATGAAACGGAGGCCATGTTGGTGTCCCAAACCAATCCTCTGGGAGTTGAACTCTTTTCTTATGCAAACGCTTTCTTTTGTTCCAATACATTTGCATAGATGCTAGCCACGTGAGTGAAAACACTCTATACAAAATAATTGACCACTCCAGAAAATACCATAACATAACATAATGCTCTTTGTTTGTCACCCCAAAATTTTGCATAAGCATTGTTTTCAGTCTCTCTTGGGGCCATTTTAACTCCCAAGAGAAAATGAAGACAATGCTTATGTAAAATTTTGGGGAGACAAACAAAGAGCATTATGTTATGTTATGGTATTTTCTGGAGTGGTCAATACTAATTCGCCACTTTAGAAACGAGAAGGCGACTGGAACACTGCAATTACCGCAATTGTTTCTGGGATCGTTACTGGAGACACGCCGGTCAGCTATTGGCTATTTTCTTTTCCCAGAAGTCTTTGCGAAGGTTAACTCGACCCAGTTTTTTCTCTCGTTTCTAAAGTGATGACTACGACTGCATCCTCGGAGACCCAGGGGCAGTCAGTCGGGTCGGGAAAAAAGGCGGGGCGAAAGTTTTCAAGTAAGTGCGGAAGAGCCCCTGGGTACCGACTTTCACCGAACTATTTCCAAAAATTCAAGCTGATACCGGCTCCTGATTGGGCACAAAAAATGCTTTGTATTATTGTGCCCAACCGGCGAACAGTTGCTCCTGAGTTCTTTTCGTGAGTTCGTACACGACGGCTATTGTCTCACCACACTTGCCTGGTTCGTTCACCAAGCTTGTGCGTACAAGGGAAACTTTTATTTTCTAGTTCCTAACCAGAAACAAAGGAATTACCGATGAGTTGAGAAAACGTTTGGGTTACTATCAGCAAGAGCAATTGAATTTGCCCCGAGAATATTCTGTTTTTGAAGGATCACAATTAAGATGCGGTGGCGATGAGAAATTCAAATAAGTAATAGCTTGACAAGGCAAAACAACAACTTTGCACGTGCATCACGCTTTTTTGTACTGCACGACTACCCGTGAAAATGCCTAACTTCACGTTTTGCGAAGGAGTAAACAAGCAATAACAAATTCATTCTCTTCATGAACTTTGATATGGTTCGAAAGAGTTCCCTTGCATTTGACAAAGTAAGCGAGTTGGATCAGATGGGGATTTTATATCAAACTGAAAGTTTCCTGACTGCGTGCATTTCTTTGGTGCATAAGCTAGACAAGCCGTGATCGAGACAATAGCCGTCATTTACGAACACACGAAAAGAACTCATTGAGATGTGTTCGCCGATTGAGCACAATAATACAAAGCATTTTTTGTGCCCAATCAGGAGCCGGCTCCGCTTGAATTTTTGGAAATGGTCCGGTGACAGTCGGTACCCAGGAATTGTATCTATAAAGCGTAGAAATCAGTCTTTTCAAGGGTCTATTTATGGAGTGGCGCCCGTATCGCAATCGGTGAGTCGGAACAAAATTTCAGTATGATCGATCGTTCTTCTTTTCTCCCGACCCGAATGACTGCCCCTGGTCTCCGAGGATGCTGCGACTGCAACTGCAACTGTCACTAAACGGCGATATTTTTACGCCACAAATGGTAATCATTACTTGTTTTCAATGTCCTTGTTTTATGTATGACCTATATATGAGCTTTTTCGACGATAACAATTAGACTGGCACTTACATTTAAATATCTGCCACAGTTCCCATAAGCCTTTGCATCGATGACGTAGCAGTGCTCTTCTCCAAACATTGACCTCGTGCTCATTCTCTTGCTGCTGGACGAGGACTGACGTGACAGAGAGGGGTGTGAGGGCGAGGGAGTGTTTGGTGAGGCTTTGATTGAAGGACTGGTGGAGGTGGGCTTTGGCTGAGAGCGAGAATAGTGGATCTTGGGATTGTTACCTGCGAGACATAAAACATTTATGGATTATTTCATTTGGGAATGCATACGTTAACAAGAGGCCACCTTTGTATTCAAGGGAATAACGTGAAACTAGCTACCAAGGGCGACTCAGTTGAGGAAACATTTTATTAATAAGGCGTTTTCACATGACGTCACGGCGGCCATGCTGGTGTTCCAAACAAGTCATGTGGTCGTAGAAGTCTTTTCTTATGTAAAGGTATTCTTTTCTTTCAATAAATTTGTATGCTGGAAACGGTCTCGGCTGCATCCGTGATCGCGACTGAATTCGTCCAGTTGGTTGGGAGCTGGACTGAGGAGGGGGAAGTCTTGAGTCCGATTCCGGAGGGAAGCTGGTCAATACTCAGGCTCTTACTTAACCTGCGATTATGCGTTTTTTTAGAACAGGAGAAAAAGGAGAAAAGATATACTAAGATCAGATATAGGAAGAGCATGATTGCAGGTTAGGTCTTACTGAGGAAGAAAGTACTACCATTCCCTTGGTTACTTCCAGTTCATTACATTGAATACGAAAACGGCTTATTGTTGGTTCAAATACGTAGGTTTGAAATTTATCCAACCCGACTCCGCAAGTACTGTGTCGCTACTTTACGCCTCCCAAAGTGAGAAACCCTAACGACGAAGATAGGGAAGGTGATAGGGGATAGGAAGATATGATAGGGGTACTTCTATGTATAGGGGTTGCTAGCCGAAATGAAAAACAGTTGCTAGAGAGACTGTAACTTACTTAACTCTAGATAACAGATCGTGCATATCCTAATGCACCCATAAAAGAACTTGCATATTTTCGTTTTCTAATGACAATCACTTCAATAACCGTATTTCACTACATATGGCACGTTTTGGGACTTTTATTCCTGATGGTGCTAGGGTTAAAAAATAAGAAAACGGTTTAAGTTGTCACTCACTTTTAAACTTTTTCGCCGGCGGCTTCGAAGACATTCCACCACTGCGCCGAGAACTTGCGGTTGAAATCTCTGACTTCCGGTCTAACGACTCTGTCTTTGAAACATCCGAGCGCAAACTAGCCGGCGAGGCAGGGCAAGACTCTAAATTCTCAGTCTCTGGGGACGACGCATCCGAAATGGGTTCTACTGTTACACCAAAAGGATTTTCCGTACTTTCAGGAGATTTATCAGAAGAGCGCTTGTCTATAACGTCTCCAAGCAACTGCTCATCACCGCCATTCAGACTGGAGTCTGAAGAAGGTGGCTGGGTGGTAAGAACGCGCGTCTTTAACCGCGAAATCATGTCCTCGAGGGAGTTTGACACGCGCCGAGAAGGCACATTCATTTTTATTAAAACCGGCGGTTCGTCCGCCACTGTTGGATTTTGCGCCGCGAGTTTGGAAAGATCTTCCGCAGAAATAAGCGGAGGAGCGGTGTCCGTGTTCAAGACTTCGACTTTTTGAACAGTTTTGTCCACCTTCTCATCCGCTTGAGTATGACTCTGTGTTTTCTCAGAATCTGGTTCAAGTTTCAACTGCGGATTCTGTTGCTTTTCAGAACCTGATTGTAAGTCACTGTCTTGTTTAGTTGAACAGCCTTCGCTTTCAAGTTCAACATCACTTGTCAAGTCAATGATATTCACGCTATTATCTTCAGTGTCCTTGTTAGAGCTCTGTTTTTCAGTTTCATCCCCTTGTTTTGTCAAACTTGGCATGTTTAAGCGCTCATCTTCAGTTCTGTCCTCAGCCGTGTTATCTCGCATTTTCTGACAGAATGACTCGTCCACTTCATCAAAATCGAACTCACTGCTTTGACTGACGTTCTTCTCTTCTTCATCTGAGAAGAAAAATTGGGAAAGGTAAAGGTCTCATAACAATTTCACTCCACTCCCAAGGTGGGTGGGTGTATTATCATCGGAAACAATAGTATCATTAGAGAGTACACAAAAAGATGGATAACTGAATAGTGTCAAAATGGATTTCGTCCACAGACTCCACAGGTGTAATTACTTAAATATTCGACTCTACAAGAATCAGATTAAGTGTTAGCGGGATTGAGATAGGATCTAAGTCCAACCTCGTCCCCAGAGCTTTCGCGCAGTCAACAGCCATTGCGGTGTTACAGTGACATGGGCATCCCCATTCCCAAACCTCTAGTGGTATGGGCATCCCCTTCTCATAATACCTTAGCGATTTGGGTTAGGGTTAGGGTTAGGGTTACAGAGGATGCCATATCACAAGGGGTTTTGACAATAAGGATGCCCAAAACCCGGGGATGTCCATACCACTGTGGCAGCGGCGCTAAACGAAATTCTTCACATTTGTGACAGACGATGACATTGCGTGTTCGAAATGCCCTAAGTTTCAGCAAATGAACGGTAAAACTAATAGGATTTTGTCTGCAGACTGCCGAGAAGTTTGATACACGTACCTTCATTATTGATTTTCAGTGGAAAGGTTGAAACGTAAAGAGTACACGGACATTGGCATTAAGGGCAACGACTCTAAGTTCCCAGTTAAATCCGCTTTTTCTCATCAATTGTTAATTTTCGGAGAAAAGAAATCAGCGCAAAATTACGGGTCATACGTTTTACCTGTATCTTGTTTGAGTTTTCCTATATCTTTAATACTTTGTTCCTCCGGTTTCTCTTCATTATTCTTGACATTGTCAACAGCACTTTTAGCAGTCACTTCTCCCTTCATCATCTTTTTCAAAAAGGCAGCGGCTTCTTTTTGGTTATCGCGGTTACGTTTTAAAGCTATGTAACACCTAGAAAGAAAAACAGCTGAATCAATTGGCCAGTTTCACAGGGTTCCTACTCTTTTTAACTTTTCAAATGACATATATTGACTTTCCATGACTTTTTCCATGAACTTTTCAAAGTTTTAAGGACCTTCGGGTTACCTTTCGCTTTCGAATATTTTCAAAACTTTCCTTATTTTAGGGTAGTTCTTGACTTAAGTCAGTTCAATAGACACAAACTCCGGTGTCCGTTTATAGTTACTTGTCTCTATCTCTATCCAGCTTTGACATCTGAAGTAACCTATTTACCAAACATAGCATGATTTTCCACAATTTTCCATGGCCAACAATTTAAATTCCATGACTTTCCAGGCCTGCAAAATGAAATTCTTAAAATTCATAACTTTCCAGGTTTTCCATGACCCGTACGACCCCTGTAACAATATAATCGCGAGTGTTCTATGGTATATTATGTAACGACCAAAGAAGCCACACTGAATTCTGCAAGGCTGATCACACTACCTAGAATTCATTGTGTCTACTTGGTATATTTTTTGCTGATCAGATCTTCTATAGATCCTGCGTTTTGCGGCATGTTCGTTTGCGGTCCTTTGCAGTTTAAATGTTCAAGTGTTACTAAGGTTAAAAAGCCTCAAGGCGCTAAGACTTACCATTTTTCATCCGCGAGGTTCGACAGACAGTGAGCTTTGGATTCGCGTTCAACCATCAGACTTTCCTCGCCTTGTACACCACTGTAAGAGCAACAATGATGAGAATGTCAGGTGCCTGGGTCGAGAAGCAGAGGAGCTGCTTCCTGAAGCCGATACCTTTTCCGTCGAAACGGAAAACAAATGATGTCCTCGGTGTCTGTATTATGAATTCAATTTCTGTAGGCTTTGAAAGGCTGACAAATACAGCTCTAAGGTGAAGCTACAGACAGGCCTCTCCATGAGCAAGACAAAATGCACCACAATAGACCTTTTCCCAGTTTTCCTCCAGTGAGTATACAACTGAAACGAGGTCAAAGCTCGGGTGGATAATTTCATACAAATCTCTGTACTTTGTCAGAGCAAACCTCCAGTTAGTGCCTTTGCAAGGATTTTAACTCCCGATTTCGTAAGTTCTGTGTACTTTACGAAAAGGGGCTACATGTCTCGCGGCCTCTGTCAGCACTAGCTATGTTCCTCAAGCCTTAGGGCCTTTTTACATGGAGCTGGGGGACCCCAGGTACGTGAGGTAACCCGCCTGTCTATATAATCTCTCGTCTTAATTTGATCACCATGGTTTACGTGATAGGTGGGGCGACCCGCCACATGTTACCTCACCTATCTGGGGTCCCCAACCTCCATGTAAACAGGCCCTTAATATCTAAACACCTGAAACATTTCTTAAGTAATACAAGAAACAGCTTAGTTACCGTCTTTTCTTCTCACTCTTCCCTGATGATCTCTAAGGAGCAAAATCAAAACGTAAACACAAGTTTAGTGCTTTCTCACCCTCTCATTAAACTTTGGATGCTATGCCTTTAAACTTAATTAACAGAAGTAATAAACCCACTTTAACTTGAAAACAGAAAACGTTCCGATTTATACTTTTATCCGTTATCCTTGATCTACTACTGCTCAGTAGCGCGTATCATTTGATGACCCTTGGGGATTTTTATCCCCTAACAAGCAAGTTGTAACCACCCTACACAGTAGAGAGCTTCAGATTCAAGGACGAGAACGAATACGAGTACGAGATTTTACTTAAAGTTTTTTCACGTATTCTCAAAATGTAAACTCCCCAGAAAGCTTCATCTTACCATTTTTCACTAGAAAAGTTAGCAGTTACCTTTAGTGAACACTTGATAACTTGTTTCCGCTACTTCGACATTCTCGCCAAAACTCGTAGTAGAGTGACGACGGCTACCACTTTTCCCGTCAAAATGACGTTGGTTCACGCTTGAGCACTACTTAGTATTGAGGAATCTCGTACTCGTAGTCGTACTCGTCTTAGAATCTAAAGCTCTCTAGTGTAAGGTTATCACACAACGAATAACTAAGTGATCGTGCCGACGTCAAAACATCTGCGGGTTGCGGATTGGTATCAACAGATACCTTCCACAACCTTTTAGTAACACATTGGCCTCGTTTATCCGGTTTACTATAGTCAGTTACCATCTCAAATGTTACAACCGTAACACTTTCCTATAGTTCGACCCCGGGTTTTCACACATCATACCTTGCCCCTTTCAACCCATCAAATAAACCAGGAAATTTTATTAGGCACACATTTGGTAGGGTACAGAATGCAGTTTTGAATGATTGAGTTTTCCCGACATCGACATCACAATAAAAGAACACTTGGAATACCAATGCAAAGTTTACTGACTTAATTTTAACAATCAATCGAATCAACCTCGTCCCCAGTCTTCTCGTTTACCAATAAAAACCGAGAAAACCCTAGGGACGAGGTTGCAATCGAGAAAAGGCAGCAGTCGATGAGGATTATTCAAAAAACCCAACAAACCTTCCGTTTCTTTCTCCTGGATCTGTGGGTGTTATTTTCGCTATCTCCTTGTCTTGAATTCCTTCCAGAGCTGAAACTCTCATCACTGAGCAGAGAGTCAGCTTCAGACGAGTCATTTTCTGAAGAACTGTTTAAAATGCAATCGAAGACAGGAGTGAACGAGTTGTTAGAAATGATATTTGACATTACCGTACTACATTCACTACCTCTTGTTTTCACAGATTTTTAAGCATCTTTCATGGGCGGCTTTAGGGGTTGGCCGAGGGCACCGCGGCCACTCCTTTTTTCCGTGATTTTTTAAGTGTCGCAGCCACCCCTTTCTGAATTTTCTGGATCCGCCCCTGCCTTTTGCAGTTCATGAATATCCTTCCCTTCATTTCCCATCTCTTTACGTTGGTCAAGGATTCCAAATTTCTTATAGGATTCGTAATGACAAAACAGATCAATCAGAGTAACTTTTACGAATGAAATTGTGTTATACAATTTTCAACAAACCCTGCGGAACTTCACTCACTATTCTCTACCCCTGCCAAGGACCACGATTTTCCCCGACCTTGAAAAACATTGTGTCTCCTGGCTGGCTTTTCCCTAGCCGTGACAAGGCTCTGAGCTAGTTTTTATTAAGAAACGTTCCAAGAATGCAAATTAATGTCAAGAAAGATACTCTTCATCGGCGAAGGATAACGCGTATAAAGGGTTTTGTTCATCGTTTGTCTTACGACTGTCCCTTAGATATTGATCGCAATATCAATATCAATATAAATTTCTAAAGAAATGTGAATTTCCGAAGGCTATCTAAGCGACAATCATGAGACAAACGATAAACGGAACACTTTATAAAGCCAATTAAGTCAACTCCAGAAATTGAACTGGTTTCTTGGACGTTTTGCTCGCATTCTGTTGTATATTGCGACAACACTGCTCGCGCATACGTCGTTTTCTGGTTGTGGTTGTGGCTGTGTTTACCACAACGCAGAGAGGTCACTGTGCATATTACCTTTCGCCGCTTTTGTCACTTCCGCTTATGGTAGAAGAACTCTCGCCGCCCAGAGTCTGGTAAATCACACTGTCATCTTCCTCTAGGTCCGACACGTTAGACTCATATCCCTCCTTAGCTTTCTCTACCACCTCTGCAATGACAGTATAAAAGATGAAACATTCAGCAAATGATCTGTTTGTAAGATGCACTGCTTCTGTAATAGCTTTTACGTCAAGAAAATGAGCATGACTTTAAGAAGACTGGACATAAGTTTCGCACCAATAAACTAAAAAAACCCCAAAAAGAAAGAAGAATAAGAGTAGAAAATGCTGGAAACTATTTTGCGCAACTTCTAAAGAACGCCCTCGCACCTTTTTCAGAAGACGCGCTGGCCGTCTTAACGCCTCGAACTTTGGAAATGGCGGTTCGGGTTTAAGTCTTGCCGTTGTTTCTTTTAACATGATACTTAACTCCCCACGTCTTTATATAGGTATGGGCGATAGACTGCTGGGGGGGGGAGAAACTCCGAGATGGGTCGTGCGGGTGAGTAGCAATACAATTAGGTGCTTCAATACCAATTAAATCATGTTAAACCCCGGGCCTCATGGCCTCGCGTCCGCCTTTATCTCTACCTCTGCGGCTTTCACTCACCGATATGATCTAATTCTGCCAAGTACTCATCTCCGAAGTCCCTTCCCTCCTGTGAGAAAGTAAACATTAGATTAAGTTTCAGTGGCAGTTCTGTTTCCCGTGCACTTTATCTGCCGCAATGCACGCATGCGTACTTTTGTCAAAGCACAAAGTTTTTGGTTCAGTCTTCCCCCCAGAGGACGTTTTACCCTTGTCTAGCCCACTTGTTGCCCGTCTGCTGGACAAGAGTAGCGCGGCCTACTTGAACCAGATATTGTTTTGTTTTGCTTCGCCACGTCAGTGGCGCAGAAAAGTGAGCAAGAACTATCTATTAACTTAAAATACAGGTTCTGGTGGATGAAAAAGGGAAGCTTCCATCTAAAGTTTACCCATTCACTCCTTATAGTGGCCAATGTATAAAAAATCATAACAATTCCAAATTTCTTTTAGTAAAATCCCAAAAAGTTAAAAACACCATGTAAAAGTTCTGCCAAAGAGATTTTATTTGAATGGTAACACCATAGGGTTTCTTCCACAGATTCAAAGAAAGAGTGACTAATAATCACGCCATAATAAATTCAAAGAGTAAAAGGATTAATCAAGTAAAATCAACTTTTGCCGTGCTTTGTTTCCTCTGAGGCCATCTCCATAAAATGTTTCGTTTCCCATCGCCCTCCCTCTCGTGAAGGTGGGTCGGTCGGTCGGGCAAAAAAAAAAAAGAATGAACACAAGAATGCATAAAAAAAGATGTATTAATCAAATGTCTAAAATCAAGTATCGATGATTTTAAGACAATTGTGTTTTAAAACAAGATCGTTGTAAATTAAAGTACCTTCTAATGATTCAACGCAGCACCAAACAAACATTTTATGGGGATAACAAACTCTTTAACAAACTCTTTGCTCACAAGATAATGACATAAAATCTAACCTTGTTAGCCATGTCTTCATTAAGAATCTGTCCAGCGTATGTACAGACAAATGTACCCATAGGAATGTCATCCAGGCATCTAAGCCCCCACCCCCTGAAACATACAACGAAGAGAAGTCAATCCACCCATCTGCCCAGCACTAGTGTTCAAGCAGATGTACCCGCCTGGTCTAGTTGGCAGATCTGTAAAATACCCCAAACATGAAAATAATTTTTTATTCTCATACAAATCAAACTCCTTTTCCAAGAAAGGTCTTGCACTTAGCTTCGTATTGAAAGTGAACGTTTTTGGAACTCGGAAATTGCTCCACAGCAACGACCAAGACCTTTAGTGTATCTGGACTACTCCCTATCTATCACTCTGTCAAACGAAAATCCAGACACACTACTGACAAATCATGTTAGTAATTTTTTCATTCACATTCATATGCTGTGCTGTCACGTGAACTCAGTGAAAGCCCTACTACTTGATGCAGTTTCCCCGCAATTTACAAAGCGACGTTACCAGTGACACTAAGAGACCGTTGCAAGTTTCCTATGCTGCCAGTCGCTCGTGGTATTTTGTAGAGAAGAGCATTATTATTGAATCACAAACTGATGAACGTAATTTGCACCGCAACTTCTCGAACAGGAATGCGTTACATGCGGCTGGTCTGACAGCATTGAACAACGTTCTCTTGTCAGAGCACCCTGAACCCAAAAATTGCATGATTGAGAAATCCCTACCTGTTCTCCGTCTTGAACACTTGTAACCTTAGCTGGATGCCATTCTGCACAACTCGGTTGAAACATTGGGTGCCACATGCGCAGTTTTGATTACATTCGTAGATTCTAAAGAAGATCAAACAGGTTAGAAACAGACAGCAAAGTATGACTGTTACATAGAATGTTACTAGATTAAATACATCACATTAACATTCTATTGTTTTGAGTCAAGCCATTGGTAAGTGAATAATGTCGGTAATTCATGGCTAGAAAAGTGCGTTTCCTGCTACAGCATAGACCTCTTTAGAGTGTACGTTTTGTTTTCCTAATGTAGGTCATGTAATGATACTATAGAGTACTGAAGTACTCTACGTAGCTTTCGCAATGCCACTCGTTAGATCACTGTGAACCGTTTTACAGAAACACGGGCAGAGTGTCAAAAGTAACAGAAGCCAGTGATTTCTCTGACAAAATATATTCACTAGAACAAAGTTTTGCAGCAGTTGGCAATCTCACCCTGTTTGAACGCCTTCCTTGAGCTTGCGAAACTCATAACCAATTGTGGGATCCTCTTTGCCTCCTACAGCAGCTGAGGCTTGTATGGTTAACTGGGCGCATGAGCACTTGGACTTGTCCTTGAACAAATATTAATAGCAATAAAAACAGCAATATTAATAGCAATATTAATACTGGTAATCTCAATACTCTTACCAAACCAGTCAGTCTGGAAGCTGTTGAATTCTTGATTCTGATTGGTTAAAGTATTTTCTGGACTGCGTAGAAGAACAAGCACTCGTGGAATTTCTCCTTCGTTTTAGTCCACTTTCTTTGCAATAACTTCACTCGAGCAAAATCTCACCAGTTAGCTTAATCATTGGTGTTCAGGTATGAAAGGCTGGCAATTTCATCTAGTTTACTCTACATTTGAGGACCTTCAGAAGATGTTAGACTAGAGATGATGACACCAATTCACCTGACAGTTATCCGTGCAGTCACAGCATGCCAGGAATGCTGGGTCGAGAACCATATTTACTCCTTCATGTAGAATCCTTCTGGATACGTAATCGATCGGAGGCGGAAAACACGTGTCCACTTCGTTGACAACCTGAAATGTGTCAATCAAAACGGCTGAATAAGTACCTCATTTTGGTTTAGTTAACGGCGCAATGCAATTGCTATGCCAAACAGTGGCAAACAAGACGGTGTGGATTTTGGTTACTTTTGCGAACAAGCAAAGCAAATGAAACGGATTGCTAATAGCTTTCCCATCACAGTGGCGTATCCAAACCTTCAGATAAGGGAGGGGCCCGGTCATCCAGACCCTGAGTTGGGAAGGTGGGGGGTGGGGACTGTCTCCAACTGCCTCAGTTTGGTGTAACAATAAGGCGGCGGCGGCGGGGGGGGGGGTGAAATTGAAGGCAATATTCAACTCCGGCAGCACTTGATACAGTACTGAACAGCACTGCCAAGTGAACAATAATGTATTGACGAGAGAACAAGAACTTTTAAAATCATTTACTGGTTTTGAAATAGTAAATTGTGTTAGCGAAAAACAGTGTTTTTAAGTACATACCGAGATTTCCACTCTTTCTGCACCCCGTGAGATATCAGGACAAATAGGTTCCTGGCAACAGAAAAGAAATCGTCTCACGCAGAAACAGAAACTATACAATTACAAATGTTGTGAAGCAAAGAAAGCCTTAATGACTTAAGAAGCAACTATACATTACTTTCCCCGCCCATCTTGCATACAAACGAAACAATGCGTTCGGAGTCAGACTCGAAACCTGTCTCACCAAATACCCGTTGGGTGTGCAAACCACCACAAGATCAAGCCAGGCACAATGGCGATAAGCCCACATTAATAGTGGTAGACGATAGTTTCAGAAACAAATTATTCCACGGAATGTTTTAAGTCTTTCGCGTGTTTCTGAGGGAATCGACAGTGTTTGCAAATACTTGCTAACCAAAGCGACCACGTTGCTACCCTGCTGTATCCAAAATAAATAATATTTGGTTCAACGATCCTCCAAGAACATAAAAGAAGTGCTGGAACTTAAGTTTTAAGTTCTAAGTGCTTCTATGTCTCAAAGAAATTTGCTTTTTCATTTCTTTTGAAACAAGACCAATTAACATCATGCGCCCCGGGTTGAGTGGCGTGGCCCACGTGCATAATAACCCTAAAAGGCACTCGAGTGAAGTACAGCGTGAATGTAACGAAATCGCTCTGACCAACCATAAAGCACGCATTACTTAAAACATTTTTCAATAAATTATTCTCACCACATCTCTGAAAACAGTATCTTGGCAGGAAACATCCGGGTCAAATGAAAACTGATCTATAGACACATTGGCGGTATTTGTGATTGTCACTAAAGGAGAAGAAGTGAAGACAAACTTGAGTGAAGACGAACCAATCAACCTGTAGAAATACTCCTGGATGTGTTACGTTACAGAAGGCAGGTTACGCTCCGGCCGTGCGAGCTTTTCGGCTTTGAGAAAAGAGCCGCAGGGTTTGCAAATTTTATTGATGAGTGGAGTCAGTGTGACTTCTGCTTCACAAATTTTGGAGTCATTTTGGAATATTTGGAGTCAAGTATCAGACTTTCCAGCACGTGGTCCCGGCATGTATACACTATCGTGAGGGATAGTACACGAAGTAGCTGTGGCGGTCCGCTGACCTGGAAAGCTCAAATCCATGATGGTCGTCATCGAGTAAACTTTGATCGTAATTTACCCTCTTCCTGTTTTATAGTGCGGTATAATTCTTTAATTTCGATGATTTAATTAAGGTTTACAACGTTTACAATTAACGTAAATTGTATTCGTTGCGAAAAAGGTCAGGACAAAACTGTGTTTGTTACCGAACATTTCTGGAGTCGAAGTGGCTCCCTGTTTGTTACCTAAAATTTTTGGAGTCGAAGTGACTCCCTCCGTAACATCAGTGGAGTCATTTGAACAATGTTGGCGTAAAATACGCCAAATTTGGCGTATTTGCGACCCTGAGAGGAATAGGTTCTCAAGTGAATAGTGATTATTCTTTTTCAGAAGCATAATTCAAACTAACAATATCTTTTGTACTCACAGTAACAAGCAAGTTCTGGCAAGGATCTCTGCAGAAAGAAAGGAGAAACAATGTTAAGGCAAAAAAATGTTTTGTTTGAAGACACACCAGTGTGAAATTAAATAAATCTTTTTTGAAGAACACCAAATGGCTTCCTACAAGAAACAGATCACTCTAGCTTGGTACAAGAGTTTTCTCATTACAACGAAACTGCACTCTGAAGAACAACTTTCCTCAACTAAAAAAGGGCCATTTCCGAGTTCCCCCGGCCCTCTGTTTCAAAACTAGGGTAGGTGCTCAGCCTTTGATACGGAAATCATTTTTCATTCTCATGCAAATAAAACTCATTTTCACATGCACCTAGCCTCATTTTGAAAGTGAGGGTTTTTGCAACTCGGAAGTGGCCTATTTCATGGACATAATCATGTAGCCACGCCAAACTCACTTAACGGAACGAACGATCACCATAGTTTTCTGACGTAGGAAAACAATCGGATATACCCCGCTTCAGAAACTTTAGGAAGAATGGATACAATCTTTAGGTGCAGTGACTTCTAGGATCGTTTAGGTAAACAAGCGTTAGTTATGATTGGTCGATGGTATTCACAGTAACAATAAACCAATCATAAGTAACGCTTGTCCACCCAAACGATCCCATAAATCCTTGCGCCGAAAGCTTGTACCCATTCCTCTTATAGTTTCTGGAGTGGGGTGTTAAAAAACAAACATTCAGCTGACACAAGAGACGTCTACTTACCAGTCTTTTGTTACAAGGTGTACGATAATAAACAGTCTTCTTGTTACCAGGGTGACGCTGCGCAATTTCCCTACAGAAAACATACATAACGGACCAAAACTAAGGAATAGCAATTAGAGGTCAGTTCCAGGGGAGTTCCAACAATTTGTTTTCATCTGTACCTCTATCACCATTCTTTGACGGCGACCAGTAGACCACGTTCTTTTCCTAGGTAATGCACTGGGACTAGCCCACAAACGAGAGGGAATCTTTCAACAGGCCCCGGTCGTTCAAAGGTTGGATAGCACTATCCACCGGAAAAATCGCCATCCAGTGGATACTTATTAGAGAAACCAATAACTTTATCCACTGGATAGAGATTAATCCAATGGATAGCGCTATCCACCTTTTGATCAACTGGGGCCGGTTTATTTATAAAATAACCTGTTACTATACTTCATGTGTAGCCATGTTCGGAGAAAAAGCGTCGAGAAACGATAGCTAACCACCCGTAAAAAAGTCATAGGTACAACATTTGCACTGACACACATTGCAAGGGATATGATTTCATATGAAAGGAAACCTTTATTTCGTTTTAATTTTTCCCGTTATTTCTTTGCATTTGTTAATGTAACATTGCGTTTTCATTCAACGAAAAGTCTAACCTTTTCCACTTCAGTAGGAGGGGAATCGCTCTTGGGTTATGTTTAACACTTTCTTCGGCTGCAACGGTTTGGTTTGTATTGCAGAGGTTACTGCATTTATGAGGCCCTACAAACAAAATAGCGATAACAATAATGAGGTGATGTAAATGCATTAAGCATTTAGGTACCACGCACCCAAAATGTATTTAAACAGTCAATTCGGCAATTGAGTGCGGACAAAATATTCAACTTGGCAATCTGAACAACCAGTTTATCAATGGGAATATTCGATATTAGCTTAGCATTCAATTTCACAACGCAAACATTTCGTCGATTCAAACATGCAATTCAGACATTAAACTGAAACGTTCAATAGACCAATTTCGATATATTAAAATTCATACTTGGCTGTGAGGCTTGAGGGAATAAAACAAAAGAAATCATCTTGAGGCTCAGCGATGAATAATATTTCTTTTGTCCTATTTCCCCAAGCCTCGGAGTCAAGTATGAATTTTAATATATCGAAAATGGTCTGTACACCACTTGCTCCCATAAAGCACATAATTTGCCCCGCGAAATTTTACATATCCTTTGTCTTTCATTTCTCCTGGGTATTACAGCCGTCCGAAGAGAAATTGAAAACAATACTTATGCAAAATTAGGGGGGCGGGGGACAAATAAGGTGCATTATGGGAGATGTGCAAGTGGCGTATTCAGTCATACCATTCAATTCACACAAGCAATTCATACTTTCAATTCAGATCGAAATCGTCACAATTCACCATCAATTCCTCGTAGCCCCGAGGGTTATTCGCTACAATAGTCTATACAGGGAGGCTCCGCCCGAAAGGGGTACATCAAAGAGTAGGGAATTCACAAGTTGAATTATGTGAAAGCGTTGGAAAATCTATCATTTAAGCATTAAAAGGGCCTTAATAATGTTTCGAAAAGACCTCCATTTTGCCCATTTAGTTTATTAAACGTTACACGAAAATACGAAAATGACAAGGGTCCTTCCTGTTCTAGCGATTTATTCCTAAGTGGGTATGGTAAAGGGGTGCTACATTTCAATGGAAGGTACACGAAGATGGTACCTTGTCCGTCAAAAGTGCATGGTATATGAAACGGTGAGGGGTTGGAGCTCGGGGCGGAGCCCCCGCCCCGTAGAAAAGTTTGCAAAGTCCCCCCCCCCCCCCTCCTCCCCGCCGGTCTGTGGCCTACCTTTAGGAGCACTTTTGCTTGAAACCACCGAATAGTTAGGAGTTTCACACTGCTGATCTCTCAGCGTCCCCTTCTCCAAGCTGCTCTGATTGAGTCTCAATTGGATCAGTGATGCAGCATCCTGTTTGTGCTGGCTGTTAGTGGGAATGTTGAAAGCTGGGATCCTTTCTCTGCCAGCGCCTCTGACATCCCGACGATTTGTACGAAGCCAAGGTGCTTCCCATGACTGTAAAGATTGGTTGAAATGAACCAACTGAGGAGCTGAACAAGTCTCGCTACAGTACATTATAAGTAGTGTCTTTGTACGCGGTACGTCAAGCAAAATGCACGAAAAAAGCTACTGGGCACGTGTGCAATGGAGACCCTTACTCTCGATTGTCGCGTCTCGCACCCCGTGCGCGCACGTACTACGTCAATAACCTTGAGGAAAGATACAGAGGTTCGTAGCCTATCCCTACAGATGACAAGATTTAAGTCTCAAAGAACTGGGTCTCCCAGAATCCAGTGTGAAGTACATGCATAACAAGACTAGAGACTAGATGAAATCCTACAAAGCAGGGCAGACACCCTTATAGAAAGTCACCTTTCTTTAGTGTTCTGTGGTTTTGTTTTCATGAGAGATGGATTCTCCTTTTTGCGAAGGTATCCATCTAGAGAGGTCACAATTTGCCGTGTATACAGCTATTTCGAGAAAGGTTATCGGAAAAAATGTGCACGCGACAATCTCGAAAGGTCTAGGTCTCAGCTATGGGACACCTCTCGTAAGCAGACAACCCTCAAGGTCTGCAGAATCTAAAATTATTTGTCGAACAGACAGTTTCCCAATTCACTACAAATAAGGTCCTTATATATTCTATATATGATGTAAAACATAAGTTGGTATGGAAAAGGAGTTCCACAGTTTAATGAGTACGGTAACAGTCCTGACGATATATACAGGGCTCTAGCCCGACTTTTAGTATGGACGAGGGAAGATCTGTGATCGCCGAAGTCGCGGGCTGATAGGAGAGAAACTGGGGCAGGCCCACCCCAGAAAATTTTGAATCTATAAGCACTGAAGCGCTATTTTCAGCCTTTGTTGAAAGTGCTCTTTCAATTGGGAATGTTTTAACAACCTCACTTTTTAAATTGGCTTTTAGGCTAGTTAAGTACTCTGTCTTGTCTCTTGCAAGCTACGGCTCGGGTATGCATTAAGTAGAAATAAGTTTATTTTTTTTCCCCGACTCTTTGTAGTGCTCGGCGTTTACGATGTTGACCCAGCCTCCCAAAGGGCCACTTCCTAAATGCGGGTACCTACTCCCGGTCCCTGGGCTGTCCGCATACAGGAGGTAGGATTGAAGTGATGTAAAAAGGTCATGCATGATAACTGTATGGGGTGTCAGTGGCCATGCAGTGCTGTTTTAAGCTAAAGAAGGAAAGGTACTAACATTATAAAGGTCATCCAGTATGGAGGCATCCGCATTAGGAACTAGGTACTGAAAGTTAAAAAGTTAGAAGGATAAGAAGAGAGAAGAAGATCGACAGTAACACAGAAAAAAAGAACAGAGAAACGTGGAGAAATATAAGCTTTTCGCTAAAAAGTCTTTTAAAGTTCATTTACTTGATATGTAGAAAAAAAAAGAATTGCTTGTTCTTCAATGATAGTTGCAAGCATTCAAAAAGGAGGCACGCTGAATTGCTTACATTTATACTCTACACTCAACTCCTTAGCGAATAAAAACGTAAACGGACGACTCCTTTACGGTTCTCTCTTTTTTCCAGGCCGTCCAAATAATTAAAAAATTGCAATATTATTTTTTATTTTCATATATGGATGTTTCCTTCTGGAATTTTTTTACCAGGTTTTCTGGACACAGGCCTACACAGAGGGAATGAGCAAGAACAGGACTCAGGTCCCATGCGAGGTGCCATTCCTACCCAATCCCACAAACCGTAAAGGTTGGCCACACCACCGGGGTCTACGTCCCCTTACTCTTCTCGAACAGTGGAGTGGGTTCTTTTACGTCCCGCAAGAACAGATCAGTAAAAGCGTGTTGTGAGACAGGGCCTACGGTTTTTCGTCCTTATCCGAGAAGACTAGAAAGTCTAACCATTTGCAGATGTCATTACAAAGCAGCACTTTCTTATCAGTTTTTCAAAGACCCTGAGCGTTGGTCCGGCCGGGGTTCGAACCCGCGACCTCCAGCTCGGCAAGACCGGCGCTCTCCCAACTGAGCTAACCAGGCGGCCGAGGAATCAACGTAATGTAACCAAGAGAAGAAAATGGACAGAGAGGGAAACGCCCAGTCTAGCGGCCATTGCTATATGTCATTTCACTTAAGATATTTTTAGGCCAAAACCGCTTGAAATTAATAGGAAACTGGTTTCCCGAGAGGTCCGCAAACTTTTATTCGGTGTTGTCAAGAGAGAATTCAGCAGTTGCCTCTACAATATTCGGCGTTGTTTGCTTTGAGGCAGTCGCGTGTGGACTTGATGACGTTTCAAGCGATTGATTAAAATGTGCGGACGTGTCGGGAATTAGGCTTCTGTTTAATTACAATCTCTAAGCTTAAGCCAACGCTTGGCCAACGCCCTAAGATTCCCTCTCTGTCCATAATCTCTCTTGAAGTATCTGTCTGCTTATTTGGACAGCAGTAGCATTGTCATGGAAAAGAAAAAAATGCATGACCTTACCTCATTCTTGTGTGATGCCAATGAATTTATCATCTGATCTGATTCCACTGGAACACTAAGCATTGTGCCATTTCCTTCTAAGTCAATAACTTCAATGCCATTGTGTCGTTGGAAATAATCCTTTGGGGAACCTTGAAAACAAAGGAAACAGTTAAACAGAACAAAGAAATGATTGAGTGTTTTAAACTTCAAGGTCACAAACCAGTGCTTGAGACTGCAGATCATCAAGGTGGCACAGAAGGTTAAAAATTTACCATTGTGGCGCGGATGATATGTGCACACTTTCACTTGCAAAATTAGAGAGTACAAATGCTAAATGAAAGAACTTGACAAAGGCAGACTAAACACGAAATGCTGGACTAATCAGTAAATATGTGAGCTTTTTTTATTACAAAACCTTGTGGTTAATAACTAATAAATCTGTATTTACTGGGCTGCCTGTGCGCCCAGTCATAAAATGGGCTTTCGGTCGTCGGTGTCAAAAAGTGGTCTCCCGGGGGAGGGAAGACACGAGGGTCTGGTACCGAGAAACGATGTTCTCTCAAATGGTTTCATATGAGTTTCTCTTGCACGAACCCTTGCACGGATACTTTTTGTACCTCGTCTGCGCTCCCCCTGAAAAACCCACAAAGCGTTGCGAACCTGAAGAAGGCTATTTGCGTTGTTCGAAGCGATTCGATCATGAGAGTCACTCTATAATTTTTTTTATTGTTCGAGTTTAAGGCAGTGAGATGATGTTGGCGCTGGGAAACTCAGAGAAATGCTCGCGTTGCATTCAAACCGACACGCTGTTCACGGTAGGTTCACACTAAAAGATGACTGTGAGCGTCAGGTTTGGAACGCCGTGGCCGCTTCGTGAACTCAAAGAGAGAATTATCGATCGATGTAGTACATGAGCAATTAAGAAGCACAATTTATGAGCAAGGTATTTCACCAGTTGACGACACTATGGCTGAAGACTTGATTGTAAGCCTTCGTAGTCAGTGAAGCGAACAACTCAGTTGCCGATGAATGGCACTACGCACGTCTATGAGCGAGGGACGTGACAATTTTGCCATGTTAGAAGACTGGCTTTTCCTTTAAATATTTCCTTCTATTTAATGCAACACACGCCACTTTGGAGGTTTAAATTTCGGATACTGAGGATAAAGAAGACACGGACAAAAATAGGGACTCTGAGAATTTCGCGCACAATGCACAAGTTTAAAGCTTCACCGGACACACTGACCGGAGCATCCCATCCGGGAGCTTCACAGAGAGCGACTTGAGGAAAATAGGAGCTATTACTGACAAGTTTTGGTGACTGAGTAGAGCATACAAGTGTAGCCAACGTCGAGGTTTCAGGGGGTTTGCTTTTGTTGTATTTGTATCTTGCTAAGCTTTTATCATTAAATTTGTACATGATCTTGTGATCACAATTCTGTGTTTTCGCCCATTCAGCAAGCACGCTATATTGATGTCAGCATTAGCGAGTTTCAGAAACATGCCTTTGAAAGTTTTTTAGCTCTCGTGATGTTTCTTGATATTTCTTTTACCATTTTATGAAGATGTTAACTGAAGTCACCGCAAAATGGAAACTTAAAAAAGCGTATAATCCATTTATGTCGAAACATGACTTACATTACTTATACGACCTTTATTTTCGTAAAGGTGTTTTGAATACGAACGAACACAGTCAATGTGAGGGCAAAAACGGTATTAATATAAATGAGCCATAGGGTTTTAACTAATATAAGGGTCAATTATTGTGCATTGAGATGAATCGCTTGAAAAGAGAGACTTCGCTTGAAGATGTGATGAGAAGTAAACAAAGGCATAATAGTGCGTCACGTTCAGTCTTTTTAATATCCAAGGAGTCACTGTGAATAGTGTGAATAGTGAATCATTTCTTGAGAAATTAGATTCCCTCGGCCTAGAATATTATCTGCTAGGTGATTTAAACTGTAACCTGGCCTCTGCACAATATGATTTAAATACTCGACGCTTATGTGAAATTTCTGATTTATTTGGGCTTCAACAGCTTATAACTCAACCTACTCGCATAACGGAATCCTCTTCTACATTAATTGATTTAATTTATACAAACTATACTGACAGGGTAGTCTGTTCCGGAGTCTCTCATATTGGTATCAGCGATCATAGCCTTATTTACGTTTATAGGAAATTATCTCTCACTTTTCCTTCAAAAGGGCACTCAACCATTTCTTATAGAAATTTCCAAAATTTTAATAGAGAGAGTTTTCGTAACGATATCGCTCAGCAAGACTGGTCCTGTAATGTTTCTGAAGATCCAAATGTTTTGTGGACTGACTGGAAAACGAAGTTTTTGGATATTGTTAATATTCATGCGCCACTCCGAACTAGACGTACTAGAACAAATAAAGCACCCTGGATCAATTCAGAATTAAAGAAAGGCATGCGTGATCGTGATGCTGCCAAAAGAAAAGCAATTACATCGAATGATCCACACGATTGGAAAAGGTACAAAAAGTTGCGAAATATAATAAACAATGACATCAAAATTTCTAAAGCATCTTATTATTCTAATGCATTTATTCAATCTAAGGGTAATCCTCGAAAAACGTGGCAAACCTTTAATGAGCTTACATCCCGTCGTGTGAATAATACAACGGTGAAAGAACTGAAATTGAATGATACCATTATCTCTAATTCTAGTGAGCTTTCTGATGCTTTTAATGACCATTTTTCAACAATTGGGCCCAGACTTGCTAATGAAATACCTCTAACTGCTGAAAATAATTCAAGTTATATCAATAATATAAAGGTAAATAACAACAATTTCAGCTTCTCCTCGACTAACTGCAGCATTGTTTTCTCACATCTAAACAAATTATGTAGATCTAAAGCAACTGGTCTTGATAATATTTCTGCTAAAATTGTACGTGAATGTGCTGATCTTATTTCAGTTTCACTATGTGATCTCTTTAATAAATCTTTAGTCTCTGGTATATTTCCTGATGATTGAAATGTGCTAGAGTTACTCCGTTGTTCAAGGAAGGTGAGCCATCTGATCTGAATAATTATCGACCTATTTCAGTCATTTCCGTTATAGCTAAAGTGTTTGAAAGGATTGTTTATGATCAGTTGTATAACTTTTTGACCAATGAAGATATCATTTCTAATCATCAATCGGGTTTTCGCTCGTTACACTCAACTGCAACTGCCCTTCTGGAAGCTACGGATAATTGGGCCTTTAATATTGATCGTGGCAATGTTAATGCTGTGGTTTTCCTCGATTTAAAAAGGCTTTCGACACCGTTGACCACGATATCCTTCTAGCTAAAATGAACCTTTACGGAATACAAGGTACAGCTCTTGATTGGTTTAGGTCGTATTTAACTAATCGTACACAACGATGTCTTGTTAACGGTTCTCTTTCTAGAATCTGCTCTCTTAAATGTGGGGTACCGCAAGGAACAATCCTTGGCCCCCTTTTTATTTCTTATTTATATTAATGACTTGCCAAACTGCCTTTTACTTCGTGCCAGCCTAGAATGTATGCCGATGACACCCACATTACTTATGCTGGCGTTGATGTGAATTCAATACAGTTAACTCTGAGTCACGATTTAGATAACCTAAACAAATGGCTTATTTCCAATAAACTTACTTTGAACACTTCTAAAACTGAATTCATGCTAATTGGCTCCAGACAAAAATTGAGTACTTTGTCGAACCCACTTGAGCTCTCGATTAATAATGTTCCGATAGAACACGTTTCCTCTGTCAAATCGCTTGGAATATTTATTGATGAAAATCTACGGTGGCAAACACACATTGATAAATTATCTAAAAAGGTCGCTTCCGGAATTGGAGCAATAAAAAGAATTAGACCTTTTGTCCCTCCACCTACCCTTCACTATATATACAACTCACTAATTCAATCTCATTTCGATTATTGCAATCTTGTCTGGGGTAATTGTGGTAAAACATTATTTGACAGGCTACAGAAGCTTCAGAACCGTGCCGCTCGCGTTTTAACCTTCTCTAGCTATGATGCTGATGCTAACCGTTTGATTAGACAACTCGATTGGAAAGACTTGAGCACTCAATTTCAAATACAGAAATCCATAATGGTATACAAGTCTTTAAATGGCCTTGTTCCTGAATATTTATCATCTAAGTTTGTTAAACGAAATGAAACGCGTTACTCCCTGAGGGACTCTGTTAACAAACTATTTGTCCCATTTCCGCGAACTAATTTCATGAAAAACAGCTTTACTTATAGCGGAGCAGTTCTCTGGAACAGCCTACCCTGTCATGTGAGAGAAGCCGAATCTCTTAGTCAATTTAAAAGATTAGTTAATGTTCACTTTTAATGTTATACACGGCATTCATGAAAAACAGGTTTTAGTTAGATTAGTTGTAGTCAGGTTTTGAATTTTGTTTAGGATAGTTAGGTTATTTTTAATTTTTTAAATTCCTGATGGATTTTACCGTGTTTAAATAAAGATTGATTGATTGATTGATTGTTTCCATATTGTTTAGCTGGCGCAAAAACTTCGGACGAGTTATAAAGCGGCATAGTTATCTTCCATGAAGAAAAGTTCGTCTTGGGTGAGACAAACAGAACTGGAGCGAATTTTTAACTCGCATCGGTATCAGGTAAAAAATATGTTATCGATCGTTTCATCTATTTACATTGTTTGAAGTGCGTGCTGGTGAACGCAACATGCGAGCGAGAAGTCTTTAAACTTTTTTAGGTCTCAAAATGCAAAGGATTTGATTCCTTTAAGTTAGAGAAAAATACTATGAGGAAAATCTTAAAACTGAATATTTTTCTTCTTGTGGAAAAAATAGTGCGTTTTCTTGTAGACTTTGGACCGCAAATTAGGATCGCACTTTTCACAAACATGCGAATTCCGAAGTTCTGAAGCCAACCGACGATTGCGTTTTTCGCTGCTGTCAATCATCTTAACAGACCTCTTAGGAAACAAAACTCTACTTCACGGGTTCAAAAGGTCATGGTTTGTGATTTGTGGATTTCGATCCGTTTTGTGTGTTTCTCTGTTTCAAGGTTCGTTGCTTTTGATCGTAATTATGATTGACGCCAGCGATAAACACAATTGTGAAGGTGGCTTTTGAACTTCAGAGTTCGCATGTTTGTGAAAAGCGCGGTAAAGTCTCCGTGCAGTCAGTGAGGCCCCTGGATCAGGCGGGATCAATGGGCAGTTAACTGTCTGTTTTAGTATGCTTCTGGTTTTCATATAATACAATATTTATGTCTAGTGTAAATCAGCTCATTATACTCGTAGAACGACAACAATTTTTGGAATTTCCAGTTACGTCACGTTATACTGTCACGCTATATTTTGGGGCACAGAGGGATTAGGGGAGGGGTACGTGGAAATAATGCAAATTGTTTCCTGCTTAGAATTAATGGCTAACTTGTCTATTTTTATTCATAGTGGTGGAATTTAAAAGTTATTATACAGCCCCCACTTAAAAATGGTACTCTTTTTTTTGGGTTATGAAAGTCTTTCAAAAGGGTACAATGGTTTGAATGAGTTTATGTTTCAGTCTCACATGAGGTTCTGTCGCATGCAATGGTTGCCGACAAGGTTTTATGGTAGCCTGAGTGTGTATAGCCCCCCCTCCCCTCAGAAAAAATAGCCCCTTGGCAGCCCAGTTAAAAATCGCCTTTCGGCGATTCTTGTTGTATTCTAAATTGGCATTTTTATTTTCTCATTGACTTTAAAGTATCACAACAGCCTGCGTGGTAGGCTCGATTCAGGAAATAAGCCCACACCTCTCGCCTGAAAGGAGTCTTTTCTCTTCTCCGGGAGGAATAAGACCGGAATCGAGAAAGTGGCGAGCATTGAGCCTACCTGCATGGCAGGCTTTAGAAGAAGGCAGGAGACGGTAAATTATGGATTTTAAGTCCCTCTCCTTTCCCCTACAAAAGCCTGCCAAACAGGCTATGATTACGAAATAATAGCGAATGACCAGAAACAGTGAAACAATTGATATGCATAGGACTTTGGATTAAATATATAAATAATGGTAATCAAACTTTGTTTTGTGCAATTTGGTCTGAAATCACGTGCATGTTTTAAAAATCTGATGAACGCGCAGCACGAGTTTGAATTGGTATCGTCAGTACGATTTCAGACCAAAATTACATGTTGACATGATGCTCTATCACTAAAGTTATTTATTTATCTATTTAATACAAAGGCCATATCCACTCTGAAGTAGCACAATTTGGTGGCCGAAATACAAAATTTTAGTCAGTACGAACATTTTATTGAACCAGACTGTTGAGAGCCAGTCATTATGCAAGGATCACGAGCGACTTCAAACTGGATGCAGAAAACATATACCGTAGGTACAGTACCGCTCAAAAGTAAGTTGACAGTCACTCGTGTCTCGATCCTCGAGACGCGAGGCTCGATTCTTGATTCTCGAAACTTTCGAGGATCGAGGATAGAGTTTTAAATTTGGAGTCGCGAAAACGCTCTCTCTAAAAGTGTACACTTCATTCTAAACTAACTAACTGAATCAAAAAATACATACATACATACATACATACATAAATAGAGAGGAAAATAAGGTGAATGTTAAAAACATTTCAATACCTAAGCCTGCAGTGGTCTTCTTCCTAGCGGTACTAGCCTGGAAGACTGACATGGAGCTGCCATTACAGGTGCCACACCCATTACACGCTGGATTGTTGCATTTGTTAACAAAGCCTCTGCCCTGTGCAGTGGGAGCAGAGCATTGACCACCTGTGCAGTCAGCAGATGATGAAGAATCCAAAGAGGAGGAGGTGGCTTGTTTACCAGAACCAGCTTGAAATGAACCTGCCCGAAAAAAAGGTTGTAGTAGAACTGTAATAACGAAAGGTTATAGAGTGCGGGCGACAACAACTGAAGGCTAAAGCGTGCTCCAAAGCTGGTGCTTTGTGTAAGATACACGTGATAGATGGTCAAAGATGTGTGATCAGACGGTCTAATGCGTTTTAAGGAGCACTGGATAACATTTTGCCAGATTTGCATTAAACTTTGCAGGATGATGGTTTAGTCATTCAGTCATTTTACAGTGAACAAAGCTGATTTGTGCTATCAACTGTAAAACGTAACTGGAATCAATACCACAAATAAATCCTTGGTGCCCTGTGGATGCAACTGCATTGGGCAAGAACGAAGATTTTTTAAATTTGTCTTTTATGCATTTATCCACTTTGTAGATCGTCCATCCAAATGTTAATTTATACATTGTTCTAGAGTGGATGGGACCCGATGAGAAGCCAAACCAGTCTGTAAGGAAGGTAAAAGCTAATCATGGGTTAGGATTTAAACCTTTAGTTCTTTTTCATACACAATATTTGTTTCAAATTAGCTTAAATCTCCAAGATGATTCTACAAAAGCGGCTATCATTAACCAAATAGAAAAAAAAAATACATGACCCCTGCTTTTTAAGGTGGTTCAATTATTTTTATCCTTGGTTCAAATTTTATTTCCTTTTGTTTCAAACTCATTATCATGTAATTAATCATACATTACAATACCCAAAGCAAAAGAAAATAAAATTTGAACCAAGGATAAAATTGAACCACAACATATATGTCAGACTAAACATCCCTTCACATCCTCAAACTCTTAAGAAAAAGCAAGTGTTTTGAACATGAGAACTAGGCATAGAGGTGAGTATGTTCTGAGCTTGCAAAGAATTATTTTGAAAGAGTGACGACACAATAATTTTGGATTCAGCTTTTCCCTGATCTGCATAATTCTTCATATCATACACAAGCTGAATTCAATAATAAATTGCTAATTACCTGATGGCTGAGTCCCAGAAGGAGTTCCACTTCTGAGTCCGTCACTACTCCTGCTGCCACCACCAGACACTGCAAGCCTTGATAGTGAAGAGTCACTTGAGCTTCTATGCAGAGGATCTGCCTGTCTTGAGGATGTTCTCGCACTTCCTGGTGTAAAGCTTGTGGAAGACCCTGTAAACGTTGAGGTGGTAGATGTCGAAGTTCTGCTACTCGAGGACGTAGTTGAAATCGCACTTGATGATTTCAAGATGGCAGACATCTTTTTATTTTCACCTCTCATTTGTTCTTGTTGCTGTCAAACAAGTTAAAACAATATTCTAAATGCTAAAACCTGATCACTAATGAGAGAGTAGGCTGTCACTGGTGAAAAATTTGCATTCTTCTTGCTAGGGTGACTAGGATGACTGGGATGACTTGAACGACTAGGACTATGGGATGACTGGGATGACTAAGATGGCAAGGGTGACCAGAATGACTGGGATAACTAGAGTGGCTAGTATGACTGGGATGGCTGGGATGACTAGAATGACTAGCATGGCTAGGATGACTGAGATGACTGGGGTGACTAGGACAACCATGATGACTAAGGCCCGGTTCAGATGCCAAATGAAAAGTTTGGCATCTGAAGCAATTAGGAATGCCTGAGCCATTCTTTTCGCCTAGCCCAGCCGGAGCGACTTTGGGACGGCTTGGATTGAGACGCCCAACTTTTTTTGTACCGAACCTAATGCATGAATAACGTATTTTGTAAGCAGATTGACGGAAATGAGCATTTTTCTCCTTCTGAATTTAGTTCAGCTGCAATTAAAATCAGTATCTGAATGGAGGTGAGGAGACCATTGATAATGTATATGAATACACATATTTAGGAAACTGCAGGGTAGTAGCTACCTGTACACATTATGACACAGAAAGCACAAACATATGAAACACCGCTATGATAACCCAGTAACAACAATAACAACAAAAAATGCAGCCTGCTTTCTTTTAACATGTATTACACAGCTAGGTGGAGTGAACTAGTTACTGCACCACTTCCTGCAAAACATAACACTTAAGTCAAGTTTTGTTTTAATTCTAATTCTAATTTTTATGTTCTGAGAAACAATGTGGGCTTAACTACAGTGTATTTAAGCAGAAAATATTACAATTCTTTTTCTTCATCAACAAACCTCTAGCTGTCGTTGTTGCTCAAGCTGTGTTTGTTGCCGTTTCTCTTCCAATTTTCTTTGCTGTTCACCTAGTAGTGAGTGCATAATTTAAGTCATTAGCAAGGCTGTCATTAAGAGATGGCGGCCGGGGATTTCCCCCGGCTACTATGAACGTGGTCGCCCACTACTTTCAATGGAAAAAGAAGAAAAATAAAACCAAAAGAAACCCTTAGCTGTTTGATTCCCCTCCAACTTGTTGTATTTACCCGGCAACTTGAAATCTTAGTGACAATTTTCATTAGTGAACTAAAATACAGTCAAAACCCTCTCTGTTAGTGCTTTGAGTCCCAATATCTAAACACAAATTCTCCAGACTGAACTCCATACATGTCCTTAAAGAATAAGTTGAGATTCCAAAGTATTTTCCCTTAAGTTTTCATTTTACCAATTCTCCTTTCTCTGCATTATGTATTCATGATATCGTTGAGAGAAAACTGATTTTGATCCATTCTGGGACTAACAGGGTTAACCCTTCAAGCCCCAGTATCCACATACAAATTCTCCAAACTGATCTCTATACATTTCCTTAAAGAATTAGTCGAGCAAATTTGATAATAGATCAAGGCATTTTCTCTTTGGTGATCATTTCATTAATTCTCATAACTTATCTCTTGACAGTGTATGGATACTGTTTGGAGAAATTTGATATTGGTCACTATTGGGACTTAAAGGGTTAAGAACACTTCCCTGGTCCAAAACATACAAAATGCCATACAGACTAAAACTAGTAAGTGTAACTCACCCTTTGGGTCTGTTTTGCTGTATGGTGAAATACCAAAACATGGCTTGGTGATGCTGTAGTCAATGAAAGGTTCTGTGGGCTTTCCTGAAGCACCTCTTGTCAGCTTACGAGACCTCTTCTTTCTAGCAGTAGATATCTTGCCATCCACCTAATTATACAAAACGGCATAAAGAAACTATCTTAACCATTAAATCAAAAAAAATTGTCAGTTACATTGAAGAGATACAGTCAACTCTCTCTAAGACGGACACCTTTGGGACCAGCACTAGCTGTCCATCTTAGAGGGATGTCCGTCTTATAGAGAGAGGAAAGAAAGGCAGGGACCAACTCTAGGTGTCCGTTTTACAGAGGTGTCCGTCTTATAGAGGTGTCTGTTAAGAGAGAGTCGACTGTATATTATATAAGAAACAGTTAAAATTCAACCTGTGCAGGGATGGAACAGGGTGTTCATTAGGCATCGGAGATGAGAGAACTCTCCGTTTACTACGCAGATTTCTCTAGTTTATGTTTGGTAGCCTATGACTACTTTTTATTCAGACGTGGAGCCCACTTATAATTTTCTCCTGTGACATTACACCTTTCTCCTGCTACTCAAATTCTTAATGGGAAGCATGATGGAAAAGTTAATGTAATTATATATGTGTGAGCTATTCATTTTATCAAAATCCTGTAAAAGTACAACAAACATATTATTATAACGTTAAATTTATACTGGATATCTCACCAAGGCACTGTATAGAGGCTCCAGTCGTGTTGATCCTCTGTAAAGCCATTCAGATCGATTATCAATCTGAAACAACATCTACAAAAGAACATGCATCTGAAATTAATCTGAACTGGACAACTAGGCATGACACAGTCACAGAATTTACTTTTATGTTGTAAAACTTCAGCATTTTATTAACTGTAGACACAGTGATCAGACATTATTGGAATAGTTCCTTGGTAAAATCTACCTACCTTGACCAAACTGCAGTCCAGCTGCATAACTTTTGCTTTCAGCCTAAGAGAAAAGAGAGAGAGGTTTGGAGACATTAATTTTGATTAGACATTGCAGACATCAGGCCTTAGTTGTACTTGGGGGCTTATTATAGCAAGGCAATTTGGATTTCAAAATTCCGTGGCTAGCTTATATGAGAGGAAAAACTGAGTCAGCAATTTTTTCATTGTACAAGATTCATACGCTGAAAAATTGCCATCTCCGTTTTTCTTCCAATATAAGTTAGCTGAGGGATTTTGAAACAAAAATTTCCTTCAATTTCCAGCATATATCTGTATATCATTCACCATAGTCGATTCTGTAGTTCATGTAGTAACTCAGTATTTACAAACGTTGGTTATCTTGGGGTTTTGAGCAATTTATTCACTCCCTTAAACTTCTGACTAAAAATCTACCATTTGCACATGTGCTGTTAACCAGCCAACTTTTACAGGCATGACCTGAACAGTCATTCAAATTAACTTTTAATGGCTTCTTTTCTGAGACCATTCAGATATACTAAAACAGATATTTTCTTACATTTTGGTAGAGGCTTTAGTAACAACTATCTCATGGCTCTGTGGCTCAGAAAAAATTTTGAAACTGTTTGCCTTGATTCCAAAGAATAATATTATCGTTTAATGCTATGTTTTTTTTTACCATTGGCCTCTCCACTCAGTCTTCACCCACTGACTAACTTTAAGCTTTACCATTGGACGCTGTTAAAAGAGAAGAAATCAAAATGAAACTTTTATATCACAACTCAAACAACAGGATTAACAATGACCAGGACCATTCATAGTTTTCACTTCCAGAGTAACAGGCATGAAGCAAGAAAAAAATGCCTTTTACTTTTTTAAGTATCAATATAAATTTTATTAAAGGAGGATTTACTCATTTATGACAGTTTAAGATCACCTTCTGGAGGTGAGACCATAATATTTGCATATTTCATATTTGCAACTCCCAAAATGTAACCAGTGAACTGAATGCATTGTCTGGGTACATTTAAATAGCAAACAACTCATGTTTCAGTTTGGCCTTACACTGTACATTTCCCTCTGCTGCGAGCCCACATTCTATAAGCTAGGTGGAGTGAGCTTATCATACATTTGAATTGAAAAAGGTTAAATGGCAGTGAAGCTGCAAACTTACATTGGGGAATTCTTCAAGATATTCCTGTATGAACTCCTTGGAATGTTCAGCAACATCATCCCAAGCTTTCTTTCCTAAAAAAATAATATAAAATTGTAGATTGTGAAAACTGAACACAATCCAATCCATGCCGTTACACCATGATGAGGATGTCATTGTACATGTAGATAATGTTACCCTTCCAAACCTGTTTTATGATAGTGAAAGTATAATGGGAGCCCCAAAGAAAAAGTGTCCAGGGACTGACTAATACCACAGGATTCCGAAAATAAGCCCCTCCAAATATAAGCCCTCCAAACCGCTAACAAAAAAAAAACTCCATTAAATCGCCCCTCCAAAAAGCCCTCCAGGAGCTTGTACTTAAAAAATTGCCCTCAAATACAAAGTAAAACAAAGCAAAAACAGCAAATTTACTTCCAACTATAAGGCTAGCCCAATAGATTTTGAAACGCAAATTTCCCTCCGTAGATAAGCCCCTCCAAAAATAAGAACCTCGAAAAGGGCCTTCGAAAAATATAAGCCTCGGGATTTATTTTCAGAATTTTACGGTATATCAGGCAGGATTAAAGTGTATGTTTGCTTCAGGCAGCAGAGCCAATGCAAGTAGCATTTTATATCGGGAAGGCCATCAAAGGTTTTTGTATCTTCACTTTGGCTCATGCCCATTTTTGGGCAGTTCTACCGCCAAATCAATGAAGCACTAGTGGAATAAAGCACTCATGCACGCTAAATTCTGCCAACTATGCTGACTACCAACGGACTGGATCAATCCACAAAATGTACATTTAACTGTAACTGGGGGCAAATGTCATTCATTACACCAAAGTAAGTAGAACAGGGTTTCTTTTTTTCGCTGTTTTATAAAGGATGCAACATCCCATGGGGATAAGCAGTTACAGTAGTTGTAGTATTGAAACGTGTTACGCAAAATCAATATCTTTGCATGCATCCAGACATGCAAGCCTTCCCCCAACCCACCATCCTGTATACTTAAGACCTCTAATGGGTTTACTGAAGATTCAACACCTAAAACAACAAAGACCTCATTTGGTACTCTTCCTCTTCTTCAGCTAACTATCAATAGCAAAGCTGAACTCCAAGAAAAAATTGAAGGAAGCCCAGTGCTCCCAGGGCACCCAGCATTATGATTTCTATGAAAAATACAAGAGTTTCTAGTCGCCCAGGAGCAAAGGTTTGGTGCCAGGGACTACTGGGTGCTTCAAGAGCACAGCCTTGAATAGCGTAGTGTATGTGACTCTGTTGACCCCTACCTGTGTGGTAAACATGGTGAAGCTTTTTAACTGGCAGATACTGTGCAAATCCATCATCAAAGAAAACCAGAAACCTGTTCTTATTTTCAGCACAAGCATTCTCTGTCACAATCCCAGCATACAACACATCTAACTTGCCATACAATCCTACAAATTTAATGATACAAGTTTAGAAAATGGAATCAACAGTAACGAGATAACACTTTCTCACTGTGTTTGGGTTGTTTTCTAGTATACATGTCAAGTAAAATTGCCTGTAAGCATAGCCTTACATTTACTTTACACAAAAATATGTTCATTACATGCACATACAATGCTGCTTTAAAAGGCATGAGTTACAACGTACACAGTGGCACTAAACCATTAGCTGCTAAATCCTTGCCCACTTCAGTAACATGACAAGTTTTTTCACTGACTCTTAAACAATAGCCGTTATTAAACCCATATTGGTACTTCTTCAAAATCAGTTGTGAGACAAAATAATTTATCACAAAACAAACATGCCATCCAACAGACATGAACTGCATACTAGGAATTATTAGCCTGTGGGGTATTGATTAGAAGAAAATGCCTTGCTGACGCTCATTTGCACCTCAGTTAATTACAAAAGATGATCATAAGAGGACATCATGTTGACACAACTGTGCACCTCACTTCAAACAGGTAGCACAACCATATTTTTCCACAGTTCATGGATATACAAAAAAAGAAGATTGTAGAAAGAAATTCTAAAATCTAGATAGAAACTGGGGGGAAATAAATCAATACTAAAAAGAGGTTGAAAAAAAATATCATTATACATCAACAGACAGTAGTTATCTGAAAACTGTATGGTTTACATGTAAGCCTCTGATTTTAGATCATTAATGTAGCCCTTTACAAGATATTCACTTACCATATGATCATATGTGGCCAACATTCCCACAATGCTTAAATATTATTTTTGTATTAGAGGGCAACAAACGTTTTTTACAACAGTAATTTATACTAAAGAAAGTTTACCCAAGCTTTCAGAGCCTATCCCAAAAGTTTATGTTTGAATGGTAGATGTCCCTCATTGAAATAATTATAGACTCATCATCGGTAGCCTGCATACAAGGAACAGTTTCATTTGCAAGCATGCATGCTCAAATAAGCATCAAAGCTGCAAGAAAATTAACAAACTCAACCTCCCTTTCCTCTTACAGCATCAATGCTCATTTGCATGTGTACTCAATAACGAATCTACAAGTTACATGTCATGTAGCAGCTGCTCGGAAGAGAAGGTGACTGTTTCCCTGACCCCAAACAATACCTTGAATACTAAAACAATTGGAAGAATGACATGTCTTTGTTTCCTGGGACCAATTATGAGAGACCTTACAAGCTGCTCCTACACTACTCAGTTATAGAGGCTACTCATGAGAAGTCTGCAAGACTGCTATGTACAATGTAGACTTGGTGGTGGGGTGGGAGGGTTTCAATTCCCTCATGGATTTTGTGCGCCAAAAACTGGTTTTTCTGCATAATAATCCTTACACAATCCCATTTGATTCAGTGGCCTGTGTCTTTAACATTGAAAAAAACTGCTGACTTGAGATAGGAGGCCCGCACCAACTTTGGAGGTTAAACCAGCCTAATGCCCAGTTTCCTCACAATGCATTCTGCATGACCATCTGTCAGGGTTTATTACGTTATTCAACTGTTCTACTTTTCTTTACAAGAAAACGAAAGATGAGGCTACACTGATTATAGAACACAAAACAGAAATAAGCCACAACAATTTCATGCAGACGAGAACAAATAATTTAGTCAACACACAGGCAGACAAAGCCTTGGGAAACAAGAAGAGAAAGAAAAATGTCAAAATTAACCTGTAGAAGGTTTCCGCCAAGATGCGTTCTCTTCAGCTGTGTCCCTAGGCCTTAAGGCTAATGGAAAAAAGTGGGGAGCAGGCATCAATCAAGCTCTAAATTTAATGACAATCATGAAAATCAACTTATTGTTTTAATTATATGCAATTAATATTTAACTTTAGGGTTAGGTTAGCTTACAATTTACCTATGTAATTATTACTCAGAGGCAGAAATCAGATGAAGAGACTGTATCAAGGAGTGTTCAGATCACTTCACCAATAAGCACATGCAAACATTGTTAGGTCATTACTGTTAGCAACTTAAAATAGATTACATGTGCTCAGAAAAAACAAGAATTTAGCAGCTAATTGTAAGTGCAAGCCTTGTGTCAAGTGAACATGTTTGCTTAAGATTTCAAACAAAGCTTTCAATTATTATAATAGTAACCTAAATAGTTGTGCAGTGTCTGGAAAGCATCTAAAATTATCACACAGTCAAAGAATGATGAATAACTTTTTTACTTGGAGCTGTGTATGACTAGACTGTAAAGTACAAAATGTAACTTATAGTGTGCATGTACAGCTGTACATACTTCTTTCACGTTATTGAATAAAACATAACTATTGCAAGTTACAGACAAAATTATTATTATTGGTCAGGGCTGTCAAAAAGTTTTTAAGTAGCAGGTTGATAATGAATAAAAGGCGGCTTTGGAACTTGTACCAAAGGCACAAGTTCTTGAGGACCAAGGCATCTAGGGACATTTTGAAATTTAAGGTCTCAAAAATGGCATTTCCAGGGGTTTTCAAGAAGTATTTTCCACTGTGGATGCCATCTGGTTTTCTCAGAATACACACATGCCATTGAAATGTCCCAGGCATTCCACGAAATCGCATGGTTCCAATATTATGTTTAAGTATGGGTTCGATGTCATTCAAAACTGGAAAACAGATGCTTTACAATAATATCGGTTGGTGCTTATTTTTTGTTATCAGTTATGGTAGGAGCAGATGAAAGTAGCCAGCTAAGGATGGCTAACTAGCCGGCGGTTTTGGCCAGCTACCAGCCCTTATTGTCAGCCCTGTTGGTGTGAAATTATAAGGCCCTGTTTCAGAGATTCTGTATGTAGGCCTTATTATTTACTTCATTTTGCCGTTGACTGTGAATATCCTTTTGTAGATCACTGCACGATGTTTAATGAGTAAAAATGAAGACTGGAATGAAGACTGTTTCCCCAAGTGGCTAAAGAAGGTGCTCTGTGCATCTGGAGCTGCACCAAATATCACTTTTTTACACGTCTTATTAGAGAGAAGGTGAGGGAGTCTCTATTTTAGAATGCTTTGCTACAGCAGGACTGACATTGTAAGCACTGGGGTTGGGATTTCCGCTGACTATTATGAGTCTTACCCTCAGCCAATGTCATAGGAACAAACAGGAAAATAGAGCCAACAGAATTTCCTAGCCATTCAATTCCTGCAGTTATTACATATACCTGACTACTTGAAATCTTAGAGACAGCCCTGCTTAAGTAGTCAATCTGAGTAGTAGAGCTTTGCCAACAGTACATGCCCTGTTTTGACCACAAACTCAAGTAATTAATCTCAAAAGAACCCACACCCTTTAAATTGCAAAAAGGTGCAGTGCCAGTCCTCCTTCTGCAAGCAGGAATTCTTAAGACTACAAACTATAAGCTTTCCTTCAGATGCTTAAGCTCTGTCATACTTAACCCATGTCCAGCATAACACTGTACAGACTGTACATATATTGGCACAGACAGGAGAGAACAAAGCACATACCTACAACACGACTACCAACATTCAGCCATGAAGGATGTGGATTAGACTCCAGTGAGACTTGGTTGGATGACAAGAGGCCTCTTGCTCCTTTGTCAAACTTTACTTTGTACTTGACCTTCTGCTACAAAAATAAAATTTTACACAGGATTGTTTCTAAAATATGGCATGCTGTAAATAATCAATTAAGAATTCCCCCATTAATTAACCTTGTGATATTGCCACCCTGTTTTAGGGAGAGAAAGATATTTACTCATTTTGCCCAGAAAATTTTAATTTGCTGAGAGACACTTTTTAAAGCCCATCGGGCAGTTTTCTGCTCGCTACCCTTACCTTTTTTCCCTTTTGACCTGATAATTAACATGAAGTTTCAGCTTGCAAAGAAATTAGTGTCTGAAAGCCGGGGCTGGTGGATTTTGCTATTGGGCTTGTGAATTCTGTTCTTGACTTTCCCAGGGGGCAAGTGAAGTCTTTTGGGGAATTCAAAATACAGAAGAGCTGTAATCAATGTTCATAAGATTTTGTTTTGGGGGTGGGGGGAGGGAGGAAGTTGAAATGATGTTTTGGCTGGTACATACCAGCTACAGCTTACCAAATGACAAGCTGTAAAACCATTCTTTGCACAGCCCTGTAAGTTTGCGATGTGAACTCAAGTTCAGTTAACAAAGATTGTCCAGATTTACATTTAATTTTCTAGAAAATCAAGGCCATAATGACAAACCCAAGTAATCTGTACAACAGAAGAAAGAAAAGAATTTTTTTCTTTCAGATTGTAAATGATGAAATGATTACAAGGAAACTCTTTGACCTTGCATGGTCTTGTTTCTTTGCACAATGCACTTAAGGTCACATTGCACAAATCCAGAAAGATTTTTTCCAAAGGAAAATTACCTTAATCTCAACAACATCTCATTCTATGTAGCCTTTTACTGATACCCAACTGTGAGAACAACTCGTATCTTTTTAAACCAGCCTGATGTATACATTGTAGATAATTTTTTTTATCTCAGATAGTTTTTATTGTTCCAAATTGTTTTTGGGAATGGTAAAGCATGAAAATGAATTTGAAACAATGGCAAAATAAAAATTCACTGGAATAAAAAATAACCTGCAACATAATTATACATGTGGTACATGTACATTATCTGGCTGAATAATTTTAAATGTACATATTATGCAAACAACGAAACCTAATTTAGAGGAATTTTACATTATCTTTTTGAATAATTTTAAAATTGTGTAAACAATATTAAATATGCAAACAACTAATACTTTTCATTTTTATTTTTTGTTTTGTTAATATCATTTTATTTATTATTTGTTCTTTTACTTTCCTTTGTATTAATGAAGAAAGAAAGAAAAAGAAAAAAAAAAAAATTATGGAAGGATATCTTTTCTATGACACCTTTAGGAAGAAGAAGAAGGAAGAGGAAGGAAGAGAAGAAGAAGAAGAAAAAACAGCGATTAAATGTAGACAAAATAAAATAACAGAAATAAGAAAGGTATTGGTTCTTCAGTAAACTCCTTATTAAGAAGTAATGAAAACAGGGCCTTCTCAAAACAGACACAATAACACCAGTGAAACCTTTGGATACAAGCACCAGCAACTATGATCGATACACGTAACTACAGATAAATTTTTATTTCTTAAGTTTTAATATAATATATTAAAATGTAAGAACTAATAATATTGTTATAGTTACAATAGCCTGCGAAAACAGCCATTTCTCCTTGCTCCTCGACATTTCCGATGTTTTGCTGGGAGAGATGTCAGCGACAGAATTTCCACACTGATGAAGTAGAATCTGTCTGGGATCTGGTCAGGAGCTCTAATTGGTTGATGTAGTTGTTATATTGTTTTAGCTACAGCATATTGTTTACAAATGACAGACAAAAGACAAGACGCCACAAAGTTCAAATGTAAACGCGATGAATCTATCACAAAACAGCTGCTTTTCGTGGAATGTATTCTTCTCTAGAAAAACCATTTGAAATTTGCTGGAGTTCATTAGCAGATGAACACAAGCCTTTACCAAAATTGACCAGAAGAAACATAAAATCGAACAAATTTGCATTTGGAGCCTCTTGATGACTGGATTAATGATCAATATAAACATTAACCCATTCGCTCCTGGAGATTTTGCCGAAAAACGCGTTTTGAAGCTAGTCGAGTGGTTTTCTGGTCACTGTCGTGCTATAAAGAGCTAGAACTTACCACAAACCGGTTTACAGGTCGTACACTTGGCGGCCTTCTGATCCAGATGCAAAATATCAGCTTGCGAAGTTCGGGCATGCGCAGAAAGCAAAATTTCGACATAGTTTTTGGGTTTAAAAGTGACACAGCAGTCTTGACTTTTACTTTTCGCTTTCTCTCCTCCCTTCTTTTTTCGCTTTTCTTGCCTCATTTTTTTTTTCTCTTGCTGGGCATTTAGTAGGCTTCATTTTGGTGGGAAGAGTTTTTAGGAAAGCTTTTAGGATCTTAGGATTAGGTGAAAGGAAAGGTAGGTGGGTAATGGAACAAGATTTTCATGGAGATTTTCAGGTCCTTGTCATGTGGTTTTTTGCTTCTTTCTCGGGTGTCCTTGACTGAATTGTGCTCATTCTGGCATGGTTTGAAAGATCTCTTCACTCTGCACAAGTTAGCGAAGAAAGTTGTCCTTGACCGTTAAAACTGATGATGTCACAAAGGGTAGAAAGGACCTGGATCCGCACGGGTGGTTACGGGCGGTTCAGGGGCGAATGGGTTAATTTACATTATCAGTACAGCATTTCTGTTGCTGACACGCAGACGTCTCCTCTGGCAAAATGTCCCAAACGGCGAGGAGCAAGGAGAAACAGCTGTTTTCGCAGGCCAAGGTTATCAGTCATAGTTGCTGATGCTTATATTAATAATTGATTTAGCAGTTAGTTTATGGAGTAATGTTTGTTATTTAAGGCATTGTCATTAAGTGGTATAGTATACAGGTAATAATTATGATAAAATTTTTTTTATGGTGATGGCATACCTGGATACCACAGCTCATCTGACCGTTGTCCTACAACTCGAGTACCAATTTCAAACTTGGGAGGCCCTGCAGGGGGACTGATACAAGTAGCAGTACTGTTAACTATTAATTCATTATAAACAAATTCTTATTAAAAAAAATTCTTGTTTGAAGCATTTGTGCAACAAGAAAACAGTACACCTATGGATCCATGTTTTTCCTTAGCCTAGAACTGCAGGCCGAAGTTTATCATTATTTTATCATTTATCTTTTTATCATTCAGCATTCACTGAGAAGAAAAGAGCCACTTTAAATTTCAATAGCATTTGCATACATTTACCAAAGTATTACAAATTCTGAAGAAATATGATGAAGTGTCAGTGCATATGAAAACCACCTTCCACCATTGAAAGGTGGAGAATCTTCTGCAATCAATTGACTCCTAGAAGTTCATGGTTACAGATCCATGGGGACACACAAAATAATTGTAACAAAACAGTTACTTTGTATGTGTCTTTTGTGTCAGAAAGACACCATAAACTCTTCATCATTCAGAGGAAAGGAGGGTGCACTATAAACATACTGTACTGTCAACCCTCCAAGTTGCGACCATTTTGGTCGCCATGGTGCCTAGAATTTTGAAGCTGGCGATTTGATTTGTAAAAAAGTCTCCCTAAACCAAAAGAGTTGGTCGCCAAATGGCGACTAGGCAAAAACTTTAACTTGAAGGGTTGACTGTCCTTATCAAATGAGTGCTTCTTTAAGTAAGGTATCTGCAAATTAAGCATCAAAATGTCTTTGGCCAGGATAATAGCAGTAAAATACCGACAACTAAAACAAAGACAAAATGTATCATGTGTACTCTAAGAACAAAGAAGCAAATATTCTGTAAAAATGGTATAAATACATACGCCATCTCTTTTTCTGGGGCAGGTTTACTGGCAGATGATGGTAAAGGTTGAGATGCAGTGGAAAGAGAGAAAGAAGATGTTTGTTTGGATGTAGAAGTCACAGAAGGTGCACTACTTGGCCTGAAAGTTAATAAAATAAAGTACAATTGTTATCATTATTAAATTAGCACTTACATGTACATGTAGTGGTCAACTATGTGTCCAATAAATGTACAAAGTACTTTTGCTTCCCAAGAATCTCAAAGTTTCCAAAGAAGTTATTTGTTGGTTCTCTCCCTTCTTCTAAAAGGCTATTCTCTAGGTACAACACTTACTGTACCCTGATTTTACCCTTTCCTCAACAACCAACACTTCCAATTCTAACTTGATTAGAAAAAAAACAATCTGTTATGATTGTTGTAACTTTTAGGTCTTTGGACAGAAACCTATGACGTGACCATTCAAACGAAACTTCTTTCTCAGTACCGTATTTCCCTGAATAATAGCCATCCCTCAATTAATTGTCTCCCTTTTAATGGAACAATTCAAAATAATTGCCTCCCTCGAATAATCGCCCCCACCCCTTTTGCTATCTTCTCCTCTTTTTTATTCCCTCCCCGTCAAGGTAAACTTGACACCTAGGATAACAAACAAGCTTTCATTTACTGATTGTTTACAACTGAAAAGTTAAAAAAGTGATCAGTGGTGACTCAAGCTCTGACATCGAGGATATTGAAATTGAAAATTTATCAAGGAAACAAATTTGGACACTCAAAAAGCCCATGTTTAGTTTATTTGATGTGATTATTTTTGATAAGTAACAGGATAATAAAGCAAAATAGTTAGTCCACAACTTCCAGCAATTCATGTATTTGAGCAATACATGACGGTGTACATGTATTAAATTTTGAAAAAATCGCCTCCATCAAATAATTGCCTTCCTTTGAATGATCGCCCCCTTTTGGTGCAAAAAAATTAACCCCCCCCCCCACCTCTGCTATTATTCGAGGAAATACGGTACTTTCAGTTGGTACCAATTATTTCTCGGCATTTTACAAAATTGAATTGGGAAATTTTGTTGAATTTGGACTTTTTTCCCTCAATCTGGAAGTGACAAGGTTAACATCACAAACAAAAACCATACCTGACTTCCCTAGGAGACACAAGTGAAGACGTAGATCCACTAGTGCCAGAGGGTTTAACACTTGGTACTGCTTGCTGAACAGGAAGCGATGGAGGTGATGATTTTAATGCTACACGCTGTGATAACAGCGGTGCACCACTTGTGACAGGCGACTTTAATGTTCTATAAATAACAGGCGGGGTTTTCCCTGCACTGCTTACAGAATGCAGGGCAATGTCTGATTGTTTAGATGTGGTAGGAAGTGGAGGTTTAGATACTGGAACAGTCTTTATTGCATTTGACTGCTGCGTTGACACAGCCGCAGAAGTGCAGGTATGTTTTAACAAAGTGTCTGTATTTGCTGTTTGTGGTTGCGGAACGTAGTTATCATTCCGACTTTTGTCCCCTGTCTTGTCCGTTTTTTCCTGGCTTGCCTGAGTTTCACTTGCAATGTCTTCAAATGTAGCCTGGCATGACATATCAGCAACATCAACATATTCTGCCTCATCATCATCAATAATAATAACTGGTGCTTTGGGTTCGGGTTTGTCTTGTTTATCCTTGCTGATTGCAGGAGCTTCTCCATTTTCTTTTCCTGACAAACTACACAACCAGCATTGAGAGAACAGACAGAAAAAAAAAAGAAAACTGAGACAAGATCAACTGCATGTACAGTAGAACTTGTTAACTCAGCCTTCTCAGGAAGTTTTCAGCCCAGTCAAAATTAGCCAGCAGCTGACAAATTTGCTGCTTTCGGTGGAATATTTGCTGCCTAATCAACACTTACATGTACAGTGTAGGTTAGTAATAAATTCAATAATATTCACTGGTTTACCACACAAATTTAGGTCCTTGCTAGCTGCCTGGTCATCCTGCTTACAATTGTGAAACTCTATTAATGGCCTGTGTCTTAAAAGAAAAGGAGACAACTTGGGGACCTGGCTGTGGTGGAGGGTGAAGGGAGAGTGATAGGCTGGGGGCATCCCCCTCTCCCGCCGCCCCCTTACAACTTTGCTAGGATATGATTTGGTGTTTTCTGGGAACATCTACACTCTATACATAGACAGTCACAATCAGCACTAGAGGCAATTCACATATGCTGATAACAGGCGTGAAGTCATGTCAGCATGAACACAGATCACCAGGGGATGATGCACACAATGCAAGGCAACTACCAAGGTGATAAATTATCCAAGAGAAAACCTGACCTTATACGACAAGCTAGCTTGTTTGAAATACTCCATAGCTCTTACAAACAAAAATGTATCTGACATGTTACTTCATGTTTTAGCCAACTGGGCATCTTGGTGTCCTGTGGATGCCTTATTGCAGGAGAAAAAGATGATTTCTCTACAACTTGGCTCCAAAACTTGCTAGCTTGAGAGATGGATTTATAAAAATCACAGCTTAAACCCTGATATTAGCGTATGCAATAAGAATCAAAAGTTGATTTTGTGTGTTTTACTCCCTTGCCCAAAATACTGGATCAAGATTTTGCCATTCCTCACCTGTTACTACCTTCTTTTGCTGCACCTTTGGTTAGATTTCCTTGAACTTCTTTCAGCTTTGAATCAATTGAGTCTAGCAGGCTTCTTAAAGCAGAATGGCTTTCTACATGTAGTAGCAAAAGATAAATTCAAACCAATGAGAATAAAACAGTTGTTTACCACTACACAACAGCCACCATCAAGACAATTTCAGGAGAGGACTCCTGATCCAATGTCACATTCTCGTTTTAATTTAGAAGCACATACATATGTACAAGGCAAATTAAAAGGAGAATCTAGCAGTTTATCAAAAGTCACTTGGAGCATTCTTTGAGTACCCGTTCAATACAGTGGAACTTTGACATAATAAAGGGCCAAGGGACTGGGAAAATTTGTTTGCCATAATGATGTCTTGTTACATGTATATCAAGGTTTTTTGCCATACATTTTACTATGACTGGGAGAAAGAAAATGGTTTGTCATACTGAAAAACTACATGGAGGTTTGTTAAGTCAAGGTTCCACTGTAACCACAGCTGTAGATGGAAGTGTACCAATCAATCCTCAAAACTTGATTGTTACATGTCAAAAGACAAACAACGAGTTTCAAGACAGAAGTTTCAACAAGCAAGCTTGATGTTTTTGTTTCAAAAGCTTGTGCAGAATGAGTAGTACACTTTGCCAGCTCTACGACTAACTCTTCCCATGCTAATACATGTACATTTTAAATTTTACTATTATTTGTTTTATTGTGAAGGTAAGGGAGACAGATGCATAAGATATTCATCCCAATGATTGCGTACTTGTGCTTCTTTGACCTCGACAAAGAAAGTCAAAGAGTGAAGTCTCTTTGAGGAATTTGTTTCTCAAGAGATCAGTGAAGTGACGAGCTCATTACATTTTTTCAACTCAAACGTTGGTCTCAAATCTCAAAAATCTTGTCTTGAGGCTACCAACTTGATTCTCCAAAATTTTGAGAATCAAGAAACAAGTCTTGAGTCTCAAGTTTGTCTACTTCCTACAGTACATAATTCATCTGAGTGATAGTTGTGCTGCCATTTTTATATGTAAATAAGTTGTAATAAATCAAACCTATAACAGATCCAGACAAGAAAACACACTGACCTTCAACAGCTGCTGCCCTCTGTAAAAGAGTTCTTGTAGTCCTGTGAAATTTTGAAATGGCATGGCATTGGATTTTTTAAAAGATAGAGGGGATAGTTTAGCCCCAAAAACTAAATGTACATTCTCCAGACTGACTGATTTTGAAAGTAAATTTTCTCATGATTTGGGAGAGATGAAGGAATATACAGCTGTTTCTTCACAACAGTACAATCGATGATTGCTGAAGCCGTAAAAGACATTTGAAGCTGGTGAACCATAAACAAAAAGATGGTCTCTTGACTACTACAGCGATGCTTTTAAGATAAATTTAACATTGTGCAGCAAGACAGGGTTCGAAATTTACTTTTATGTCCAGTTGCCCCTGGGGCAACCACAAGACTTGGTTTGGTTGCCCATAGAATATTTTGGTTGTCCAAGCTCTTGCCCCAGTTCAAGCCAAGAAACTAATACAGCTAGCTGTCTTATGCGCCTCACTTATTTCATGTTTTTTGATCCCATCAAGACGAAAACTGTTGTTACCTTTTTCGCTCCCAAAGGCAGATTTATCTTTCGAAAACTGTCTGCAATAACTGCAAAACATAGCGTTTTCTTTCTCGTCAAATTTCAGCCAGGGTCTTCTAGTCTTCCACGTCTCTTGCAATGTACGACACCTTTTTCTTGAACTTTCTTGCGCCTTGCCTAATTCTGCTGTAGATTTTGCGACACCCGTCGCCGTAGCATTGCTTTGATCATCATCTTTCTTCGTGGCTTCCAAATTGTTGTTATCGCCAACGGCCTTCACTTTCTCACGGCCGAAGTAGCGAAAGAGGCTCATGTTAACTAACATGATTACGGTAATAATAAGACGAATGGTAAATTGCCATCGTCGAAACAAACATGGCGGCATCACGGAGCGAATCTCACTAGTGTATCATGGACTGTGTTTACTGGTACCAACCGCTGATTAAAGCACAACAGGCTCATTCAAATAAGATTGTTGTGCAAAAACGAACCTCGGTTTCCAACGGTAGTGTACGTGATACTTTAGTATTTCTTCCGCGTTTTTTTTTTCTTTCCACTAACTTAGTTTAGGTATCGCTTACTCTCCAAAGACAACAAGCTGTTATATTTATTCAAATCTATCAAGTCTTCATTATGGATTAGTGCCACGACAGATTGGGTTGCCCAAGGGGGCAACCACTTAGCACAATTTGGTTGCCCCATCGTAATTTTGGTTGTCCGGGACAACCGGACAACCGTTAATTTCGAACCCTGCAAGACATGTGCAGCACTTTTGTTGGTTTTGGGAATATTTTCAATGAAATAAATATCACTGTTTTGGTTTCTTTGTTTCCTGTAAAATTCTCATTGTAATGATGCATTTCTTTATTACATACAAGGTTTGCAGTACATGCAAGTAGCGTGCAAAGAAAGTAGTGTCGATAGCCCAGGGCTAGTGGATTTTGCTATCAGGCTAGTGAATGCTGTTTTTAACTTGCCCGATGGCAAGTGATCTTTTTTGAGGGAATCGAATAAGAAGAACTGTGAAATCAATTCTGCAAGTCAAGAAGGTTTTGGGGCTAGCTTCAGCTTGCCCGAATGGCAAGCTATAAAAATGATTTTCTTTGCATCCTGTGCAAGTTTCATTTCAAAACCTTCTATGCCATTTTTTTCCTGCAAAATTGCCAGTTCCCATAATGCCAGTGTCCTGGACACTTTTTATTCAGAATAGCTGGTGGTGAAAGGGTTAAATTAAACATAGATGGTAAAAGTGAGTGCCAACACATACATGGATATCACACACTAGCTATTTTTCTGTGCTAACAGGAATTGTAAACCACTTAAAAATTGTAAGGTCTTTGTTAACCCAGAGTGATAGTAGCTACCCCTGCATTTGACGTTCATTTGCGTATATCATCCAAAATACAAGGTAAGAGATTGTATTATAGCTGATTCAAGAAAGGTTGCTTTGGACATTGGGAATTGCACATTAGGAAGCTATTGTTTGGTGATCACTCTAGCAAATCATTGCATTGTTCCATATGCCCAAATGTCCAACGCCGAATTACCAATGACCAATTACCAAAGCAACGTTTTTTCATTTAGCTGTATATAATTTTGACAGGTAAGTTTCAGCTTAAGCTTACATTAATAGAGATGTAAGCCATACATGTATGAGATAACTTAAAAAAAGATCATGCTTATTCTTCAAGTTAGGAAAGACTTAGTAGGGCAAAAATAACGCAATTTAACCAAAACATCAACCTGTTGATTCCACTTATATGCAATAGTCCGGACAGCAATACATGCTAGACATGTAAACAAAGAAGGCACACTTGTCATTCGTCCACGCTACAAAACCAGGGAAACTTTGCGAAGGTTTCTCCAGACCAAGATATAGCAGGTCAAGAGAGAAAGCACACAAGACGGTAAATTAATAGAATGGGAGGTTTAAAGGAAAAAAAAACAGTCAAGAATTTACACTCACCGTTCACAAAGTTCCAAAAATCCTGCTGCCCTCAATTCCTCGTCGATCATGTCTTCCAAATCAAACCCTTCCTGCTGCACCCGCGAAACCATTATTCCGATCTCACCCATGAACCTTAATAAGGTTTATGCCGCTTTCACATTACTGTCGTTTAAAATCGTCGCTGGAGGATTCCATGAGTTCCCAAAAATAAGTCGTGATCGCCTTGCTTTTCACATGAAGACTGACTCCTCCATTCAAGCGCGCGAACGCGCGAACTGCGCATCTCTTCACTGTAGAGTCCGCTGACTGAATTTTTGACACCGCGCCGGACGGAGCGGTGGCGGGGGGTGAGGGGTAGGAGATTCTCATTTATTTCAAGAGGATTCATCTCTTTTGCAAAGGAAAGAACGGGAGAAAAAAATTGAATGTTAAAAAGACGTCTGCATTGGTAATAAAGGATTATTTGTCAAATAAGTGGGATAAGCCCTAGAATTACTACCATTTCAGTGTAGTTTAGACTAGAGAAATGCGTCGATTGTTGTCATGCAACAGTTCAAAACAGTTGAACACACTTCCACCCTTTAGCAACTCCTTGGGCAACCCCCCGGCATTTTAAACTTTTTTTAAGTCAGGCCTGATCAAATTCCCATCACATTTAATAGCCCAATGTAGTGGGGCAAATATCCCTTCCAAAGAAGAAACGTTTTGCAGATTGTGATTTCAAATGTATTTTGGTGTGTAGATTTATTTATAGTCAGTGTAAAGTAAACGTTTCGGACGTCTAAAGTAACTAATAGCTTCCGCCTGTTCACCTATAGTTTCTACACTGGGTATACAGGTACGTGATGTAGTAGCTAGTAGATGACTTAGCGACATGCGAATTCTTCGTGTTCAGAATCATCAGCGATCTCTTAAACCAAAAGACATTCCTGGAGCTGTTATTGTAAATGAACGTGCGTTGGAAAGTGGACGGTGGAGAAACCAACCTTCGGCAAGGATCCTTCGGAAATATACATGAAACTTCAAGTATTTCCCAATGGAATGATTATTACAAAGCGCAGCAGCGCTGCATTGTAAGAACTATTGTTTTTTGTCGTAGTTTTAGCCGGTGCGCCTCTACCACTTTATACGCTGTACACGTAATTACGCTGTGGCCCTTAGGCCTCGTTTTCATGTTACGTCGTAAGTGTGTTTACCGGATAGCTTTTGCGTCGGCATGGAAACTATACCTTATAGGGCTTCTGTTCAGAAAAAAGGAAGGTGATTTTGGGGCGATTTCTGCACCCCACCCATCTCTAAAGTCGAGAGTCACATATCGAAAAGGTGTTTATACTATAACGAATAGCTTTTCGTGTCCCGCCGGGAAAAGGTTGTCCGGTAAAGGTAAACATATCCTTAGATTAAGTTCACACTATTCCGTTCCCAACCGGGATACATTTTCCTTTGGCACGAAAACCATATCGGATAGGGCTTCAGTACACACATCAGAACGGTTATGGCGGCGCCATTCCTGTAACAGTGCGAAAATTTGCATGCAAAGGAAGGTTGGAAAGAGAAAACGGTCGAGACGCGCTATATGTGTGAACATAGCCTTATACTTGAGGGCGTATAGGCTTAAAGACCTTAAAATTAAGAGAGATTAATCATCACGTTTACGTCAAAAGGCAAACGAGAATTTGTACCACGTGACCAAGTTTCCTCTTTACTTGTCGTTTACTGTTCATTCATTATTTCTACTCCTAAATTAGTAGTTTCACGACAATTTTTTATCCATAAGAATCATTTTAAACTGTTTTTATCCCCTAATTTTCTATTTTTAGAAATTCTCAACTTGAATCTGACTTTAATTTGCCATTTAACGTAAACGTGACTCTTATTTGAGGCATTTAGCGACGTACGCCCGTTTCCCTTTTACGGCTGACGTGAAACCCCGGGGTTGATGTCTGGCGTTTGCTGTTTGAGGTTCGATCCATTCTCCACTTTAGCGTGGCGTCAACGTTACGTCAAGGATTTTATAGCCTGCAAAAAACTGCCGTTTCTTCTCGCTCTTCGCCGCTGGGACGTTTCACGCGGACCTTCCTCCGCGCGAAACGTCCCCTGCGGTGAAAGAACGAGAGGAAATGGCCGCTGTTTTCGCAGGCTAAGGAATGGAGTGAAAAATATTCCTTATCAAGGAATAGGGACGGTTTAAAACAAAATGAATTTGCGGACGGCAGCAGTGCTGTTTTTAACTCAACCACAAATAGATACATGCTCATTCTTTGGCGTAAATAGACACCTAAACATGTATTCAAAAGCTTGCTCCGCACAATGGTTACATGTTTACGTGGCCAAACTCAAAGTGTTCTGCTCAATTCCCTCAGGTAAATGACTTGAAAACCCACCTCTCCGCGTTCGAAACCAGCGTTGGAAAACCTCAAACATGACCTCAAATACTTATCACGTGATCTCCAGCCGTTTGCCGGTAGTTTTCGCCTAAAAACGTCAAGCTAATTACCTAACGATTTCGTGCCGCACAATGTTCTTTTACGATGCTGCGAGACAGCACAAAATACACAAAAAAGATGGAAATGGTAGTGGCGGTAGTGATCTGATTAGTGGACAACTTACACTTTTTGAAAAAATCATATAAATGCATGGTGCCGAGCAACTGAGTGCAGTGCCTAGTATAAAACTCTTGGCCGAAAATTGGCTAGGGGGAAATGCCATGATATGATATTTTTTCTTTAAAATCTGATTTGTTATCAAATTAATATTAACATTAATAACAGCAAACGTTACTGATCAAAAGGTGGTTGATCAGAAGATAAGGCGTCATTTTAGTACATTTACTTCTTGTTGCATTTATATAAGTATTGTAAAGAAAAGGCATTATAACAATACATTCTGTTTAAGCCGGGCTGGCCATAGTCTAGTCTGCTATTCGGTTAATATGTATACATGTATACGAACTTGGTAAACATAGAAATTCTACGTACAAGCCTCGTAAATGTAATATAAATTACAAGTTGAAGATAATCGACGTAAATAAATGAATTTAAGAGCTAATAATACTGTCAGCTGTATTGTGGCGAGTTTTATTAGGGACTTCAAGATCCAACGACGCAACGGCAACGAGAACGTCGCTTAAAAAGTGACTTTACGTTCCTTCAGTTTCATAGGGATTATTTCTACCCACTTACTTTGTCAAATGTAGGCGAGCCCCCCTGAAGCTGAATTTCAAGCGACCATAGCCAAGCTCAGAAAGAGAAATAAAATGTTGCCATTGCTTGTTTGAGTCCTGCATAAATCGCAAAATTAGGGGTTTTCACGTAGTAGTGGTGCAAAAACAGAAAAGAAATGTACAAAAAGGTGAGCACGTGCGAAGTTGTTGTTTTGCTTATTAAAGCAAATGTTTTTTTTTTTTGACGTTCTCGTTGCCGTCCGCGTCGTTGGATCTTAATGTCCCTATTTCAAGTATACGGCTGGCAAACTTTGAAATGGCGTAATAGCTCCAGGTGCTTTTTGGATAAGCTGCATAGGATATTTCTATAACTATTCTTAAAGACTTCCAGTGAATTCTTCAATGAGCCCGTTAAATTCTTCGTAAAATTTCAAGCTTTTGACAAAGGTAATTGCACTTTTTGAAAAATATCACTTCAAAAATGGAATTAATAAATTTTTGTAACTGCATTAGAAAATTCTTAAAAGATTTTCCTACCGAGAACACAAGCACACAATCATAAAATAAATCGTCATATAGTCTATCATAAAAAGGTCAAACAAGTTAACATATAAGAACAGGCATTTCATGGTAAATAAAAAAGTTGCAGTGGTGGTATACTAGTTATAAATCCATATTATATCAAGTGAGTAGTGTCACGTCCATTAAAACTTGGTACTGAGGCATCTATGGTGTGTTTTGTTTTCCCATTTCAGATCACATGATGGTATCTAAGAGAACTGTTTCGCCTTCTTAGGGGATGATTACATGGCGAATTTCAGCCCGGGCTTAAATATTATTGCGATTTTATGACAAATTTCAAATTTATCGCCTTTATTCCACTGAAATCCTTTCTCCTTCGCGGCCATCTTGTTTCCAAGAAAACAACCTCACTGCGCATGCTCACGTTACCTTTTCAGCCCAGGCTGACATTCCATTTCGATTACATGGACGTTTTGCGGATTTTTCAGCCCGTTTGCGCAGGCTGAGAATCCTAGCTCGGTTTCAGAAACCGGGCCGGCTTCCGGACTAGGATTTTCAGCCCGGGCTGAAACCTTCTCCATATAATCTCCACTTTCATTTCAAGAGGATTTCTTTCAGAATCCGAACTGAAATTTCAGCCCGTGTATCTAGGTGCAATAGAATGCATAGAGCGGACAAAGGAAAAATACATCACGTGGTCTGAATTGGCAAAACAGCTAACCAGGTCTATTCACGCGAACCGACCTATAAACTTCCCTTCGCACATCAAGCACTGTTGGTAATTTTAACCCCGATTTTTCAAACCTCCCAATAACTCGAACAGATTTTGCTCTACCCAAGGTGGTTCGAAAAATTGAGATTCGACTATATTGATTAACTCCGTGTTAGTTTTAACCAAACGCCGACAATTTATTTCACTATATGCCCGGCGGCCGGGAAGGGTCTTAAAAAAAAGAAATGCCCGGCAGTCAGAAAAGTTTCTAAAATTCCTACAAAATCCCTGTTTTTAGTAATCATTTTAAAGTATTCTATCTTCATTTAGGATTACCAAGCGATCAAAAAAACAAGAATGGCTTCGCAGATGAGCGGTTGCATTGTGGTTTCTTGGGCATAGAGTCAAGATCCACGCCGGGCGACACTTTGAAAAATTGCGTGACTGAAGTGCATGACTCACGGCGGGCATGATTTCACACAGGCGAAATACCCGGCAGTCTGAAAGCGGAGCTGGAAAGTTACAAAGCCTTCTCTTCAGCTCTTCAGGCAAATATAAGGGAGTAACCCCCCCCCCACCCCCCCTGGCTTCAGAATAGCCAAGTGGGTACAAAGGGTTCAATAAACGTTTAGACAACATAAACGTTATAACAAAGCATACTGCCGGGTATTTAGCTTGGATGGAAACGTGCCCGTGAGTCATGCACTGTCTCACGAAACTTTTCTAAGTGT